CATAAATTGCTTAATCTCTCTGACCTGGTTTCCTCATTTGTAAAATGAGAATACAGTTTTAAAATTAACTGAGTTAAATATAAATAAAATGTTTAAAGTCTGGCACATATGTCACAATATGATTGTTATTATTACCTGTGAAATAGAGACAGCTATTCTTCTTACCTTATAAAGCTGTGCTGGAGATTAAATGAGAAACCACATTGTAGATGGTCAATGCCATTCACACAGATATGTTATCACAAATGCACAGTAGATGCAGTGCGTATTAATAAGTTGACAATACAGTCAAACTTGGAGGGGGAACCCTTCATTTTCCTCTTCACTAGTATAACTATTCACAGAATTCTTACTTCCTTCTCTAATAAACTTCATTTTCCCTCTAGAAGTAGCAAGAAACAATATATATTTATTTGCTTCTTGATCAGACAGCTGAAGAAAATAGTTAAACAAAAGGAAAGATTAGAAAAAGGAAACGCCATCCAAGAATATTTCCGTTCTTACCTCTTTATTATAAAAATTATCAGATGTACATTTATGACCAAATTTTGCAGTCAAATATAAGCGTTAATGCTTCAAATCAGAACCACAAATAGACATAGATTTCATCACTTCAGTACTCTGGAGAATCTGTACTACTATATAGTAAAAGTTTAAGAAAATCAGATAATATTTCTAGGTTCTTTCCCACTTCCTAGAACTGTCCTAATGATCTTTTGTCTCCTTCTCTTCCTTGTGTGTATGAATCAATACATGACGAGAATTTGCATTTTAACTGTTCTCTCCATATACCCTTGACCATGTTGCATTCATAGCTGTATTTCCAGTGTCTCACACAGTTGTTGAATGAATATCTCCCAAAGTGAATTTTCCTGTCAGAGTCAGCAGTTCTTTGTAGCCATATATAACTAGAGTGAGATAACATGGCTTAAAGACAACAGTTGATTAAGATTTTCTTCAGTTATAAAGTATTGTCCATTATAGAAAATTTAGAAGACAGAGGAAATCAGAAAAAAATGGAAATCACTCATTGTTCTCTTAATTTTCTGGTTTTCAAAATTGCATCTCTACTTCCTTGTGACCAGAGTTCCTTGGGTCTCTAACAAACAATTTTCTTCTAATTTTTGAATTCATGTTGCTTCTCTATCTTTCCTTCCACATTTTCCTAATAAAGAATTGCATGGTGTACTAGTGTTCTTCCTTTCCAGGGTAATCTCCATAAATATGCCTGTCACTTCTACAACACAGATTTTGGGGTAATAAAAGATATTGCAAATTTAATGATAAATCTCCAGTATTCCAGAGAAAGGTAGGCAAAGGAGATTTAGGCAGAGGTTGGGAAAAACTGACATGCCCAAATCACACCAAGCCCAATATTTCTTTCTAACACATTTTTGAAGTGTATATAGTGATTACTGTCTTCCATTCAAATACTAGCTGCTCACCTCAACCATTATTTAGATCCATTCCTTTTAAGCCTACACAAAAATTTAATATTTAATCAACAACATAAAAAGTTAATGGTTATATCCAAGTTTAAGGCAATTTTTTTCCTTCCTTATAGTTTCTGATTTTTCTAGAATCAACTGGTATTATTCACATTATTTAAAATTAAAATACATTTAAAGAATTCAGCAAGCATTTATTGTGGGCTTAAGAATAGTAGTACAAAGAAACTGTATTACATATCAAGGGGAATACATACCAAAAATATATGACTCTTGCCTCAAAGAACTTGGAATCACCAAAGAGAGAGAAAATATGTTTAAGATTACATATACTATGAAGCATAAAGTCATTAGTGCAAAAGAGAGTATATTTCATTTGGGGGAATATATAGAATACATTCCACTTGGGGGCAGGGAGCCAGGAAGCTTACCAGAGATAGCAGTACTTAAGTTAAACTAACTTGTGCCAGTTCCAGTCCTAGCTTTAAGAAAACAGTGAGTTTTGGGGCCTCCCTGGTGGTGCAAGGGATTAAGACGGCACTATGAAGCTATCCACAGCTGCTGCAGTACCAGTTCAATCACCAACCAGGGAGCTGACCCACATGGAGCAGCAGACCTTTCCTGTCTCACCTACTGCTCCCCTCAGCATTGTATTTCAGCAGATCTGCCTGTTTTGCTCCCCACTCTGTCTCTGGTGGATCCTCTCACCCCCTGCACCTCTGGCCTGTACCCCAGTTTTTGTATGCATAAAAATAAAGAAATCTTTAGGAAAAAAGAAAAGAAAACTTTTACCTAAGTCACCACATAACGGTGTTAAGTCTGACTACCCTGCTGGAGAGACCAGACTTCAGGGAGAGGGAAAGAGCCTTCAGTAGTCTCTGATAAGGCATGCTTGTGAAGAAGTAAGTCATTCTGGTAGTGGATCCGTTAGCCCTACATTATCTCAGCAAATAGCATGTGGATAAGGGTAAAGATAGTTTAGGTGAGCCCTTTCCAAAATCTTGGCTTTCTAAAATGTCAACAAATAAAATTGTTTTATTTAAGTCACTAAGTTTGGGGATGGTTTGATATGTATAAATACATAATCAAAGTAGAGCTCAAATTTTATTTTTTAACCAATGGGAAGCACTACAATACGAGCTGTGCTTCCCCTCTCTCCCTCACACTCTCCCCCTGCCCCATTTTAAAAGCACAGGTTTATTAGGAAAAGGAGAAAGAAAATGAGAGGCACCTGCATTAGTCACAGGTGCACAGGAAAGCTGCCATTGCTGCTTTGCAAAGGAAAAAGGTTTGAGAAAAGAAATAACTGCATGGTCACCACATGAAGGTAGGAGAGCCCTGAGTTGTGCTTTTGGAAAATCAACCTAAAGCTGCAATGTGTGAGACAGACTAGAGAAGACATCTAGTGGCAGGAGACTCAGAGTAAGATTCAGTGAATTCTGAAATAGAGGTGTGGGGGTGAGGAGGCACAAGATGCTGATAGCAGAGTTCAATGGGATTTTTTTGTATGTAATTGGCGAACAGGGCAAGAGGAAGAAGGGAGTCAAAGTTGACCTAGATGTCAAGATCATGTGACTGGAAGAAAATGCAATTCATGTTAATTTTAATACGTAGACAAAATGAAAGAACTAAGAATAGCATCCATAATCACAGATAAAATTATGCAAACAATTAGTCTAGTTTAAAAGAGCTCTAGAAATCCTGTTATCAGTGTCTTTCTACAATAGGAAAGGTTTCATACTAAACATTAAATTCAAAATCCTCAGTGGGTGATGTTAACATATTACAACTGAAAATTAGTTCCGTTGCAAAACCTTATCCGGAAAGGGAAAACATCTATGTTTTCAGCAATCTTTTCATAGTAGAATCCTCTGTGAACTCATGACACTGCCCCTCTTTATCCCAACACTGCCTAGAGATTGTATATTCTCATGTAACACTGAAAGCCTTTTCTCTTAAACCACAAATCTCATCATGGCAGAACCAAAATGTTTATCATAGCCGACAAAGTGCTGCCTCAGAGGAGGCTGCTGAGATAGCTAGCCTCACCTCATATCTCTTCGCGTTCACTATTCTCCAGTGACAATGATCAGTTCCTTGAGTATGCTAACCTCCTTCCTTCTGCTTAGCTTCCTCTCTCTGGCTGGATTACTCTTCTTCACTGCCTGTCATTGACCAAATTAACTCACCTTAAATGTCACTTCCTCAGAGAAAAACTTTCCCTGACTATCCCCCAGTATTCATTCACACATCTCCCATTTCTTCGAAGTACTTATCACTATTAAAAATGGTACAATTATTTAGGGAACTATGTTTAGCATGTATTTCCTCTGCTAAAACAAGTTCCAAGGAGACAGGATCCTGTCTTATTCATTCCCATAGCTCCAGGACACCGCACACCACCTAACACAAAGCAGATAACCCAGAAAAGCTTTTTCAATAACTATCATTCACAGGTATAGCAGAATAATTACAAACACAAACCCTGGAACCAAACTGAGTTGAGTCCCAGCTCTGACCCTTACAAGCTTTGTGACTTGCCAAGCTATTTTCAGCACTTCATTTTCTTCCTTTTAAAAAATAAGGATGGGCCTCCCTGGTGCCACAAGGGGTTAAGCACCACACTATGAAGCAATCCACAGCCTCTGCAGCATGAGTTTGATCCCCAGCCTGCCAGGGAGAAACCCACATGGTGAAACAGACCTCTCCTGTCTCACCTGCTGCTCCCCTCAGCAATGTATTTCAGTCAGTCTGCCTGTTCTGTCTCTGGTGGATCCTCTCACCCTCCACGTCTCTGGCCTGTACCCCAGCTCTTGTATGCATAAATAAATCTTTAAAAAAAAATTAAAAACAAGGATAATAACAGAACCTACATCGCGGGCATTGAAAGAGTTAAAATATAGAAAATACTTAGAGAACAGGGTCTGGCACAGAGATAGCACCACGTGTTTTGTCCTATTATTAAGAATGAAGATAAAATAATAATATTGTCAGATGTAGTTATGATGTCTGCAAAGACATTAATTCAGCCTAGAATATAGCAAACACTCACTTCTCGTCTATCCTATTTCATAAATTTTCTGTCTCTGACTCATCTCAACTTCCTTTACCAGATTTCTGCACAGGGGCTACAAGGCTTCTCCTGGCTCTCCAGCTATTTCCTTAAATTCACCATTCGTTAACCCCTGTCACAATAAATTACTTAAGCAATAAACAAAACAAAGCCAGGCCATTTCTTAGCGATCTTCCTTCAGGGAAGCTTACTGAATAAAGTGGTCAATCCTAATCGCCCCAGGCCTCTCCCCCTGTCTCCCAGCCGGGTGAGTCATCTTCTCTTTACACCAGCGCTTGGTCAAAGCGCTACCAAGGCACTTGTCACACAGGGCTGGAGTTACTGACAGGGCCCGTGGCTCGTTTGTTTCAGATCCGAATCCTGGCCCTAGAACCGAAACCCGGACCCGGAAAGTACTCAGTGAGGTCTGTCACAAGGAGTTCGAAGGAGTTCGAAGTTTTAACCAATCGTTTCACACGTATTCCGGCCACATCCCACGCCGGAACATCGGTCTAGTTCTCTGCCCCGCGCGCGGGCACATATGTCGGGTTCACGATCTCGCGCTGCAGTGGGATCTGACACACTTGGAGGGTCCACTCGAGGTCTGTGAGGGCGTCGCCGTCTTTCGGGGGGGAAAACACCCCTTCAGAACCGGTTCGGGAGGGTTCGGGATGACGGCCCGTTAGCTCTGGGCGGAGGGCGCCGAAGTTCAAAGTTACAGTGCGTCGCCCCCACGCGCGCTCCAGGTCGCGCTCGGCTCCACAGGCCCGCCTCCTGTGAGGTGCCGAGGAAACTCCGTGTGCCGGCGCGTTCGCCCTCGCGCCGCGGGCTGAGGGACCGGCTAGCGAAACTTCCCGAAGTGGCGCGAGCGGCGGGGAGGGTTCGCTGGCCGCCGGTGCCTTTGTCGCTCCCGCTTCGCCACCGGACCCTCCGCTCGGACAGCCCGGTTCTCGGCAGCGCCAAGCGTGGCCCGGGGCCGCTCGCATCGGGTCCCCGCCGGGCCCGGCCCGCCTCCCCCGGCTCGCCGCCCCCCACGGCCACGGCCGCGGCCCCCACCCCAACCCCCACCCCCACCCCGGGGCTTAATGGAGGCGCCGGCGGAGACACCGCTCGCGTCACGGAGCCTGCCGAGGAAAACTGGACGCGCCCCGCGGCAGACACTTACTCGCCACTCAACTCGCCGGCTCGCGAGACGGGCTCGGCGGACTCTGTCGCCGCGGCTTTTAGTCACCACAAGCGGCCATCGACAGCTCCGCCGCCGCTGCCCAGGCCGCCGCTGCGCTCCTTCCGGCCCTGTGGCGGCGTCACCTCGCGCCTGCGCACAGCGCCCCCTCCCGTCTAATGACAGGAAGAACCATAGAGGCACGCCGGGTGCTAGGGAGGAGGCACCTGGGGAGTAAGACCATAGAGAGGAATGCCTGTCCATCCCCGGGCACAGCCCACCGAGTCTTGACTCCCCCACTAGGAAGGAGGACGATAGGAATTGAGATCCCCCAACCCCTGAAGGGTCATTATCCCCGAGTGAGTGTTGGAAAGGGAGTGGGGGGGGGGGGGCTGGTGGCCCTGGAAATCTACTGCATGGCTACCCACTTGACTGAGTTGCAGTCAGTCATTCTGTAATTTCACGCATTTTTCTGAGGACTTCTTGTGTGCCAGTTCTAGGAATTGGTGGTACACGGGTAAGAGAAGTTCCCTATTTTCTGAAGCTTAAACTTTAATGGACAAGTTTATAACTAACTAGGAGAACTAACTAGTAAACTAATTAAAACATTGGCTTAGGAAAGCCCCCTCCTTTGTATCCTCCCCGCCATAAAAAGAAAGAAGACAAAGAAAGTGATGGGGATAATAATGTGGTAAGGGAATGCGTCTTTTGAGGAAGGGACATTTGAGCAGAAAATTGAAGTGAAAGAGTGAGTTTTGTGATCCTGGAGGAAGAGCCCTTCAAGTAGAGGGAATAAAAAGAGAAAGGCCCTGAGATGTGAATTTGCCTCACGTGTGAGAAAGATATAAAGGATGCTAGTGTGACTTCATTGCACTGAGTGAGATGGAGATTGGTAGAGAATGGTGCTGGTGAGGTGGACGGGAGCCAAATCATCAAAGACTTTAATAAAGAATTTGGGGATATTTTAAATAAGTGTGATAGAAAGTTATTGGAGAGTTGTCTATCCCCGAAGTGGCAGGGAGAGAACAGGGTTGTGAGTTTACCTGCTTATATTTTCCAAAGATCACTTTGTTTGAAGAATAAACTATAGAGAGGTAAGGGCAGAAGCAGGAAAGCCAGTTAGAAGCTATTGCAGAAGTCTGAAGGATAAGTGAGTTGTATCCGAAGGGTAAGAGAAGAGGTAGTGAGAAATGGCTAGATGAGGAATAGCTTTTTTTTTTTTTTTAAAGGTCTAACAGGTGGATTGGATGAGGATAAGAGAGAAAAATGGAGTCAAGAACAACTATAAGAGTTTTGGTTGTGCAGCTGGGTAAATAGTGGTTCCATTCGTAAATGGGGAAATCAGGAGGAGTGGATTTAGGTCAGACTAGGGAGAAGTAAACATGTTTTGTATGTTAAGTTGCTAACTGGACCTTCAAGTAGAGATGTCACTGGGCGCTTAGCTATGAGTCAGTAGCTTCAGAAAGACAGGAGGTCTGAGAGGCTTTGGATTTACAGAGACTATCGCTAATATAGAGATAACATATAAAGCCATGGAACTGGCTATAATTGTGCATAGCAAATGAATGTAGACAGAGGCGCTAGGACAGCTAAACATGGGAGTTACTTCAACATTTAGAGTCTAGAGGACGATGCAGAGAAGGAAAGTACAGTGAAAGAAGAGGAAAATGAGAAGAGTGTGGTGTGGTATCTCAGAGACCCAGGAAAGAAAGTGTTCTGAGAAGAAAGGAGTTATCTGTGGTATTCATGCTGCTCAGAGACTGAGCAGATGGAACACTCTTGAGCATGAGATTGGGGAGAGGGTCTTGAGGTTTTGTGGAATTAGAAGTTGCATGTTCTTCACAAGGGAGTTTGTGGCCTGAGATTCACACAAACCAGGTGAAGGTGGCAAGTTGGGGCCAATAGGAAGGGACAGATGGGAGAGCCAGAAAGACTGGTAGGGAGTAGGTGGTGTCTGGAGTTGATGAGTGCCAAGTTCAAGTGTAACAGCAAGTCAGACTGACCCTGCTTCATCTTATCAAGATGCTACAGATGAGCCCATGCAGGCCCTCTCCTGGAACCGCAGAGCAGCAGAGCTGTAAAGGGATTGCTCTCCCAAGCCTCAGACACTTATGCAGGACCTCCACAATTTTCGCTCAATCCATTTATTTCCCATTGGTATTATTTTTCTTTAAACTGACTCCATTTTCATTAAACTGTTAATTTTAAAAGGAAGGTAATTTTGCTCCTGTAAATAGAAAACAGATCTCATTTTCCATAAGCAGAAAGTAACCATAAAAGCAGATTCAATTAAATAAAACAATGTTATTGAATGTTTTAAACTTATAGTTGAGTAAACAAACCAATGAACTATAAGTAAAAAGTAAATCTAAGGAAGATGTGAGGCGTATAAATGAAATTAAGCTTCATTAAGAGAATGGAATAGGTATTGATTGGTCCAAAGTAAAAGGATAGTCACCCTGGTCTTGGTTTAAGGAAAAATGAGTTTCTATGTCAGTAAGAAGAGTCACTTTTTCTGCTTTAATGTTAACCAGCACCACAAATCAGAAAGGGCAAAAGAGGGCGTCCCTGATGGTGCAAGGGTTAAGATGCAACCTATGAGGCTGTCCACAGCCACTGCAGCACGAGTTGGATTCCTGGCCAGCCAGGGAGCAACCCACATGGCGCAGCAGACCTCTCCTGACTTGCCCCGCTGCCCCTCTCAGCAGTATGCTTTGGTCAATCTGCCTGTTCTGTTCCCCACTCTATCTCTGGTGAATCCTCTCACCAGCCCCCCACACCTCTGGCCTGTACCCCAGCTCTTATATACATCAATAGATAGATCTTTAAAAAAAAGAAAGAAAGAAAAGAAAGGGCAAAAGATGTTTGCCCACAGTTGACCTTATAGTCAACAAGTGATGTTTTGCTACTTTCCTGGAAAGAAGCATGGAATTCCATCTATGGAACCCACATCGTCTGTACTGCATTTCCATGCAGTTATGGGCGAAGTCATGAAACATAAGAGCCTTCCAGAGAGTTGTAGTTCAATTCCTGTATGTCCCTCAGTCTTCACGGCACTGCTTCCTTTATTTAATTTTCTGGTTACATTTAATATACCTTCAAACTGTAAACTCATTTGCATTGGCAGGAGACTGCTGTTATTCACAATTTGTGCATCATAGTTTTAGTCCTACGAGCAGTAAGAATTGTCATTAACTTTATCTAGATGAAGCTGTGCTAGTCTATTCATGGAGGAAATTATTTCTGAACTCTGTTTGCATTCAGAAGTAGTAATTTCCTACCATTCTGCCTGTTGCTTTAAAAAAAAAAATACATATTTGCAATACAATGCACCCTGCTTAAGTGCACATTTCTGAGTTTTGACAGATTAATATGCTCATGTTACCACCCTCACAATCAAGATATAGATTATATCCATAACCCCAAAATATTCCCTGTGCTCCCTAGCAGTTGATCCACCATCCCCACTTATTCTTTTTTTGGGCTAACTTTCGGGAAAGCACAGTGGATTTCTGGGAAATGTTTCACAACCCCTTGGAAGTGGAGAGGGGAAGCCATGATGTGCACTCTTTGATGATTTCCATGGGTAAATTCTCCCATGATGGCCAATTTCAAAGACCAACTGGATAAAAATGGCTTGCAAAATTCTTATAAATGTAAAAATCTCTTGCAGGCTGATATGAGCTAGTCTAACACTCCATTGTCAAAACAGGAGGTGTTTGGAAATGTCCTATTCTATTGAAATCTTAAATGATTCCTGCTGTTCCAGGCCTTGTTTCTGATTTGTTGGGACGAGCCCTAGTTACCCCTGTGAAATTCCTTTCTTCAATCCATAGTTATTTCTCAATTCTAGAATGGTCTTTATGACACTCAGCACTTCAGAGACTTCTGCATTTGTCAAGCTGCAACTGCCTGACTGCTTATCTGCTAAAAGAACACATTTAGCCCTGAGAAGGGCCTGGTACCTCCCACTACAACCCATGGAAAGTATAATTAGAGGGGGCTGAAGCTGGGTATTTCCCTTCCCCCATACAGAAGGCTGGAGCCAGCTGAAGTTGGGTATTTCCCTTTCCCAACTCAATTAGACTCTGATAAAACGCCAACAGGTTAGACTCAGGTTAACTAATTTCTTCTGAGGGCAGACTTTGTTAAAAACAGAATACTCTGGTATATTTCAAAATGGTTTCTTTCCCCCTCCCTCCTTCAGGAGAATGGAAGTTCTCACTCTGAGAACAGTTGGTTGAGTCCTTGAGGTAAAACCCATAAAAGTGTAAAGACTCCTATGACTGGGCCCTCTGGAACCTTTGACTCTCAGACTTGTCTACACTAAGCCTCCGCAATTATATTCGGCTTTTCTGACCCCAGCCTGTTGCCCTAAAAGTCTCTACTTATGATTTTCTGCTGGTAAGTTGTGATGCTCTGTATTAATCTAGCTTTCCCGTTTGGGCAGGAAAGAGCTTGGGGGTGGGGTGGGAGAGAAGGAAAGGACTGTGGCTTGTCCAGGTATGTAACTTCTCTGTTGGATCTGAAAAGTGGTGTTGGTTTTCCTGTCTGTTCAGCTTTTTACTTGTTAGAATGGAGTGGCAACTCCCAAGCTCCTTACCTGTGGGACTGGAAACCGGAAGTCTTGTCCATCTGTTTTAAAGCAGTTTGTCAATCTGTATGTGAGCTTAGAGGTTTGTAGGTATTGGATGAGATATAGTTGGTGGATTCTCACCCACCCCCATTATCCATGTTGACTCTGTTTAGTTCATTAGAAGTGGGAAGATGCAAACCAGCCTGTTACCATGCTCCCACCAGACTAAAACATACTCTTCCAGTGCTATAGAGTTGGGTGTCCCTAGACCAACAGAACTGTGGAAAGCAAGAATCAAGAAGCAGTTTTTGGACACCAACCAGCAGGGTATCAGAGAAATCAGTTCTGATATATCTACCTAGATGCTGAGTGAGGTCCCATAGGTTAAGGGCTTTCTTCCAGGACTGTCCTATACCTCAGAGTATAGGACTGCCACCTGGGCTTCTGACCAACCAGTTACAACGCAGTTTCCTATGACCCTTTTCTCAGACTTCAGGGCGCCTGTGACAAGCCCTGGTTATTATTATACACGCTTCTGAACGGCTGGCTATCAATCAGAGGTTCCCAGGACTCCTTCCTCAGATTTGATTTATTCGATAAAACATCACACTGTACTCAGGAAACCCATTTACTCACTAGATCACAGATTTATTTACACAGGATACAAAAAGACACAAATCAACAGCAGCCAGAAGGAAGAGGAGCACAGAGCAAGTTATGGGGGCAAGGTGTGGGGCTCCCAAGCCCTCTCCACAAGTGCCACTTCTCCCAAATCTTCACATGTTCACCAACCTCGAGCCCCTCTGAAACCCCTCCTTTTGGGCTGTTACGAGGTTTCATTACACAGGCACAACTGATTAACTCATCGGCCATGGAAACTGAACTCAACCTCTCACCCCTCTCCCCTTTCTAGATGCCAGGTGGGTGGGACTGAAAGTTCCCTTCCTCAGGTGATTTCCAAATATTATCTTTATCAATACCTCAAAGACCCCTTTAATACCCTCAATCCTTAGGGATTTCTAAAGCATTTAGGTGAAATCTAACATGAATGAGAAAAATTTTGGGCTTTTTAATGATTGTATAAATACATACATACATATATATGTATTTCCTATAAATCACAGTGTCACAAGTGCCTAAGACATGGTAGAAATTGGACTAGACATGGGTTGCAGACCGTACCTCTCCTTCAGAGCACTTGCCTGCCTGCCAGGAGAAAATCCACTCATCCTTCAAGTGCCAATTTCAAATGTTCCCTTCTTGGTAAAGCTCAACCTGTTCCTATGGAGGATATGAGAGATGACCTTGCTCCTAGACATCGTGGTTCTGAATTAGAACAAAGTACATCCAATAGGTAGTGCAGGTATTAAGAAAAGATGTCACAGTTTCCATGATTACATTTCATTTTAAATTATCCTCTGAACTTTAGAACCGCCCAGGAGTTGAAAGTATTTTAACTGTAGAGGAAATATTTCCTCATCACAATCCTAAAATCCAGCCGATAATAGTAAAGGTTATTTGTTGCATGCAAACCGCAGAGACATAAGGATGATGCAATCTTACTTACTAAAACATTGACATAAATGGGTGAGGAATTCTTGCCACAGCTCTGTGGTCTCCAATATCAACGTATCTCTATTTTCTCTGGCAGACTTGTTCGTCCTGATCAATCACGTAATCCTCTTTTGTTCCTAATAGCATAGCACAAAGCTTCAGATTTGAAATCAGCCTAAGAAACAGCCATCAAAATGGACACTCACAGGTTTATATTTATTGGAGTCAGCACTCCACTATAAGCAACCCAAGTAAATATGTATAAGGATATGAAGGCTATCTGAGAAGTAAATGGCTTTATTAGTTTGTTTTTATTTTTGTTTCCATTTTAATTTAAGGGCTTGGCTGAGTTCTAGTGCCACCAGGCTCTAAAGGATCATGAATCTGTGATTCTGTGTTGCTATGGGGATAGGCTTATCCCACTCAAATACACAGCATGTTCCGTTGCTAAGGTAATTACCGGCATCTTCACCCTCACTATCAGTGCCTACTTTGTCTGATATTAGCCAGGGAATTAAAAGCGCGTGGGCCTTGGAGAAAAGAAAGAGAAGAACAGAGCAACCCTGTGAAAGGTTTTAGAGGAAGGGAAAAATTCCAATTGTTGATTGATCAGGGTGGCCTCATGGTGACAGCCAATACTAGGGATGGCAGAGTTACTGGCACCCTCAGAACACAGTTCCAGAGTAGGCATCACAGTCTTCCATTTTTAGGGGCCCGGTGGTGTGATGGCTAGATGGCTTGCCAGGAGCCACCAGTACATTTAGCTTACTGACATCATTTATAGGGATATTGGTATGTGATTTTTACATTTTTTTAAATTATCACCTTACTAAATTTCAAGCTCTGTGAAGGCAAGGGTCTTGGCTTCATGCAACCTTTTTTTTTTTTTTAATCAAACTGTTATTAAGCGTTTAAGATTCATAGCATATTAAGCAGAAAGTACAGAGAATTCTCATATACCCACTGTCCCCACACATGCACACTCTCCCCCACTGTGCCATCCTGCACCAGAGTGCACATTTGTCATGATCATGAACCCACATGGACACACTGTATTCACCCAAAGTCTGTAGTTTCATATTAGATCGCTCATAGTGCAAACTCTATGGATTTGGACATGAGGAAAATGACACCTATCTGCTAGTGTAGCATCGTACCTGCCAGAGCAGTGTTGTCAGAATAGGTTCACTGCCCTAACCATCCCCTGTTCTCAGTCTAATTTTAACTCCTCCTTTCTTCTTACTTCGTGGCAACTGCTGATAATTTAATGAATCCATAGTTTTTGCTTTTTACAGAATATGATATATTGTCATCACTTATGGAGGGGGATGTGTTCTGAGAAAGGCAGTTAGATATCAATGTTGTGTGAACATCACAGAACGTATCTGCAAAATCTTATTTTTCTTTTTTTTTTTGCAAGTTGATTTTGTAACCTGCCACTCTGCTATATTCATTTATTGTTTCTAAAAGCTTCTTGGTGGAGCCTTTAACGAGATCGATCAATCGATCGATAGAAAGAAAGAACCATTTCGTCTGCGAAAAATAATACTTTTTTTCCAACCTGGCTGCCGACGGCCCGCGGGTGGACCAGGGTTGCCACGTATGTCGCGTCTCAGCCAGTTTAGGCGTCACCCTCCCTCCTCCGCCCGCCACGCCAGACGTCCCAGTGGCCGGAAATGCGTGGCCACTAACCGGAAGTGCCTTGCCGAGGAGGCTGTCGGGAGTCGTAGTTCCGCCAGGGCTGGGGCGGGGGGGGTGCCTACTCGGTGTTGTGTGGTGGTCTGTGTTTGGACAAATCTGTGCAATTCCAGACGCCGGAAGGGTCTGTGGTGCCCACACCTGGGACGTGGTCGGTTCCGTGGCCCTTCTGCCATGCTTGGAGAAGTGCTTGCCGCCGCTCCCCGCTGCAGGGAGGGAGTGTGTGATGGAATCCACAGCAGCAGCCCACGGTCGCAGGGAGGGTGCTTGGCGTGGGGGTCCAGTGGGCGGCTCTGTCTGACGTCTGCGGATTGTGGGGTTCCTGTCTGGTGTGGGGCGGGGGCCACCGGTAGGCCAGACCTCACTGCTTCTCTGTTCTCCCGCAGCTCGGCCTCTTCAGAGACCACCATCCACAGAGGCTAGCGCAGGGGACCCAGTGACAGCCTTGCCCAGGTGAGCTGGGAGCCAGCTCTGCCCCAATGGTCAGCCTTTTTCTCTGATGGCGGACTTGTTTCTGTCCCTTGACCCAGAGCTTCTTTGCCCATTTAGGTCCCTGAACTCTGCTCAGGCTAGGAGATGGGTCTCCCGTGGTGGAGGGACTAATGAGAGAGCCTCTCTCCCCAGTAGAAACCCCCTTTCTCTCGGACCCTCCCTCACTCCTGCGGACCCCATGATGCAGCCAACAGTAGGTAGCTTTGAGGGACATGAAGAAAGGATGTGAAATGATTCTTATTTCAGGAATTTTCAGTATCTGTCGTCAGCAAACGTTTGTTTGTACCGGGTCCCATACCTGCTGGAGCCTTATGGAGAAATTAACAGTTATCCCAGATGGATGAATGGACCCGTAGGGAGCGGTCAACTCCTACTGGGAAAGGAATGCCTGAAGTTCAGACTTGGGGGGAAAAAAACAGTTCAGAGGAGAAAAGGGGTAAAGGAGGTGTTCACAGATTAGGGAACAACATATGTAAAGGCAAGAGGCATGAAAGGAGTGACTCCTGCTGGACTTTATGCCCTGTTGCAGTCTGGAGGGGGTGAGGCTGCAGGTGGTTCAGGAGCAGGTGCAGCAAGATTAAGGGGTGTGGGTGGGATCCTGTTGGTACTGAAATGTTTAAGAAAGGCAGTATGCACCATTATATCTGGCCTATACCAGCAATGAATAGAGTTGGTGGTGGCTAAGCTAAGGAGGCGAAAAAAGTCAGTAGGGAGATGTAGAACAGATTTCTGAGGAGGTGACTGCACAGACCTGGGTTGAGTGAGTTGGAGCAGTGTGCATGCATCTGTTTGCAAACTTATGAAGGAGAAAGGCATCTCATACAGTTTAATGTAGAACAATTCTCTTAAGATCTCGGTGAAGAGAGAAGAATGAGACTAGGAAGTGACATAGAAATAGGGCAGGATTTGTCTTTGAAGTTTTTTTGTTCAAGATAGAACAGACTTGAACTGGGAGAAAAAAATGAAACAAATACTCCAGTGTCCAAATCGATCAGTTTTTTCGATTATGAGATAACCTTGGATCTTCGTGAAGGAGATTTCCTCTGCTATGAAAATATTTCATATTCAATTAATAATATTAGAAAATTTCTCAAATGTATAGCAAAGTAGAAAAAGAAACTTGTACTCATCATCCAGATTGAGCAAATGTTGGAAGTTTATTTGCTTCAGATTTTCTAAAGAGCTAAAATCTTATAAATACCATTAGAGCCCTTTATAGCCACTATTCCATTTTCCTTCTCAGTCAGAAGTAGCAAGTCCTGAAATCGCTCCTGTCCTCCCTTGTTTTTATTTACAAATATGAGTGTAGTCATAATCATATGATCGTCTTGTGTGTTCACTACATTTGCCTTCTTTCTTTTGGTTTGTCTTTCTCTTATTTTCAATATTTCAAAAATTATTCTAGATACAAGTCCATTAGGATTTATACTTCCTGCAAAAACCTCGAATAGAGTATGATTTGGCCTGGTGTTTCTTCCATGGGTATATTTTTGAGTGTGGATCCATTTCATTTAGTATTTAGTAGTTTATTCAGCTCTCCTTTGCTTTGATGATTTTAGTAATTTGTATTTTTCTAGACAATTGTCCATTTTAATTTCAAACTTATGACATTAAATTATAGTAGTGTCATAATTTTAAAACATCTTTACTATATTTAAAATTCTGTCCTTTTCATGTCTAAAAGTTTTACCTCTGCTTTCCCTTGTTTTCTTTGTAGTGGTGCCTGAAGTTTATCAATTGTATTAATTTTAAATATAAGCCATGTCTATTAGTTTTAATAAATCCTTTACAATAATTGATTTTAGTTTTTTTTCTTTTTAATTTGTACACAGCGTTAGACTTACAGAAAAATCCCAGTAGTGGGACAGTACAAGAATATCTGAATACCTTTTTCTAAATTTCCTAAATGTTGACATTTTATACATTTACATGGGGGGTTCGAAGGATTTCAGGATCCATTAAGGAAAAGATACAACCACAAGTGTAAGGAGCATATGCAAACTATGTATGCACATGGGTGGGGCGGTTGTCTCTCCCAGCAGGACACATTCCAGAAGCTGGGTTCCTGGGGCCACTTCCCAGAAGGGAAGAGGATGAGAGTACCTGGGGCATCTCTGGGTCAGAGGTGCTTGGGATCTTCATAACCACCTGGTTTATTTTATCTATGGCCTCCAGATGTTGAGTGCAGTTTCACAAGTGCAGATGTTTGTATTGGGGCTATCTTGAAAAGGAGTGCTTGATTAACATTTGAGTTTGGTGCTGCTTGTCTTTGAGCTGTTCTCAGCCTGGGTGAAGAAGTTAGCTTTGTGGGATCACTGTACAGATGCCATTTTTGGCTCATTTATATAAAAATTGGTTTCAGTTATATGGGATCTGTCCCAGAGACCTTATTTGAACTAGATCATGTAAATAAGGCCACATTCTGCAGTGTAGGGGCCAGGAATCTAACATATCTTTCTTCTTTTTTTTTATCTTTTGTATAGAAGAACCTGGGTGTAGGCCAGAGTTGCGGGGGGTGAGAGGATTCACCATAGACAGAGGTGAGGAGCATAACAGGCAGATCTACTGAAATACACTGCTAAAGGGAGCAGCAGGCCAGACAGAAGAGGTCTGCTGTGCCATATGTGGAATAGCTCCCTGGCAGGGGATTGAACTCAAGTCTTAGCAGTGATAGTGCTGAGACTTAACCCCTAGGCCACCAGGGAGGCCCCCTCCAAATTCTTTATGCAGTTTCTGTAATTGTAGAATTTTAGTGTCTCTGCAGACTTCTTGGATCAAACTGCAGCATCCCTATCCTGAGTAGAAGCAAACCTAAGACCAGCCTTGAGTATTCAGGAGAGACAGGTGTGGGGCCAAGTTGTTGTTTCCAGCCATGGCATTTTTGCTCTTGAACCTTTGTGCTCCTGTGTACCCTGGGTAGATGAGGAAAGGAGGAGGGCTCAGGAGAAGTCACCAAATCTTGTCCCACTTTTGGTAATGTCAGAGCCAGACCAAGACCACTTCCTGGGCAGAAATTAGCGCAGTTTAGCCAGGAAAGTTCTTTATAGTTATTGTCAACCATTTGCAATCAGGAAGGAGAAACAGAAAACTTAGCAAGCTCCAGGGATGTAAACCAGTGTTCCAGGTTAATAAACCTTGCCTGTGGGCCTCCCTGGTGGCATAGGTGGTTGAGCACAGTGCTGTGAGGCTGTCCGCAGCCTCTGCAGTGCCGGTTCCATCCCTGCCAGCCACGGAGCAACCCACATGGTGCGGCAGACCTCTCCTGTCTCACCCGCTGCTCCCTTCAGCAGTGTATTTCAGTCAATCTGCCTGTTGTTCTTCCCTCTCTGTCTCTGGTGAATTCTCTCACCCTCCCGCACATCTAGCCTGTACCCCTGTTCTTGTAGAAATAAAATAAATCCTTAAAATAAATAAATAAATAAATAAATAAAGCTTGTCTTTGTGAAACTCTAGGTAATGGACTCTGCCTTCAAGAAACCATTTTTATATTTTCCTGTGAATTTCCTCAACACTAGGGGCAGGACTGGATGGCAGAAGCTTTGGATTAGAAGACTAGTTAGGCCATAGATATTTTTAAAATATCTTTTCAAAGTGATCATATATGAAATGCTTGTCATAGAAAAACTTAGAAAATTTATCTATGTACAGAGAAAAAAAATTTTGTTGGTCATTATCCAATTACCCAAAGCTAACTACCTACTGGGGTTTTATCTTACAGCCTTTCAGAGATTATTCTATATGACTGTGTGTGCACGCACAAATAATTTCCAACCATTTTATCAATATGCTATCAGTAAATAATGTTCTATGCTTTTATTTTCATTAGCCACATAATGTTTATTTCCTTTTGGATGGAATACATTTATTTATCTACTTCTCTATAGTTGGACATTGTTGTTGCTTTTTTTTTTTTTAGAGCTTTACCAAATTGTAATAATATGGCCACTAAATCTTTGCCTGAATTCATGATTGATTGTTTCTTCGCTTAAAATTTCTATTGATTAAATTTCTGGATAATGGTGGGGGAGGGTGGTAACTTGCACATTGATTACTAATACACAGAGATGCATATTCATTAGTTAAAATAAAAAATAACTAGGTCCAAGCTCCATAAAGTTAGGTCTCCGACACATTCCAAGGTTAGGGCTTTGCCCTGATAACAGGGTCCCACGAGGAGCCTGTCCCTCACCCCTACCCGTGCTTGGCGGATTGCAGTAGTTGTTTCTGAGGCTGGAGGAAGTGTGGCCTCTCACAAACTCTCCTCCCTTTACCCTCCCATCTGCCTCTACAGGTGTCTGCTTTTCCCAGACCAGCAGGGAAGGACCATGTACCAGGTGAGTTACACTGTGCTTTGTTTTACCAAGGACTTTCCAGTGCTCATAAGATACCACAACATGCAAATAGAAATAGGGGTCAGTGAAGAAGGGAGGAGAAAGGGACATCAAGGCCATGGGAAGGGCGAGGTGGATGTACACGGAGGCTGCTGGAATTAGGAGCTGCTCTTTAAATGTATATCTGTCATCTCTGGCACTTTAAAAAGACAGATTCCATCCAATCTATGACTTGTGATGTCTGTTTGGGAAAAGCTTATCACTTTCTCAGGGGGAATAAAGCTGGTTATTTAGAAATTTATGTGTCAGGTCTTTACCTATGTGTGATGTCACATTGAAATAAAAACCACAGCAAATCTTCTGTACTTTTATTTTCACATAAACAGTAGATATTATGCCAACCCAGATTACAGTTGTTTACAGAATGAAAATCCTCAGGTCTGCATAGCCTTGTAATGTTTCATACTGACCTAGATAAAACACCGTATAATCTACAGGATAGATAATTCTGCCTAATAATTTTTGACCGACTTAGAGAGCAGACAGTTTAAAGTTTCTGTCTTGGCAGGGTGTTCTCCTGGTCTTGTCACCTGAGTCTGAGGAGCTGGTCTTCCTCTCGTCAAGACTAAGAGGTCACCCATCTGCCCTTGACCACCTTTGAGTCTTTTCTCAGTCATTCATCCTGTCTTTTGACACCAGTGGCCTCATTGTTTTCCATCAGCCTGTCTGCATTCTCAAATTTCTCTACTCCTAAAGGGCCTCTCTCTATCCTGGAGATAAATGCGGGAACGTGAATTGCACTGTCAGAATGCTTGAAGGGAAAAAGAGCCAGAAACCCAGCTTGAGGCTTAGGATCAAAACAAAATCTAGGCAGGCAGCATCCCAAACTGTGGGGAGGGCAGATGTGCAGCTTGGAATCCAAGAGAGTGCCGTCTGATGTCAGGGACCCAGATGTGTCACCAGAAGTCTCGTTCCCTGGTCTCTGTTTCTGTGACTTCCTGCTCTCATCCTGACTTTACCCACATGACCAGAAGTAGGTTGATCATCAGCTTCCACACCTCACACCTACCAGTTTTGCCAAGGGACCAGTCACCATTTGTAGAACTAGTTTGAAAGATTGTAGATAAAGATTCAGGTGGGTCCAGTTCAGTTCAGCTTAGGGCTGAGGAGCTGAGTTTCTAGGGGTGCTCCCAGGAGCACCTCTTCCTTAGGGTGGAGGAGGGAGAGAGTTAGCCCCAGAGGTGGACAAACATCATAGCTGTGCACTCCTGGAAGCAAAGTGTCACAGGTTCTTGGTTTCCAATGAGGGGCCTGTCTGTGCTTAGTAGAAGTAAGACTCCCTGGATGGGGGGATGGGGTACCAGAGCATCTGCAGACAGGGCCAGTGTGAGAGGTTGGAAACAAGGCGCTGACTCCACAGCCTTCTCAGAGCAGAGAGCTGACCAAGACTCGAGGTTGTCAGATCTGCCGGAGGTGAAGCGGGAGATTTCATTTGCTATCTTTTTTGGAAACTGTGTTTTGTAAGAAACCATGGCTCACTGAGAATGTCTCCCTCTTAGGGAGACAATAAAGGTAGTAACAATTTGTGAAAGTTATAAAACTCCATCTTTTGAGAGCTGGTGCACTGTGTCTATGTATTTTTCACATATTCTTTCATGAATGAATCTGTGAGATCAGGGCCTCTCCTTGTGGCGCAGGCGGTTAAGCGCCATGCTGTGAAGCTGTCTGCAGCCTCTGCAGCGCTGGTTCAATCCCGGCTGGCCGGCGAGGGTCCCACATGGCACAGCAGACCTCTCCTGTTGCGCCCACTGCTCTCCCCTCAGCAGTGTATTTCGTCAGCCTGCCTGTTCTGTTCCCCGCCCCGTCTCTAGTGAATCCTCTCACCCTCCCATGCATCTGGCCTGCATTCCAGTTCTTGTATAAATAAATAAATGAATCTTTAAAAAAAAAATCTGTGAGATCAATATTGTTAGCCCCTACTCCATTTTTGAGATGTACAAACTGAGGCTAGAGATTTTAAGTTGCTTGAGATCTTGTCCTCATTCCCTGCTGTTGGCAGATTTTTTTGGAATCCTTGCATGTGCTCATGTCTCTTGATAGGAACACTCTTTAGATTGAAAGATTGTAGATAAAGATTCAGGTGGGTCCAGTCCAGTCCAGTGCTGTCACACATTTAGATGTGGGACCACACTGTCACCTTTCATGACTCTGCTCAGCCTGCAGCAGTGCTCGACTTGACATCAGCACATTGAATTTCACTGCTGTCCCCATAGAGTCCACTCTAGTAGAGCCCTCACTGTAATCTTACTACACAGAAATCATTCATGTTCATCTCACTCCCCCAGACCATAAATGCATTTAGACAAGGAGCAAGGCTGCATTCAGCTTTTGACTCCAAGCACCAAGCAGAATGCCAGTAGCACACTAGGTCCTCAGAAGACATTTGCTCACTGGATGGATGGATGAATGAATGAATGAAAGGAGATACAGTAATGAGATCTTCTGTAATGATCTTTTTTTTTTCTCTCCCACAAAATGTAATACAAAGTTAGGGGCATGCTAAACTTCCTATATTCACTTAAGCTGAGGAAACCTCACCTCTGAGTAGGTAGGATCCATCTCCTTACACCTTTGCCATAGCACTCTGTGCCAATTACTCCAGAATAATGAGGAATGTGCTGTTCCAGGGGTCATTGTCATTCCAAGATGTGGTTGTTGGCTTCACCCGGAAGGAGTGGCAGCACCTGGACCCTGCACAGAGGATGTTATATCGGGATGTGATGCTGGAAAACTACAGCCACCTGGTCTCAGTGGGTGAGGCGAGCGCCCTCTGTCTCTCCATTCTATCTGAGCTCCTTTCTTGTCTGAGTTATGTAAAACCTCTTAAGCACTGAAAGCGTTTGGCCTGGGGTTTCATTTATTAATGAGTCTTGCTCTCACTTCACCTGAAATAATTGTTTGTGAGTTTACCTCTCAAGTGAAACATCCATTCTTTGGCCAAAATGTGAATTCTTATTGTACAGTCTGAACCTTCTGCTTTGTTAGTTGGCCCAGGTGGTACAGCATCAGTCCTGTAACTATTTCTCATAGCAGGGTGTCAAGTCACCAAACCAGCTGTGATCTCTAGGTTGGAGCAGGGGCAAGAACCATGGATGGAAGAGGAAGAAATATTCTCATGGAGTTTTCCAGGTGAGAGACAAACAGCCTGTAGGGGTTCCGTGGAAATAGGTTTTAAGGAGTCACAAAGCAAAATCTTGGATGTTTTTTGTTTCATGCAATCGTTTTTAAAAGCCCCCAATCTTTTCTTTTCTCTTGGAGTATAGGCCAGAGATGTAGGGGGTGAGAGGATTCACCAGAGACAGAGTGGGGAGTAGAACAGGTGGATTTACTAAAATACACTGCTGAGGGGAGCTGTGGGGAGACAGGAGAGGTCTGCTGCACCATAAGTGGGTTAACTCCCCGGCCAGGGATTGAACTCAGGCTGTAGAGGTGACAGTGCTGAGACTTAATCCCTAGGCCACCAGGGAGGCCCAAAAGCCCCCAATCTTTGTAAGCAGCCATGACTATTTGGCCCAAAACCTTGAGATGTCCAAATGATTGAAGATTCCTGCCCCAATGCATATCACATATCACTGCCTACAGATTTTAGAGAAAGTTATTTTTTATTTTTATTTATCATTTTATTCCACTGTGCTGTCCCCATCTCAAACCTTGCTTGCCCAGTCTTTCTAGAATCTTCGATCTTACACTTTCCCCCATGGTTATGCTATAGGCTTTCTCATGTTTTCAGGAATTTGAAGATTTTCTCTATTTTAAAATAACTGTGATTTTTGTGCCACTAATTTTTCTAGTTGTCTTTTCTTTCATTGAAAAATGCCTCAAAACCTTATTTGTGATGCCTCCCTGGTGGTGCAAGGGGTTAAGACACAACCTATGTGGGCCTCCCCGGTGGCGCAGCGGTTGAGCGCTGGGTTAAGAAGCTGCCCACGGCCTCTGTGGCGCCGGTTCGATCCCCGGCTGCTCCCCGGCCACCAGAGGAGGGTCCCACATGGCGTGCAGACCTCTCCTGCCGCCCGCTGCTCCCCTCAGCAGTGTACTTTGGTCCTTCTGCCTGCTCTGCTCCCCGCTCTGGCTCTGGTGAATTCTCTCACCCTCCCGCGCTTCTGACTGTACCCAGTGCATGTATAAACAAAACAAAAACAAACAAACCAGCAAACAAATAAATAAAGCATGCCTCTAAAAAAAAAAAAAAAAAAAAAAAAAAGACACAACCTATGAAACTAACAGCAGTCACTGCAGCAAGAGTTCAATCCCCGGCCAGGGGGCAACCCACATGGCGCAGCAGACCTCTCCTGACTTGCCCGCTGCTCCGCTCGGCAGTGTATTTCAGTCAGTCTTCCTGTTCTGTTCCCCACTCTGTCTCTGGTGAATCCTCTCACCGCCTGCACCTCTGGCCTGTACCCCATTCTTGTATGCATAAATAAATAAATCTTAAAAAAACTTATTTGCTACACCTGTGTTTCAGTTATCCTCCTAGCACACATCTAAGCAGATGGAAACCATTTCTGTGCTTCTATACAAATGGTGACTTTAGATCGCTGTCATCTCCCTGACGTTCATCTTTGTGTTGCACTTACATTGATCGTCTGCATAGGAAATGTCTGGGTTCTTAGTGGCATAGTTTTTCTACTAAATACTAATTGTTACATGATCCTTTGGGGGGTGGAAGTGGCAATGAGAGCTTTTTCCTATTATTCTAGTTCTACAGCTTGGTCACAATGGAGTCTCTTAGTCTTATTTTGCTAGCTTCTTTGTGAGCCCCTATGTTCTGTTGTTTTGATTTTTTTTTCCTTTTTAGGAATTCGTCTAGTCTCCTTCCATTATTGGCTTTTTTTTTTTTTTAACATCATCAGCTAAACACTCATACTCGTGTTTCCTTTCTTTCAACCTGAGTCCTTTGTTCATATTTCCTAAACAACTTTCTCTCCTGATTCCTCCAGAAATCCTAGTCTAGCCTTATCCTTCTCTCATAGTTCTTAAATGTCCTTATGTCCTAATGAAACCTCCTTAGTATAACTTGCCCTCATCTAGGGATGCTAGAGCTACAATTGACTTGTGATAGTCAGTTGTGTTTGAATCTCTCCACATCTATATTCAGTGATATTTCCTCTTGATGGCTGGACATTGGCCATGGTGGAAATATTTTCACCATAGAAATTGGTAAGTGCTACAGATCAGGGCTGGTTCGCCAGCACATCAATGCTTTGAGTCCAGCTTCTCCCTCTTACTCATTTTCACTTGTGTGTGTTTTCACCTCCTTCCCATTCTACTATGTCAAACTTATTAATAGCAAAACTACTTATACCCATTATCAATTACTTATTTCTATTTTCTTTTTTTTCAAAAGCCAATCCTTCCAACTAGGAAGTGTTTGTAGTTTAGGCTGCTGCTGCTGTTGCTGCTGCTGATTTTACCTAGGCAGTTAGATAGAAACCACAAACTCAATCTTCCCTCCAAACATTTCTGAAACAGTTTAGTTCTATGAGATGATACTGGAAAGATGAACTCATTTTTGTCATTTTTTTCCCTAGAAGTTTTGCAAATTGATACCCAAGTAGATAGACAGCAGGAAAAACAATACAAACTTTTGAGGCAAGGTGCATTCTTAAGCAAGAAAAAATTGACCAAAAAAGGACACCATGGATATAATGCAATTGAAAAACAAACCTGTAAGAAGACAAACCTCGTTCCTTCAAGAAAACCAGTCCATAAATGTGACTCATGTGGAACAAGTCTGCAATGCAAAGTCGACTTTCATCCTAATGCATACCTTGCAAAAAGGAGATTTGAGTGTGATGGACATGGGAACTTATTTCTCTATTCTAAGCTTGAACCTCCACATTCTGGAACACACCCACATGAATATAACCAATGTAGAAAAGCTATTAATTATGACCGAACCCTTAATGCTGATCAGGGAACTGACAGTTGTGAGAAACTCCACAACTGTACCAAGTGTGGGAAAGGCTCTTCCCACAAATCAGAATTCATTAGACATCAAGGAATCCACAGAGGGGAGAAATCTTATGGATGCAAACAACAGGGGGATGGTGTCAGGAAGATGGTTTGCCTCAACGAATGTCTGGGAAATCACCCAAAAGAGAAACCCACTGGAGACAGCAACAGTGGGGAAATGGTTCCCCAAAAGACAGGCCTCTCTGTCCCAGAGATAGTTCTTGCTGGGAAGAAGCCTTATAAGTGTTCAGAATGTGAGAAAACCTTCTCCCACAAGTCACGTCTCATCGAACATCATAGATCCCACACAGGAGAGAAGCCCTATGGCTGCAGAGAATGTGGGAAATCCTTCTCTCGGAAGTCTTGCCTCATTATACATTCCAGAATCCACACAGGAGAGAAGCCCTATGGTTGCAATGAATGTGGGAAAGCCTTTTTCCAGAAGTCACACCTCATTCTACATCAGAGGACCCACACAGGAGAGAAGCCCTATGAGTGCAGTGAATGTGGGAAAGCTTTCTCCCAGAACTCATGCCTCATTATACACAAGAGAACTCACATGGGTAAGAAACCCTACGAATGTTCTGACTGTGGGAAAACATTCTCCCAGAAGGCAAATCTCATTAGACATCACAGAATTCACACTAGGGAGAAACTGTATGGATAAAGGGAGAGAGGGCAAGGTTTGATTCAACAAGACTCAACACATCCAGGAATCTGAGTAATCTGGATGTGAAAAACATTCAGTAAGAAGTCTAAGCCACATGAGCAGAGATTCATACTTCAAATTTCCCACAAATTTGAAGAATTAGGAATAGCTTGTTCTCTTAAAACTATTGATGGAAGGATGATGATGCTCTAGAGTGATATATTTTTGTAAGATGTTCTTAGTTATAAAGTGTATCTGTATGTATTAACTGTGGATATTAAGCTTTGAAGTATGTGAATAAATTATTACGACAACAGATGTAATAAGCATCAGAGAAATTCCAGAGATGTATAGGGGTTTTGTTCCTGAGTATGCTCCATAAAAAAATTGTATTTATTTTTTAATTGCATTGGTAATTGAACGTAATTACCAATTACCAATGTAGAAAAGCTTTTAATTATGTAGACATGTACACATATAGAATGACATCTATCAAATCTTTCCACAGTAAATTCCACCCTTTTGCCTTTATAATATACATTATACTGGAACAATATGACTTTATTATTAAATAAGAAGTCTGTATATAGAATGCATATGATCTCTTTTATTGCTTGCTGGCAAATATTACAGAACCCCTGGATCTAGAAACCAATAATTTCATGACATCTTCTGATATATCTCAATAAACTACTTTATAAGTTATACTTAGATTAAAAGTGTAAGGTTTGGACCCTTTCTGGCAGTGGTGGACCATCTAAAATGAAAACCGTTGCACTACATATAACTCGAAAGGATGGGCAGTGACAGGAACATTCCTTTAAATGTGTGATTCAGTTTGTAAGTGAGATTTGCAAGTGTAGCTTTCTAGAGGGAATTAAGAACCAGAATTAAAGTTTGTTCGTTGATGCTGTAGCTGCCCTGTGGATTTAATTTTGTTTACCCAGGATATTAAAGGCTATGGGAGATTTGGCACTGAAATAACTCATAAATTCAAAAATTTCAGAAATCTACCTGTAGGGTAAGGACAAACTAGGGAAAAGTGCTCACTTGCATGCGAAGCTTGTCTGTCCTTGGACTTGAATTTGCCTTATTCCTGTCCAGCAAAAAAATCAAACAACTGGCACAGAAAATTGTCCTGGTCTTTGAAACAACTTATAGAAGGAAATACAAAATATTTTTGCAGGAAGACACCAGAAACCCCTATTTGAGCTAAACTACTCATTGGTATTGCTGCCTCTGCATCCATTTTGTTTGGCCAAGCGGCCTGCGGCAACCTTAAACTGATACCAGCTCCTCACACAAATGTATGTCCTAGACAGCAGATGCAGGGTCACAGCAAATAAAAGTTCCTGATATGACGCCCCATCAGCCCTTGTGATCAGCCATGCCCCCTGCCTCTCAGCACTTGCATGTCTGATGTGCCTTTAGATAAGACCCCTGTGGAGCTCACCCAACCCCCCTCTGTGGCTTGAATTGACTAATCCAGCCTTAGCCTGGGATCCCCAAAGCACTCCATCCAGGGAACCCAACAAAAGCATGTGAGCCAGGTGTGTCTGCACGCTGCCTTGACCCCTCTCAAGTTCTTCCTTCAAGACCTTTGTATAACTTCTCTATTTTAATTCACCTGTGGCCTGTTGCGGAAGGAGCTTGCCATTCAGCTCCCTGTGCCCCACTAAGCAAGGGTTAATGTAACAAAGTCATAACAGCTGGTGTCACAATCTGGCCAAGGGGGATGACTTTCAGCTGTGAACAGCTAACAGTTCCCCCAGGTGGGGGGCTCTGATCTGGGGGCTCACCACTGCCTTGCATCTAGAATACAGCATTTCCCACCCCAAAGTGCAAGCTCCAAAGAAGAACAGAGTCCTCCAGAACCTTGAGCTTTGTTCATCTGAACTGGTTTGGGGTGCTGTGATGTGTCTTCTGCCTTAATGCAGAGGGTGGACTTCTGCTGTGGGTGTTACGCTTTGGGGGAGGGGTGTCCTCACTCAAAGCATGAGGAGGAGAATTGGGTGATATTTTCACAAGGTCCTGTTGGTTATTAGTTAATAGCAGGGACACCTGAGTGGCCACCCCACCTGAGTGTAGGCTACCTGATAAAGATGCCCCAGTGCCTTTAGGAGACAGGGAGGCACCCCTTCCCTGACCACTGTGCTCACAGGCCTGGCACCCTGAGTCCTCACAGTAAGATAGGGCACCCTGGCCCAGTTCCTCTGTTGTTATACAACCTGCTGCTGTCACACCATGTCCCCATGCTTCATGGGCTTTTCAGGTTCATCACTGGCACATAATGTACACACCCTAATGGCTTCTGTAAAGGCCTGAGCAGCTGGTGCCAGGACCACCAATAAAGCAGAGGAAGTTTGAAAGCTCCTTGTTGAATGTAAATGGCCCCTGGAAGCAGCCTGGGGGCTGCTCTGAGCTGCAGTGCCCCCCCATCAGGGCGCTAGTTCTGTGCTGGGGGTCAGGGACCAGACCCAGCAATTCTGACCCCACCGTGCCCAAGTTCCAGCCTTCACCACCTGTACCCAACAGCATGGTCTCACCCTCCACGGTCTCCTGCCCTGCTCCTTTCTGGCTCCTTCCTTACAATCCACAGAGCAACCAGCACATGGCGCTCACTCCTTCCTCCTGGACCTCAGACATGCAGGTCACATCAGAATGTGCTGTCCTTACCTGGAAATCCACTCATTCTTCAAGGTCATACATCAGTTCCAAACATCGGAGCAGATCACAGGAGGATCTTGTAGAAAATGAAGAGCAGATGGGCTCTACCATCTCTTTCTTCCTTTTCGCCCTGATCTTCCAACTTCTGTTCCCAGCAACTCAATGAGTTAATAGGTTTCCCAGGACCCACTTAAGGGTCTGGCTTGATGCAAAGCCCCAGGGCTTCATTAGTGATCTTCTCTCCCTCCCCCCAGAGCCTAAGGAGCAGGATGTTCTCAGAAGACTGGGGGTTGGAGAGATGATGGGGGATGACTTGAGAAATCACAGTTGGGTTATCCTGGGGGAGTCTGAAAGTTCTGGGCCAAGTCACAGATGGGGATAAACTTAAACCTGAGGGAACGATAGCCCAAAGCTATAGGTGGACAGTTTCCTGAGGCAAAAGAGGAAAATTACTTCTCTCTCCACATTTTCCCAAAGTTTGCACCCAGAAGAGGCCAGGAACCTGGTCATCTCAGACTGGATTGATTGCTGTAGATGATGGGGATAGAAGCCATCATCATCATCACCGTTGTCACCAAACAACCGTCATCACCACCATCGTCACCACCACTGGAAAGTACCCGAAAGTGCTAAAGAACAAAACCCAACAACAGGGCCTCCCCGGTGGCGCAGCGGTTGAGCGCTGGGTTGCGAAGCTGCCCGCGGCCTCTGCGGCGCCGGTTCGATCCCCGGCTGCTCCCCGGCCACCAGAGGAGGGTCCCACATGGCGTGCAGACCTCTCCTGCCGCCCGCTGCTCCCCTCAGCAGTGTACTTCGGTCCTTCTGCCTGCTCTGCTCCCCGCTCTGGCTCTGGTGAATTCTCTCACCCTCCCGCGCTTCTGACTGTACCCAGTGCATGTATAAACAAAACAAACAAACAAACCAGCAAACAAATAAAGCATGCCTCTATAAAAAAAAAAAAAACAAAAAAAAAACCCAACAACATTCTTTCTGTGTTGCAGGATACTTGGTTTTGTTTGGGAACTAAATGTAGCTCTCCTGGGGTAGGCTTCACACCACGGCAGGAACAGTCCATCCCAGCCCTCTGGAGCACATGAAAGGATTAGGTAAAGAAAGTATTTTCACCAGCCAGACATTGGGGACCACCCCAAAAGGAAACAGCACAGTAGGTGTAAGAAAGAACTTTATTTCCAGTTGGAGCTGGGGTGGGGTCTGGTAAGCATACACGTTTCTCCCCTGCCAATGCTCTGATGCTCTCCCCCAGCTCCTGCAGCTCCTGAGTCTGGAAAGGGATAAGAAGTGAGTCTTGGGGGCGGACTATTGGGTCAGAGGGGCCCCTCCTCGCAGGCCCCTTGAGGAGCCTGCCACAGATGGCCTGTGGTCATCCGAGCGTCTCAGGGAGCTGCAGGCCATCCTCCAGTGTCTTCCAGGCAGCCCCTCATAACCCCGGAGGACAGCCAGAATGAGGGGATGGATCTGAGGCTGCCAACAGCCCCCTGTCTCCTCCAGCTGGGGCACCTGGAGAAAGGGAAAAGTTGGGCTCCTCTGGGAGGGACTTCCGGTGCCAGCTAGAAAGCGCCTCTGGTCCTATGTGCTGTGGCACCCTAAGGGGACACAGAAGAGCACCGGGAAGAGCCCTGGGTAGAGAGGTCGCTGTCTCCGACCTACAGCAAGTGCCAGGAGGCTCCGAGCAGGTGGTCTGTGAGTTGCCCCTCCAGGCTGGGTCCCAAGCCTCCTAATCCCTGCCTTGCCGCGCTCTGACAAACCAGCCCATCCCCTCCCATTTTGTCCCCTTCTTATCCGGGTCCCTGTCCCTCCACCCTGTCTCTATAGTGTCCCACCATCTCCTCACTCCGGCCCCGCCTCTGCCCTGCTGTATCTCCCCGTCTCCGCACTTTGGGCCCCTGCCTGTCTCTGCCTGTCTCCCCCTCTCTCTGCCTCTCCACCATCCTCTCTTCCCACCTGGCCCGCGCCTGCTCTCCGTCCTGTCCCCCCAACCACCGCCCCTCCCGCAGCTCTGGGCGGCTGCAACCTCGAGGCGGGCGCCGAAGGCTGTCTTGCATTTCGGATTCCTGGACGGGAGCCGCCGAGGTGGCCGGGACGAGGGCGCCTGGGAGCAGCAGCAGCAGCAGGAACAGCGGGCGCCGCATGGCCGAGCGAGCAGGGCAGCTGGCGGGCAGCGGGCGGGCACCGTGAGGGCAGAGGCCCGCCCGGCCCAGGCCCCGCCTGCCGTCCCCCCGCGCCCTCTGCCCCCCACCTTCTGCGCGGCAGGTTCGCGGTCCCCACGCCGCGCCCCCTCGGCCCTCGCCCCTCCCCAGTCCCCGCCGCCCGCCGCCCGGGCCCGGCCTCTCCCGCAGGCCCGCGGTGTCTTTCGGTTACCGGCCTCAGCTTCCTAAGGACCGTTAGATTCAGACGCCGCTGGCCAGGGTGGGCCCTTGGGGCTCGGGACGCGTCCTCGAGCCGGCGCCTCGCTCCGCGGCCCATCGCGCGGAACCGAGTCACGCGACCCCACCCGCCTGTGCGGCCCGGGGTGCTGCACGCGAGGCCGCGCCCCGGGGGGAGCCGCGCCCCGGTCTCCACCCGCCCGTCCCTCTCACTGCACATCCCGGTGGCCCCCCGCCTGCGGCTCGGCTGTTTGGGGAGCGAGCCCGGTCTTCCTAGGCGCAAGTCCCCAGATTGAATCCCCAAAACCTTCAGCACAGAACCCCCAAGTTGGCGGCGGTTCTGTCACCCCGTCTTTCCATTCTCCACTCTTCTTGAACACCTGGCGCATGTTTATAAAGGTTATTTTAATACCTTCGTTTGCTAATTCCTTTATCTGTCATTTCTTGGTCTCTTTCTATTGACTGATTTTTCTCATTACATGAAGCATTTTTCTGCTTTTTTGCATGTCTCCTTGTTTTACTGAAAGCTGGACTTTATGACTTTTATGGTGTTGGGGGCTGTTATTTCTTGTATTCCTTTAAATACAAGGAATTTCTTTTCCTAGCTTTGTGCTGGGATGCATGGAAGTTGCATGGAACCAGTTTGATACTCGAGCTGCTTTTAAGCTTTTTTTTTTTTTTTTTTTTTGAGGGGGGGTGGTCAAAGGCCAGAGTGGCTGTTAGCCTGGAGTTCATGTGACTGCATTCGACATGCTGAGCATTCAACCCAACTTCTCTGGTGTGATGTGTCCTCTGCTCCCCGTTAGAGGATTTATCCCTTTCAGTGTGAGCTCCAGATCCTCACCTCCCACCCTTCTGGTACCTCCACTCAGGGAGACCACCCAGCTGTTTGAGGTGCCCTTCCCTTACACTGTGGCTGGGACAGTCTCTCAAAGCGGCACCCTGGCACAGCCACAGGGATGACTTTCTGAGATCTCTGTCCTGCACCTGATGTCCAATATCCAAACGCCATAATTTTGTCTCTTATCCATTTTTTGTTGTTTAGGCAGGAAGGTAAATCTGGTTGGTGTTACTCCACAATAGCTAAAATGGGAAATGAGAAATCATTATCTTTTGAGTGATTGCGTCTTTAAAGCTTTCAAAAATGTTTAACCTTCTTAAATTTCACTTTAATAATCAATCAAGTAATTACAAATCTTTTCTGTCCAGAGCACCAACTGTTCTTTCCAGGTCATCTTGAGTTTTTTGTATATGTAAAATGTAGCCACTTTCCCTTATTTGTGGGTTTTCACCTACTTTTGAGACTCCTGTTTTCTTGTTGAAATCTCTATTTTTACCCTTTACACATCACATTTTATTTCTGGCTGAAGTCTTTTGCAAAAGCTCTTTGTCACAATATCTTCCAAATTTGAGGAAATGTACAATGTTCACACACTTTAGTTCTTTAATGAAGAGGCAGTTCTCTGACCCATTTGTGTATGTGAAGGGGTGGGAAGACAAAATGTAATGACCCTCTCACCTCTGCAAGTATTTTGTTATCCATTATATTGTTCTAAGTTCATAGTATAGGAAATTAGTTGCCATTAAAATTAATCATACATCACTTAATGACAGGGAAACCTGAGAAAAGTGTTGAGATTTTGTCATTGTGTTAACATCAGAGGGTACTTACACAAACCTAACAGTTTAGCCTACGACTATATGGTATATGGGCTATATGGTACAGTCTATTGGGAACACCGTCATAGACGTGGTCTGTATTTGACAGGTCATGAAGTGACACATGACTAATTTCCTGCACAAAACTATATAAAATCTACCACTTAATTTATGTTATGCAGCATATTCATATACATCTGGGAAAACATGGTGTGTGGAGCAACAAAGATGGCAGACATTTGTGATTTTTAAAAAACTTTATAAAAGTATAATACACATGCACAAAAATACACATTATCTTATGTGCACACAACACTCAGATATTCAGCACCCAGAGTTAGATATAGAAAATGACCAGCACCAGATAAGTACCTCTTTTCAGCCTTGGCCAAAGCTAGGTGCCATTTCTACCTGCACAGAGCAGTTTCGCCTGTCCTTATACATTATATAGATGGAATAACAGTTTGCTTTTCTGTCTGGATTCCTTTTTTCAGTAGTTTGTGAAACTGTATTATTGCAAGTACTTAGTGTTCATTCACCCTCATAGCTTTACAATATTCCATAGTGGAAACATACTGTTTAAGTTCATTCATCCCTTAATAGACTTCAGATCTGTTTTTGGCAGTTTTATGCTGTGAATATCCTAGTACTTCTTTTGGTGGCTATATACATGCATGGTGGACTTGTTTGTACAGTTCGGCTAGGTTTGAGTTAAAAGGGTAAAAACAAAGCAGCTTTACATACCAGCTTTCCAATATGGTTATAGCAATTGGCAACATCACCAGCAGTGGAGAGCTTGTCACATACTTGTCAAAACCAGGTGCTTTTCATTTAAACCAGTTTGGGTGGGTAATACCACAAGGTGTTTTAAATTTAATTTTTCTGATTACTAATAAAATTCATATACTTTTCCACCCTATTTGCCATCTAGATACCCTCTTTCGTTAAGTGGATATGTAAGTTTCCCCCCAATTGTAATCTTTTCCTTGTTCATTTGTAGGTGTTCTTTTATATTTGTTAGGTCAGGAGTTGGCCACTATAGTCTGCTGGTAAAGTATAGGATTGCTGCCTGTGTTTGTGAAGTTTTATTGGGACATGGTGATGTTCTTTTGTTTACACATTATGTAGGCTGCTTCCACAATACAATGACAAAGTTGAATGACAGAGAACCATCTAGCTTTCAATTTCCAAAATACTATCAGCCCCCTTACCAAAGATTTACCAACCACTCTTCTACACTTAAGTCTGCTGTCATATACATGAGTTGCAAACAACTCCATGGTTTACCTTTTTTCTTATGAATAGCGGTTTGAAAACAATACATCCAAATCAAAATGTTTTATGGTTTAGTGCTTTTTGAGTCTTCTGAAAGTTTTACTTACTGTAAGGTTATGGTTTTATTCTTAAAATTATTTTACATTTCATAATTAGATATGCAGTTCACCTCACCTGACTTTTCTATTCTCTATCATGAAGCCTGACAATTTATTAGAAAGAACCACCTTCCCCCATCACACTGCATTATCACCTTCATCAAAAATCAAGTGAATGTATTATCTACAGGTGCTTTCAGAATCTTTATCTCATTGGTTGATTTATCTTTGTGCCAAAACGATGCTATCCTAATATCACATTATAAGATGTCATACTATATGCCATTATTTGGCAATTTAACTCTCTAGCACTGTATATTCTAGAACATAGCCTTGACCATTATTGGCCTTTTGAATTTTAACATAGAATTAAGAATTAGCTTAATTTAATTAAATAATTTTCCAGAACTTTAAGTCTGCACTAAAAATATGAATTTGGGGAAACTGGTATCTTTTTAAGAGTGTCTTAGAATCTATAACCAAGATATACCCCTCTCAGTTTTGTAATTTTTTTTCTAAATAGTTCTTGAAAATATGTTAGGTAAATTTTTCCACTTGAAGATTTTAAACTTCCATTTCCTATGTTCACTGTTGGTACATTAAGAATTTTTACTTAATGAAATTTGATGCAGGGATGTTGCTAAATTTACTTGTTGATTCTAATTGTTTCTATGTTCCTCAGAATAGTCTATATATAAAACCATGTCATCCACAAGTAATTTTTATTTTTTCTAATTGTCATGTCTTTTGATTCTCTTCTCTTACTTTCCTAGCTAGGACCTTCTTAACAATACTGAATAAAATTAGTCAGAGGAGATATCCTTGCCTATTTTCGGGGGACAAAACTTTCAATATTTCACTGCTATGCTATCTGAAGCTGCTATGCAATTGAAGCTGTTCTTTATCCAAGAAAAACATTCCTTTCAACCCATGGTTTGCTGAAAACAAATGGACGATGATTTTATCATATGATCGCCTGCATATATTATGACTTTTCCTCATGTGTCACAGGAACTAATTTTTTGGGGTGTTAAGACACATTCCAGGAGTAAGGCCCATTTGATCAGTTTTAACCATTTTCCAGAAGAAACCCATCTTTAATTTGTTGACCCAATACTGGGCCATGTAACCACTATGAACAAGTTACTGAAAATTATAATGAATTATCATGAGTGGCCTAGACTAATTAGGATATATCCTGTGTCATGTGAAAAAAGGCAGACACCCAAACACTTCCAGCAAGAAGTGAGGGGGGAAAGAACTGAATTAGTGAACCAAAAAGTCTGCTGGGAATTTGTATTAACTTTTCTCAAAATGTTGGGAGTAATAGGCAGTGCACAAAATGACACCATATTTCTACCACATAAAAGTACAGCTAAAACATCTGAAGTATGTAATAGTGGTGCACTGCACAAACTTGTGGATTAAGAGTGATGTGAGATCTGTGCACTTTACAGAGTATGAACAATATAGGTGTACATTTGTTGAAATAGACTCAATTCCCAATTGTCTGTGTAGTTTATGAAAATAGTATTTTAAAAATCACTTTTTGCTCAAATGCAGTTAAAAACTTTACAAAAATCATGGCCTCCCCTACTGATGGGGGCATTCATAAAAACCCATTGTAAATACCTCTACAGAATAGAAAATTGGGTATTTAACTATTTTGTACCTACCAAACAACTCACCAACAATATCCTGTTAAAATTTTGCCATCTTAACATTCAAATAATGCTGCCTTTTCACATATTTAAATCTACCCTTACACGGAATTGCATAGAATTGCTATTAGATTGCATTTTAAAAACATGATAAACAGCCATACATATATTCAATATTGATAATGTCCTCATTATCAACTCTTGATTTGAGAACTTCATTCTATACAGTGGTTTATTTAGAGCTGATAGCTTCTGATATCTTTCCTATAAACATCTGATTTTCTATTGGAAATATGGCTTGTAGTATAACAATTTCCAAGACATTATATTTTCCACATTTACCACTTTGATTTTGCCTTGGTATGATTCCCTGATATGTAAATATAATTTGAAGTAAAAATAAATATTAAATATTTATAAGGTTTCACTCCAGCATAAATTATTGTGTCCATTGAGTTGTAGGGTCTTGGTGAAGGCTTTGTTTATTGTTATTCTTAGGGATTTTTCTCTATGAAAATTCAAATTAAAATGAGTCTAATGCCTACATGCTTTTCTCTATTCAGAAAAACGAACTCTCAGATTATCTGATTCCCTGCTGCATTTCCTATATTTATTATACTTAGAGGGTTTTCTAAAACGAGACTTGATTTCATAGGAGGTTTTCCACATCAAGTACATTCATATTTCCCCTCCTATGAATTCTCTGATGGCTATTGAAGGCTGATCTGTGGTGAAATTTTTTCCCACACTCATTACATTCATAGGGTTTCTCTCCTGAATGAGTTCTATAATGTACAGTGAGGTATGACTTCTGAGAAAATACTTTTCCACATTCATTACATTCATAGGGTTTCTCTCCTGAATGGCTTCTATAGTGTACAGTGAGGTTTGACATCCGAGAGAAGACTTTTCCACACTTACTACACTCATAGGGTTTCTCTCCTGAATGAATCCTATGATGTATAGTAAGATAAGACTTCTGAGAGAAGAATTTTCCACATTCATAACACTCATAGGGTTTTTCTCCCGTGTGTACTCTCTGATGTCTAAAGAGGGATGAATTATGGGAGAAGGTTTTTCCACATTCACTACATCTATAGGGCTTCTCTTCTGAATGACTTCTATAATGTACAGTGTAGTATGATAACTCAGAGAATAATTTTCCACATATATTACATTCATAGGACTTTTCCCCTTTTGGCAATGTCTGGTGCCCATTGAAGTTTGTATTTTCAAGGAAGGTTTTTCCACATTCAGTACATTCATAACGTTTATCTCCTAAAGGAATTGTGTGATGTTCAGGGGAATATGAAAACTGTGAGAACTTTCCACATTCACTACATTCATGGGGTTTCTCATCCGTGTGCACTTTCCGATGTCTAATGAAGGCAGAATTTAAATTGAAGGTTTTGCCACATTCATTACATTCATAGGGCTTCTCCTCTAAATGACTTCTATAATGTATAGTGAGGTATGATACCCGAGAAAAGAATTTCCCACATTCACTACATTGATAGGGTTTCTCTCCTGTGTGTGTTCGCTGATGTGTAATAAGAGTAGATTTTCGGTAGTAGGATTTCCCACACTCATTACACTTATAAAGCTTCTCGCCTGTGTGTGTTCTCTGATGGTCACTGAGAGCTGACTTGCGGGAGAAGGATTTCCCACATTCACTACATGGATAGGGTCTTTCTCCTGAATGATTTCTCTGGTGTAGAGTGAGGTGTGTCTTTTGGCAGAAGGTTTTCCCACATTCATTACATTCGTAAGGTTTCTCTCCTGAATGAGTTCTCAGATGTTGGGTGAGATGTAACTTCTGACAGAAGGTTTTCCCACACTCATTACATTTATAGGGTTTCTCCTCTAAGTGTGATCTCCGATGTACAGTGAGAGTTCCCTTTTGGCTGAAGGATTTTCCACACACGTTACATTCATAGGGTTTCTCTCCTGTGTGAGCCCTCTGATGTATAATAAATTTTGACTTTTTACAGAAGGATTTCCCACATTCACTACATTCAAAGGGCTTCATTTCTATCTGTGATCTCTGGTATACATTTAAATCTGACATTTGGATGAAGTCTGATCCAGAACCATTCCACTCATAGGGTTTTTCTTCCATATAAGTGTTCTTATGAGTAATGAAAACAGCTTCATTGTCTAAGGCTTCCATGCAGTCATTAAATTCAAACGGTTTTTCTAAAACATTAATTTTCTGAAGAACGCTTTCTTCACTTTGAGAGCAAGCTTCCTTGTTTTGATTAAATTCATAGGGTTTCTCTCCAAATGTTTTCCCACATTCACTACACTCATCAGGCTTTTTTCTTGAATAGCTTCCATCACTAATAATTAATTCTGAAGTAGATTCTAAATTCTTTCCACATGAGACACAATTATGAGCTATTATGCTTGAAGGAACAAGGTTTGTTTCCACATTATAAGTTTTGTCAAATACATTCTGTCTCTTTTCAGTCAGGGTTTTGCTGTGGATGTAAACAGCTTGCCTTGAGCGTCCATCTTGATTTTCTTGAATTTTCTCTATCAGGTCATTAACCCTCCAGACTTCTTCTAAAAAGCAATAAAGTCAAACAAACTTTGTTATTCTTAACATACTAGTTAGAGAATAGGAATGGAACTCAAGTGTCCTACTCTGGATTTGCTTCCGGTTTTGGGGCCAATCTCCGCACCAAAAATTATTACTAGTGTACAGTCCTGTTTTTCCCCTTGATTTGTCATACAACACACACACACACACACACACACACACCCCGGTAGGGCAGATATGGAAAAGGGCGTGACAGGACTCAGCAGTAGTGAAAAAAATAAATTCACACTGAACACATACTTTTGGTATTTACAAATATATTTAAGACTTTGGTAGAAAAGGTGAAACAAACTCAAAAAATGATGAACACAGAACAAAGTCATTGAAAGATAGCTAGATCCAGGCAGAAATGGGAGGATTCAGAACAAACGGGGCAAGTGGGAGAACAAGAAAAATTACTGGGTGGATATTCAAAGGAAATATTCAAGTATATTATGGATATGGGAGAATTAGATTCATGGAGGATTACTAGATTAAACCAGAAGATGTTACGTCATATTAAGAATGCTACAGAAACATCCTCATTGTTATAGACCCTTCCAAAATCTCTGCCTTTCTATTCTGCACTTAACTCCAACTAAATAATCTAGAAGTTCCAATTTCCTCATGTTTAGAGTTAGTCCCAAAACCTGAGAACATGAACCTGTAACTGTTCAGTGAACAAAAAATTCTACTGAATGCCTACTGTGTGTTACATATCAAAGCAGAGTAAAAAGGATCTCCTCTTCATGAAGGATTATAATTTTAGTAGGGAAAGCATAAGAAACAAATACAAATCACACCATGTCAGAGTACATAACTATGCCTATCTTCTTTGGTAGTATGACTAAGTGGAACAGAAAGTTAAGAAGAGGAAGATTGAGTGATATAATGAGTACCGATGGAAACTTCAAAGAGAAACCAAACTTCTCAGCTTAAATTTAAGGACAACATTCTAGAGGTCCTATTGTACAACAATTTGAATATAGTTAACACCATGGAACTGTATACTCAAATATGGTCAAAGTGATAAATTTTGTTATGTGTTTTTTTACAATTAAGGAAAGAAGGAAAATCTATTATATGGACAAGTAAAATACATAAGAAAGAAAGGGACAATAACATGGAGGACATTTGGAAATCTAGATTAGGTGTAATTTAAGCAGAGTTTTGGGAAACAGAGGATCTTAATTTTGATAGGTAACATTGCCTGTAGCTTACTGGATGGGATTTCAGGAGAGGAAAGTGTAAATTCCATTTAAGAAGTAGAGAACAGGGCCTCCCGTGGTGGCGCAGTGGTTGAGCGCTGGGCTGTGAGGCTGTGAGAAGAGCAGTAGGTGAGTTTGATCCCCGGCCGCTAGCGAGGGTCCCACATGGCTCGAAAGACCTCTCCTGTTGTGCCTGCTGCTCCCCTCAGCAGTGTATTTCATCAGTCTGCCTGTTCTGTTCCCTGCTCTGGCTCTGGTGAATTCTCTCACCCTCCTGTGCTTCTGACTGTACCCAGTGCTTGTATAAACAAACAAACAAACAAACAAACAAATAAATAAATAAATCTTAAAAAAAAAGAAATAAGAGAACAGTTACAGGTTCATTCTCTCAGGCTAGTGATTAGATCAACTGGAGGCTTCAGATGAGAGTTTGCAAACAGGATTCACTATAATCCAAGTATAAGATAGTATCATTTACATTGATGTCATAAGAAACTGAGAACATGCAGAGAAAAATTTAAGGCATTTCACAAAAGACAAAAAACAAAAACAGGGAGATATTAGAGAATAAGAATGGAACTCAATAAATAAAGGGAGGTGAGGAAGAGGTAGAGAACTCAAGATTTTTGAGAATTCATAGCTTATCATGAGACCTTCTGAGGAGAAGGAAGTAGTCTATCTCACAGGTGCTGTCACTGTTAGGTAAAGGAGTCTCAGGTATTCAGCATCAATTTGGATGGGAACACAAATATAAGTGGAGAACAGGTTCTGGAAGAGTCTTGAAATTAACTTTTCTGTCAGACTTTCGAAAGCCTGATGCTGGGGAGCTGGTGAGTTACTAACAATAGAAGAGAATGGGGCCTCCCTAGTGGCGCAAGGGGTTAAGCCACTGCCTATGGAACTGTAAGCAGCCACTGCAGCATGAGTTCGATCCCCAGCCAGGGAGGAGACCCACATGGCGCAGCAGACCTCACCTGACTCACCCACTGCTCTCCTCAGCAGTTATTTCAGTCAATCTGCCTGTTCTGTTCCCCGCTCTGTCTCTGGTGAATCCTCTCACCCTTCATACCTCTGGCCTGTACCCCAGTTCTTGTATGCATAAATAAATAAAATCTTAAAAAAACCAAAAAACAATAGAAGAGAAAAAGCAAGCAGAGGGATTGACAGTATTGGCAAGCACAGAAAATCCCTTCACATGTAAAACAAAAAAGGAGCTATGCATCTGTGGAGGGAACATGTTATTTGGCTACTGGAGGTGTGATTTGTGGCATCCAAGGCATATCTACACATACCATTGGTCACTCCCAAAGGGCTAGGGTGACTGTTTTTTTTTTGTTTGTTTGTTTTTTAAGGGTGACTGTTTTTAAAATGTAGTATTCTACTCACTTACCTGGATGACTCTGACATGGGAATTCCCCTTCTGCTACCCAGGGCTCTTCCCCCTGCTCCAACTTGATGATCACATTTGGTTTGGTGCTGTCATACCCTGTAAATGAGAAATGGAGATGGCTGTGGCCTATTTGCTAAGCTTCAGGATCTCTGAGCAGAAGATGCTGCCTCAGAGGCTGCATGATATAAAGCCCTATATTTCACCTTATCAATATCAAAAGCTTTAGGTAAAGAAGCAAAGATAACATAAAATATCTACCTAGTGTTTAAAAGGAACTAAAAGGTCTTATCACTTATTTCTTTAAACTTAAGGATAAAATCATGAAGTTGGAAGTCCCGAGAGAAAAGCAATTCAGAAAGCAAGCTCTCCTCACCCATGAAAACAAGATGGTTGTAGTTCTCCAGCATCACATCCCTGTATGTTGTCCTCTGCTCAGCATCTAGCTGCTGCCATTCCTCGTGGGTGAAGTTCACAGCCACATCCTTGAATGACACTGATCCCTGTAATAGCACATGATCAGGATTGGGTGACATAGAGAAGATACACAGACAAGAACTTAACAAGCTGACTGGTAACATTATCTATGAACACAGTATACCATTTATGTCACGACTGTGGAAGAAAAATAACCACATTAGAAATACATTGCCCAGGGGTTCTTTCAAGTGAAAACAAAACAAAACCCTGAGTTCTGGTTTTATGACTGAACAAGCTTTTGAGGTAATATGAGTAAAGCACCATTCTCACCCTCAGAAACCTCTAGTTTAGTGAGATATCCATGTAAATAAGCATACTCTTCTTGTTTCTTATCATTTTTTCTTGAGCAGTTTTTGCTGGTTGGCCCTCCTTTTCTGCTGGATCTTTTCATGCTAATGCACCTCAGGATTCCGAGTCTGGTCTCCTTTATAGGCTCCATGTGCTAACACTCAGCCACTGGAGCCCCATCACCAGTATCTGGTCTCTATCCACGCTGACCACTCTAGTACAATCATCCAGTTTCAACTTTTCCATTCACTCTTCAATTCTTAATTCTCACACATGCTTTCTGGAGTCACCTGCATAACTACATTTTCTACTTCTGACAGGCTTTATCTCATATCCTATTCTTTAGGCAATAAATATTTTTTGGCTGAAGGAATATCCAAAGTATTTTAATTTTACATTACCAGAGTAGTAAGTTCCAAGGCAAAAACTAAATAGCACTGATAGAGTTAAGCCACCAGGAGAAAGAACTGAACACAAACCAAGAGGGCACTTTCTTAAGGACAGTTTTTTGACAGTAAGAGTCAATTCTAATTCAAAAATGTAAACTGAACCATACACAATTACTTTCCTGCCTCAAAGACAAATGCCCCCAAAAAGTCTAATTCAAAAAAATATAAAGAAAGTTATCAAAAAAGCACTGGAACACAGAAGTTGCTAATAGCAGGAATTTCTCTGAGGAAATCCTGAGATATGGAGTAGGGTCAAAGGTGAGAAACCAGAGCCCAGAACACACAACTTCATGGAGAGGTAGATGTTGGCTGCAGCAAAAGTGAATAGCAGACTCTGCAAATAAGTCCTCAAAAAGCCACAGGTCCATCAAGTGGGATTTGGGTTCCTGTGGAGCAAAGAGATTGGCTGACAGAGTGATTAACCACTCAGGAGTACCTGAGCCTCTTGAGTGGCTTCCTTCTTTCAGCACACAGAGCGGCCAGATAAAGGCTGAATTGAGAAGCACCCTCTTGCTTGGGCACTATAACCGGACAGAGAAGTACAACACACTTTAGACCTCCGTAATCAGGGTGACCACACATTCACTGTCCACGCAGTCAGCCTGGGATAAATATTGCACCAGATGGGATGCCAGGAACATATGTTTATTCCAAGGCTAACTCAGGCAGTACTTGTGTTGGACACGGACTCAGGAAACTAGTCAAAATGCAAAGCAACTGACTTGTGAAACTTAACCTTGTTTATCAATTCACTATCAATTCAAATGGAGTGAAGCCTACAAATCTGTGCATCAGAAGACACACTTTAAACAGAAGGAAAATAAAGCACACAGGATGGGAGGAATACCTGTAAATCATGTATTTGATAAGGGGTTTAGATCAAGAATATAAACAACAAAATGACAAAAAAATCCAATTCAAATATGGGCAATATTTCTTTTTTTATGCTGACAACTCTGTTTTATTTTCTTTCTTACATCATTGTTCATTTTTGTGATTCGACATTTCTCCAAAGAAGATATACAACTGGTCAAAAAGTGCATGAAAAGATGTCCAATATCACTAATTACCAGGGAAATAATAATCAAGCATATGAGATGCCACCTCCTACCCATAAGAATGTCTGTTAAGAAGAAAAATAAACAGGAAATTACAAGTGCTGGAGAAACTGCAACCCTTGTGCACTACTGTGGGAATATAAAATGTCAGCTGCTGTGTAAAACAGTGTGGTGGATCCTCAAAAAATTAAAAATAAATTATTTTTATATCCAATAATTCCAGTTCAGGGTCTCAAACAGATTATCTGTACACTCACATGTACAAAAAGGGTCTCAAACAGATAATTGTACACTTACATGCACAGGAGCATTATTCACAACAGCTAAAACATGGTAGTAACTTAAGTGTTCATTGATGAGAGAATAGAAGCAAAATGTGGTCTATTCGTACTGATGCAGGGCAGAGAGGGGGCACCCTAGAACCCCCAAACCTGCCTGATCTAAATAGATTCTGCCATCTACTGCATCAAGACAAAACATATAAGACCTTTAACGGAAAGGATCTTTAATAGAATTAGTGTGCAATGCAGAAAATACAAAGAATATAGTTTCCAAAAAGCACCCAAAGTTACCCATCCCCTTGTGGGCAAAAGAACCACCCAAATGGGATTGGTCCAAAGCAAGGCCCGAAGGCCTGCCACAAATCTAAAGCACTTTCTGGCGGGGACCCATACAAAAGACAACTCTGGGAGGAAAACAGCAAATCAAAATCAACATAAAAGTTGCCATAATTAGCCTCCTTGTGGGTCTCTCACTCACATCTATTTCAACCAGTCCAGGACCAAAATGCAAGTACAGTTTCTTCTCATGTCTCTCTGTTCCATGTGCCTCCTTCAGGTCTCCTTCTGGCTCCCCATCCTGCTTCCTTCATTTCCCAGTCTCCTCTCCAGCTTCTCCTCCCTGCATAGCTCCACCCTCCCTTGGGTGAGGCAGGGAACTTGGAACCTCCCTTTTTTCTGGGGGCCACCCTATTACAATACATTTAGCTTTAAAAAGGAGAGAAATTCTGACATAGGCTGCAAATGGTTGGACCTTGAGGGCATTAAGCTCATTGAAATAAACAGTCACAGAAACACAAGTAAGTATGATTACTTATGAGAGAGTACTTAAAGCAACTGAAATCATAATCTGAACGTATAATGGTGATTAACGGGCTGAGGGAGGAGGAAACAGAGTTAGAGTTTAATGGGAGCAGTGTTTCAATTTTGCAAGACTCTGAAAATGGACAGTGTTGATGGTTGCACAATAATATGAATGTGCTTAGTACCAGGGAACTGTACATTTAAAAATGGCTATGATGGTAAATTTTGTTACTTTACCACAATTTTAAAAATTGGGAAAAAGTGATATCTAATTGCATATCACTCCACAATTACTTCCAGAGCTCTGCAGCCATCTTCTTCTCAAAGACAAGAGGAGTGAAATGGGGTCACCAGTTGAATACAGTCACATTAGTTATAGCAATTATTCTCTCAAAATTGAAATAGTTGACTGTTGCGTTGACAACACTGCACTGACAAACGGGAGTCGTGGAACAAGCTGTACAATGCAGGATGCTGCTTAAAGAGCAAGATCCTGACCTTTTTATTCTTAAAATAATCATAAAACATCGGTTGTGTGAGTAAGGACAAAGAGAAAAGGGAGGGGTGAAATAGAAAATGCACTATGTCATCTATAGTTTCAGAGGTCGTGAGTCTGCCCCTGGGGCACTTCTCATCTGTTTGATGATTCAGTATTGAGATCCCAGCCTTGGTTTCAATCTTTCAACAAGGAGTTCCACTGATCGGCTTCTGGGCTACCTTGTTATACATCAGTTAATAGCCCTGTACGTTCCTGGTCATACCTCTTGATGTATAAGTCAGGAGTAAGTAAAAGCATCGGTCTATGCCCCTGGACCTCCCGCCGCATTCCGGGCAAACCTCATAATGCATACTGTTCCTAGGGTGATCAAGCTTTCTGCTCTTGATTGATTTGAAAGGTACCTTGAAAGGGTTTGGCTCCTATAACTGATTGGACCTCTTATAGGAATGCAGAACCTTAGGTAACAAAAATGGTAGCTGAACAGGCCACTCAGGATGAGCAGACCCATAGCTGAAAACAGCATTAATAAAAAATAAGTATCAAGATGAAGAATTCAACGATAAAACCAAATTCATAGAGGAACTGAAACTTAGTTTCTCTCTATTGATTTATATTTTTAAATAAATTAAGCAGAAAATTGCTTCCATAAAATGAGAACATTTTGCTAAGAAATTCTCAGTCAATGGAGAAATGAAAGTCTGGATTCTTGAATTAAAAAAAAAATTCTCGGGCCTTCCCGGTGGCGCAGCGGTTGAGCGCTGGGTTGCGAAGCTGCCCGCGGCCTCTGCGGCGCCGGTTCAATCCCCAGCTGCTCCCCGGCCACCAGTGGAGGGTCCCACATGGCGCGCAGACCTCTCCTGCCGCCCACTGCTCCCCTCAGCAGTGTACTTCGGTCCTTCTGCCTGCTCTGCTCCCCGCTCTGGCTCTGGTGAATTCTCTCACCCTCCTGCACTTCTGACTGTACCCAGTGCATGTATAAACAAACAAACAAACAAACAAACAAACAAATAAAACATGCCTCTATAAAAAAAAAATTCTCAACTAAGGAATCTGGATAACAAATGGCAGAGCCAAAAATGATTATTTGAGCTAAAGAATTATGTAAACCTTCAAATAAGTAGGGGTCATCTAATTTCAAACAAGACCACTGAGGGGCAAAACAGAGAACCACAAATTTTCTCGTAAAATAGCCAAAACTGAAATCTTAAGAAAATAATCCTAGAATGTGACAGAAAAAAACAAACTAGTTGCCTTAGTATCTAATATTCTGCTTTTCATCTGAGAGAAAGCAAATGGGGGGGGGGGCAGAACTATTTACCAAGCCAAACTATCATTTAAACCTAAGGATACTATCAAGGTATTTTCAGAAAAGCAAAATAATTTATCATCAAAGAACATACTTTCTTAAAACAATGAATGGTATACATAACTCAAGAGACCAACAAATACAAAAAAGAAATATAAACACCTCACTGAAAGATTAGATGAAAGTTTTAGGTGTGGTTTTAAGGATCAGATCTAGGGATCACAAACATGTACCTCATATTTTAGAAGGGACATGCTCAGTAAACAGATGCATTATCCTATCATTCATATAGGACACAGCAAAGGGTTTACACCCGTTGATACAGTCACACATGGCTCAGACCCTCAGCTGAGTCTCCTTGAGAAACCAAAGCAGAACCTCCAAGTTCATCAAGGCAAGTCAAATGAGCTTATACAATCTTTATCTACAGAAAGTAATGACCTTCAGGGTTAGTTAGTCAAGAGGGCAAGGAGTGGGAGGGGTTTGAATAATGACATGAGAATACTGTATACATTGATAAATCGATAAAATAAATTACATACCAATACCACTTATATGAAACACAAATATTCAGAAGAAATTATTAGCAAACACAATCCAGTATGAAACTGAAAACGAACTATGTAAAAGCTAAATGGAACATACTCCGAGAAGACAGATTAATTTAATATTTGGAAACCCATTACTAAAACATTCCATTTTAATATAGCTAAGAAGAAAAATCATTCCATTTTAATATCAGCTAAGAAGAAAAATCTGCTCTTATACCTCCAAAGATTATAAGAAGAAAATACCTCCAAAGATTATGAAAAACTTTGACAAAATTCAAAATAATTTAAAAAAATACTCAAGAAAATAGAAATTGGTGGATACTTCACAAACAAAAATATATGAATATATACACACAATTACATATTTAAGATGGACAGTGTCTAGTATCTGCATATATCTCAATCATACACAAGTACATACATACTTTGTTAAGCTTGCACACATACACACTCATATTTATGCTTCAGTCCTAATATTTAATGTCAGGATTATATTTAATGGAGAAACACTTAACACATTCCCACAAAGATCAGGAACAAGCCAGATGCTCACTAGCACCTATTAGAAACATAACAATAAAGAAAAAGTAGAACTATTTCTATTTGCAGATGGTCCACTCTACCTAGAAAACGCAGAGAATTGACAATATAACCAACTCAATAAGAAAACTGTTAGGTAATAGGACATATACATAATACACATAAATAAACAGACCTTATTAAAAAGAAAAACAGTAAGAAGATATAATTTGGATGTAACAGTTTACAATAGCAACAGAGAAAATAAAACTCTTAGCAAGAAATGTACAAAGTCTGCAATAAGAAACCCTTCTGACAGACCAAGAAATAGATCAACAAATGGAATGATTCTCCTTGTTCTTGGATAGGTCAACATAATACAAAGATTTGTAAGTAACCCTGAATCACTTTATAAATATGTGATCCCAATTAAAACACTGAAAAGTTTTTTTCCTGGAACGAGACAAAATGACACTAAAGTTCATATGAGGATGGGGAAAAAAAACTGCTGGGAAAATCTCCAACAAAAGCCGCTGTGGAGGGGTTTAACACTACCAGATTTAAAATAATCTCTTATGATTAAGTTGTTTGTATTGGCACAAGAGTGGAGAGAGACCACTGGAACAGAAACAAAATCTAGAAAGACTCTTAAAATTACATGACATGTTATATGATTATATTATGATTCTGAAATCATAATATAAACAGTGGATATGAGTTTTAATAAATGGTGGTAGAGTAAATCCAAATTATCTGAATTTGAATAAAACTGAAGCCGTATCTAATACCATAAAAGAATAAATTCCAATTGCATTGGTAATCTAAATATGTCTTAGATTACCTGTTGAAGACATAAAGGAAAAAGCCACGGTGAATTTTCTATAACTTTGATATGGAGAAAAGTTTTCTAACTATGACTCAAAATATAAACAGTTCAACTTCAACTTTCATCAAAATGAACAGAGATTGAATTTACCCTTCAACCTCAAATAACACGCACACAAAATACATATATAATAACTCTGATGTCCTGAAATACTTAAAATACATGTAAACTCAGATTTCATAATGACGACCAAACAACCCACTGCTGCTCAGTCATCTATTCCATATTTCCTGTATGCACCTTAGGACCAAAAAGCCAGGAGATGTTTGTCTTTAGAGATGCTTACTTGTTAGTAAACGAAGTGGTAGAAGCAGCATATCACCATTTTTCTCTATCCTAATGAATTACAGGTTCACAGCAATGAACATCAATCACATCAACACCACGTAACAAAGACACATGCCTCCAGAAGAAAGCAGATAAGTGCCATGGACAAGACAGTTTTGTCAGAAAAACCGAATGCATATTTGAGTAATTTTCCATATTTAACTTCTAATTTCACAAGGTATCCAAGGAATTTAAAAATGTATTAAAAGTTAAAATGATGGCCATGCAACCAACCCAATCTAGACAGGTAAACTAAGACAAACAATCTAATTAAAAAAATAAATAAATAAATAAATTGCAAAAAATAACAGAAGAGACGTACAGGAGAATTTACTATTAAATGACTTAATCAACTGCAGTGTATGGATTTTACTTATATACTGATTGAAGAATAAATCAAAAATCGTTTGAAAATTGTGACATTTTGAACACCAAATAGATACACAAAGAAAGAATGATATAGTGGGTTATCCCCACCTCCTTTTTAAAAAACTCCTTATCACATAAAGATACATAAAGAAATAATTACAGATGAATTGTTTAAAAAATCAGAAGATGGGCCTCCCTGGTGGCGCAGTGATTGAGTGTTGGGTTGCGAAGCTGCCCGCAGCCTCTGCAGTGCCGGTTCGATCCCCGGCCGCTGGGTGAGGGTCCCACATGGCGCGCCCGCTGCTCCCCTCAGCAGTGTACTTCGGTTCTTCTGCCTGCTCTGCTCCCCGCTCTGGCTCTGGTGAATTCTCTCACCCTCCCGCACTTCTGACTGTACCCAGTGCTTGTATAAATAAATAAATAAATCAAAAAAAAAAAAAAAAAGAGCTTGCTTTAAGACAAAATTCAATCTTTTAAAAAAAAAAAAAAAATCAGAAGATGAGAACCCTGAGAAGATTTTATCAGTTTGGGAGCAACAGATATCAAAGGAAGTTTAATGTGAAGTAAAGACTGAAAATGTCCTCTGACTTAACTTGATCACTGCTAATCTTTACCAAAAGATTGAGAAAGTGGTAATGAGAAATGAATGGGAATGAGAAGTGAGGAAAACTTCACTAGAGAATGCCTTTTTCATATCATTTGCTGTACAACCCAAATAAACAGACTCAGAAAAATAAGTGAAGGATGAAAGGCCCCATTACCCCACAACTTAGGTTTTATATCCTTGGATAAAACAAGAAAAATGGAAGTATGTCTACTTGGATCACAAAATGTTGACATCTGAATAAACACACCAAGGTCACCTTGAGCAGAACTTTGCTCTCATCAGCAACAAATATAAACAACATTGCAGTGATCTGAGGGTGTTATAAGGAAAGCTATCTACAGTCATATGAACTTTAACAAAGAAATGTTTCAAAGTTCAACAAAATCTTTAAAAACCCACAAGTAACAAAAATGGTTTCTCCAGATAGTCAACACAAATCATTTAAAAGGATCTTCCTTTTTCTATGATTGTCAATAACAAGTGCACTTCAATAGCCCTAACCGTACATAAGACTTTGACAAAGATTTCAACACTGATCGGCTGCTCTTAACTATATTTTACATAATGTCGTTTATCAATTTCTAAGGTCTCATTTTGAAGTAGGTATACTTACATACCGCCTAAAATGCATTACAAAACAAAGTGGGGGGGCATTTACTACACATACGAAAACTCACCTGGGATTCACTCATTTTCTGCTGCTCTTGAAAACTTCTATGGACTGTTAATGGTTGACACCTAGGGAAGAAGTAGCAAATAAGTGAAATGCTCAGGCAGCCAGATAACTTCTGCATAACAACCACCAAAGAAAGCACAACAGAATGACACCTGGTGAACACTGAGAAGGGGCAAAAAGTGACATTTCAGACATATACCTGAACCTTTCTAATTCCAACATGATCATGACGAAATTAGATGTGTTACTGTCATTGGCAAAAATAAACAATGACACTTTTTTTTTAATAAATAAAAGGCGCAAAAGTAAAAATATCCAAAATACAGTTCAAGTATTTTCTCACTGTCTCTTTAACTTGCTTACGATCGAAGAAATCCACAGCTCTCAAAAAATGGGATAAAAGTGCATAAAACATGCTTTTGTTTTTAATCACCTAAAATTGGTTTCCGCGGTCCAAAATAAAATAGCAAGACAGGGACAGGACACTGGTCTATGAGTTCCTTGTTAGAAAACCCACCTACTCTGGACAAGTCACCTCCACTCTCAGACCCACAAGGTAGCAAGAAATAACCTTTGCAGACACTACACTGAGACAACAAGGGCCCTGATGGAGACACGTTTACAATCTGGAGATGGCCGTGAGGAGGAAGGGGTGTCAGCTGTGGAGGGAGGAGTGAACAGAGCGCCCTTGGCGCAGGCTGGTGACCCACCTATGCCGCTCAGAAACCTTGAATTCACAAGTCCCAACGGAGGGCAGTCGGCCTCTGCCGTGCAACCCAATCCCTAGGGAAACCGACCCTGTGCAGACCCCGTGTCCTCGGCGTGGGGCGGATTCCCCCAAGTCCTGCACACTGCGGGCGAGAAGATCCACAACAGCCTCCAGCCACAAATCCAAGACCTACCCTTCTCCGCAACGCACTCTCGGGCCCCAGGCTCCGAGGCGGGCGCTGCTGCTCCAGCGCGCTTCTGCTCCGGAGTTGCCTCCTCTCCACTCCCCAAACCCCAAGGAGCCGGCTCTGGGCCTATGCGACAAAGTCTCTTCAAGCGAATGTCCCCCAAGGGCACAAATCTGTCTCCCGGAGGCCACACCGGGCCGGCCCGCCGCCCCTGCACCGCTGGCCCAGCCCGCTGGCTCCGGGGCTCGCTCTCGGGGATCCCCGCTCGAGCCTCCGTCCGGCCCAAGCGAATCCTTGCCCGAACAGCTCCGCACCTCTGGGTTTCGGCCGGGCCGGACGGCGCCAGCCCCGCGGACCCCGGGACCCTCGCCCGTCGGAAGGCAGAGGGCCAAGAACTGAAGCAAACGATGACCTGGGCATGGACAGGAAGTGGAGCAGCGCGGCAGCAGTGAGCGTGCGCGAACACGCACGCAGGCCTCGGTGCACATGCGCAGAGGACACCGGAAGTCGACCTCCCGGTACCAACTCTTGGGAACCTGACAAATACTAGGACTCTATTTCCCATAAGTCTAAGTAGGCGCTGTCAAGTTAGGGAAGACCCAAAACGTCTGTGCCCGCCGCGTGCTGCGGTTAAGAGACTCTGAACTATGATTATTGGCAGGCCCCGCCTCCTCCGGGACTCAAAAAGCTCCGTAATTTAAGGGAACTTCACGGGGCGTCTTACCTGAGGGCGTCCTGGCACCTCAGTAGTTGCCTTACCTTGTGAACTTAAAGTCTTAGCATGTGTCCAGCACAACCGTGACAAATAAGGGAAAGGTGTATCATGTTCGCTAATGGTCATAAATGAGACATTTAAGTAAAATATAAGTAAACAGAGTTCAGCGATAACATAGAGCTTTCGTTTCAGATACCTTCCTCTCCAGTTGTTTGGGGAAGAGGGGAATCTTAGCCTTTCCAAGTCACTTTTAATTCTTGACAAGGTTTAAAAAAAAAAATCAGAATTTTAAGAAAACGCCCATAACTTTACCTCCTGGAGAGGATGAGCTGTGTTTTAATGCACAACACTTTGGAGGACACCCCTCCTCCTGGTTATTTGATTATAGCCCTATATTTGATTATAGCTCTTATGTTTGAGACTGAGTTAGCCAATGAGATAGCCAGGCACATTCTGTGGAGTTTAGTGGAAACTCAGTGACTTCCCCCACCATGCACCTCCATCATCGGAAAATTCAGTTTTGCCTTCATTTCTCCATCTACATACCCATTTCAGCATTCCTGATCTGCCATGTGTCTGTTTCTCAGATTCTCTTTTGAATCGGCTTCAGCAGCTGCCAGCTTCCTCTTTAATGAAATAAAAACATTTAACTCGTGTTCATTTTTTTATCTGTAAGAATCATGATATCACCCTTATGTTTAAGAGTTTTGGAATTCTTCACAGATCCCCTAACCGAGTCAGGAAAACTTCAAGAGTAATGGACCTAATTGTTAACTACCACATGTTGTACAACAAGCAGATCTTTCAGACTCATTCGTCTTATGTAACAGCAAGAGCAGTCCACCCCTGACAGTGCCTTCATCTTGGACTTTGTTCAGCAAAGCTCCAGTAAGCATCCTGGGGGATGGAGGAGGTGGGTGTAAAGGAGGTAGAAGTGGGTGGGGCATAGTAGTGCATCCTGAGGACACAGAGTTGGAGAATTTGGGACCATCTTCGTATTTCTGATGCTCCCATATGCCAAAATGCTTTTTTCTAATAATTCATTATTCATGGTATCAACTCTTTGTTCTCCACTCATTTCTTTCCAGTTATTCCTATTTCATCTGCTCTCTAGATTTTCCTTCTACCATATATTGGAATTGGAGGTTGCAAAAAGGACTCCCATTATGATTAAAATAGTAAACACTCTGTATGTTTCCTTGTGCCTGTGTGTTTGTTTGCCACAGACTATTCCCAGGAATGTGTGTCTAGCTGAATCCCAGATTATTACCTACGTACCCAAGGGCTTTGTATTCTTTCTACTCTGCCACTTTTCTCCCTCTATACCTTCCCCCTTGTTTCCTGCTATAAGATTCGAACATGGGATCTTCCTCATCTCCTATTGTTTTTTTCTACATGAAAAAATAATTCAGGATTATTTTTCAGAGTTAGGAAATGTGGTTGAACAATCACAACCAAGCTAAGCAACGTTATCATTTGACAACAAACTGGCAAACCATGCTGATGCCATCCAGGTGAGAAGACTTTCATCTTTATTGTATTTCCCCTAGAGATACATCATATTACCCTCTTTAACAATCATCAAATAACATGTCATCAAGGCAAGTTAAAAGAATTACAACTGAGTCAGGAATTCTTACAGTTCAATAAAGAAGACTAAATATCAAGTAAAAATTTATATTTATAAGAATATATAAATATCAAATTTATATTTATACGAATTTGAAGGAACTACCCACCAAGCTGTAAGTAAAACAGATATGTAAATATCACAGGTAGAAACACAGAAACCTCTCTTGAAAATATAAACAAAATTACATTTACTATATAAACAACTATAATACTCTAAAGCTTTATAGCAACAGCATATTTTCAAAATTATGACTATTTCAAAACTATTTAAAATAAGTATGTAAGTATAAAATATAAGAATAAATATAATTCTATGAGCAACATTTTTTAAATAAACAGATAAAATCTATTGCATCTATTAAGGAATCTATCAAAATCCAATGGCTCCAATTTTATATATATATTTTAAGTATCTCTCTACCAATTTTGTCCCTTCACTCTGCCTTCAAAAGGTCTTAGACTGTGGTAACTGGGAGTAGAAAAAACGATACCTCCAACATCTACCTCGGGGGAGATTTGATTTCAACAATTAAGAAAATCTGGTGTCTTAGGAAGTGATAGAAACTTCAAGAGCCCTGGTTTCTTCTTGTCCCTCCATGGACTCCTAGAAGTGCTCCCAGCTCCTAGGAGTAAGACATGATAACTCTATTCAGCTCATTCCAGAAGATTCTGGGCTCCTCTATAGAAGAGGCCTCTCTTTTTTTCTTATGTCTGTCATAATGACATCTGCTGAAAACTGACATCATCCCTTGGTCATTTTGCGCTACTTAAAATCTGAACTTCTAACCAAGTACAATCATTCAGCATCACGAACCATGAGAACAGACGCCTTATCCCTAATCTTAAGTCTGTTTCCTAATGTTTAACCATAACATTGAGTCCTAATCTTGGTTAGGTCCCAGAGAGCTAGCTCATCCCTCCCACCATGTGTATTAGAGAGAAATTATGAGTCTCCAACCAAAAATGTGTCCTCACTAGAAGCAGAACCTGTTGACATCTCATTTCAGACATCAAGCCTCCTGAACTGTAAGAAGTAAATGTTGTTTTTAAGTCACTCAGTCTGGTATTTTGTTACATTAGCCCAATGGACTAAGAAAGCTAATTCTCTACTTGAGTCTTGCTAATCCTCAAAGCTATTATTTGGACCCAACTGCTTTGGGTAAAACGCTTTCAACCAAATCTATGCCTCTGTGACAAACTTTGTCCTGTTGTCTGACTGAGCAGCCCCTATCACCCAGATATCTGCCCAAAGTTGTGCCTTTATATGGCTGCTAGTTTGTGGCAGGTGATGATGGTGGGGATTTCCTCACAGTGTGTGGAATGGTGATGGTGATTTCAGGTTGGGGGCGGTGGTGGTGGATGCATAATGTGGGTCAAGCAACTTTCCTCAGACTTCCTAAATAGACAGATTTTATACAGGTGTTTACACAGGTGAGGGCACAGACCTACCTTCCCTCAGGCCGATGACCTCAGGCCTCTGTGGCCCCAGGAGCTCTAGGGAATAAGAGAACGGTCTCGTCCCCACACCCACAGCTCTGGATCAAAAGCCTGGATCTGGAAAGACAGGCAGTTCCCTGAAAAGAGATGACTGTCCAGTTGGACTGTCCTCCCTTTCCTTGTCCAGCCTCAGTTCCTTCTTGTCCCCAAATCTCAACTCCCCATGTTTCCCTCTCTTTTCCAATACCACTCTGTCACTCCCCCACGTTCTCACAATCCATCCACCTCCTCACACTCTTTCCGGGAGACCCTAGTCCTCCAGCCCATGGAACGGATGAATTGGAATCGCAGTTTGTGGAACAAGGACCGCTGGGAGCTGTTCTTCCCATAGAGGAATGAAATGATGACTTGTTTCGGGGTCTGGTTATCCTCTTCCATGTCGTTGGCCAGGTAGCTGGGGAAAGACAATAGTTTGCTGGTCAGGGACAGGACCAGGAAGGACCTCGTTTCAGGTCAGCCTCCCAGAAAGGATTACGGGATCTATGTGAACTTTGAACAGTGTCACAAGGTGCCACCTAGTCATCAAGAAAGCATTGCTTGGCATGACCTTCTGAAGAACACTGATCACACCTCGACGACAAAATTCAACAGGGAAACCTATGATATACCCTGCAATCCTCCAGCAATGAAGCTTCCATTACAATTTCCGTCCCCATCCTCATTCCTCTTCCCTTCAAATTGTGTGTGTGCACACCTTCTCCTTATAAGTAAGTTCGTCCTGAAGGCAGGAACTAACTTTTCTATTTCCGAATTCATACCCTTCCTACCAAATGATTAATTATAGGACTGGTTCATATTGGTGCATTAATTAAGCAAGAATTTCCTGACTCTCTCTTCTCATCACATGTTTCTGGGCACATAGAATGTATTTTGTAAGGTTTTGTTGAATTAATGAATGAATGTTTAATCTCATTGCCAAATGCAATACCAATGACCTCATAGATTCAATATAACAAATACTTTCAAAATGAAAAAAATTATGCTGAATGTTTTAAGAATGCATTGATATTCTGATAAGAAATAACTATAATGCAAACATAGAAGGAGTTCAACGAAAACTCTTCAAGGATGCAGAAGATAGGAAGTGAAATGAAGCATTAAGAAGGTTTTGGTGTTTGAACTGACTTTATAAGGATATGTTATTTTCTTCAGAGATGTGTGTGTTGGTGTGTCTGTGTGTGTGTGTTGGTGTGTCTGTGTGTGTGTGTGTGTGATACCTCACAGTGTGTGGAATGGTGATGGTGATTTCAGGTTGGGGGTGGTGGTGGTGGATGCATAATGTGGGTCAAGCAACTTTCCTCAGACTTCCTAAGGGCAGAAAAAACAATATAAAAATAGAGGGAAGGGCATTCGGAAGGAGCAGTGATACAGGAAGGAGGATCAGGATGATCAGGATGATAAGCAGGCTTGATGGAGGTTGTAGAGAGGGTTGAATTCAAACCAAGAATTCTGGCCTTGATTTAGTATGTAATTAGCCAATGAAATTGTTAAGGAAGCATGTGAAGCTGTTAGACTGTTTTGGAGTGATTTTAGGTATATAAAGCCACTGGTTTGGGGACTTGTGAGAAACCCCAGCAGAGAGCAATTTTACAATAGATTTGTGGCATTTGTCATGGGATTCAGAGACGAAGGAGGAATAACATTGCTTCATTCAATGTCACTTCCTTATAATGTTGATGAGAAAAGAACAATCATAGTGAAACAACAGGATGCTTTTGTTACATGTCATTTTGCTTAAGGTAACCAAAAATCTATCAGTGTCATTAGTGAGGGTCTACTGTACAATTGGGGTTGATGTGGGGAGAAGAGGTACAGGAGAATCAGAAATGGGTGCCTTCTCAAGTCTGTTTGCTTTGGGGCAGGGTGATATCAATTTCCTTCCCTCTTAGGAGGGTTTTATGTTTTCTTTTGTTCAGTCTTTGAACATTAGGGTAAATTATTTGCTTTTAACAACTATACTATAGTTGTATAATTTTTCTACAAAAGTAAACAGTAAAAATAGGTTTCAAAGGGCCTCCCTGCTGGCACAAGTGGTTAAGTCGCAGCACTATGAAACTATCAGCAGCCACTGCAGCATGAGTTTGATCCCTGGCCAGGAAGCTGACCTATATGGCACAGCAGACCTCTCCTGTCTCACCCGCTGCTCTCCTCAGCAATATATTTCAGTCAATCCACCTGTTCTGCTCTCTACTCTGTCTCTTTCACCCCCCCAATACCTCTGACCTACACCCCAGTTCTTGTATGCATAAATAAATAAATCTTTTTAAAAAACAGGTTTTAAAACTCTCAAATAGATGAAAGGTTAGAATCCCTCTTTCTCTCCCCACCCTCCCTGGGTATTGAACATGGGGGGAAGGGATGAGGCCAAATACTCACAGTGCTAAGAAGAAATGAATGCGTTGGTACTGCCAAGAGAAGAGGCCAGCCCTGCTAAAGTAAGCTATGACCATAGACAAGAGATACTGGTGGGGGAAAAGGGGGAGAAAAACAGACAAATCACATCCTGGAAGGGGAAGAAGGGAGGGCTAAGGGAGTGGGTAGGGGAGGTGGATAGGGCAGGGACAGGCACTCTGCTCCCTCACAGAAGAGACCCCTCTGTTGGGTGAGTCTGATTATTTGGGGAGGGTTGTCAGAAAGCAGGTTGCAAATCCAAGAAGTCAACAGAAGAGGAGCTGATGATGCTCTTGGTCTGAGACAGTATGATGACAAGCTTGCTGGCCTGAGGGAGTGTGTGCAGGATAGTCAGCATCAGCAGGGTCTTTGTATGCTGGAGTGAAGGGGAGCCCCATAAGCTGGGGCTGTAAGTGCCAACAACGAAAGGGCCAACCAAGCTTCAGACCCCAGGGAGCCAGGCAGTGGCAAGGCTGCCCATTCACACTACAAGAAACTCCAGGCTCACAGGGAAACATTGGTCAAGCATTTGTTTGGCACAGGTTCAGAGAGAGAGAAGGTAGAGCTGTGGGTTTAGAAAGGCTCCCTTCCTCCCCCAGGAAAGACGTTGCAGCAGGAATACATCTTAGTGGAAAACATCATACCTTGTCTGATACCCTCAGATTCTTGTCCCAGGTCAGAAATCTTCTAATGACAGGATCTTCTGTGAGAGGAAAAAAAAAAAGGGCAGATGTGAGGTTGAGAACTGGAATGGGGTTAGGGGGGCAGAGAGGGGAGCAATCCAGAGCAAAGAAGGGACCTGTCCCTCCCTTGGGAAGTTTCAGGATTATGGGCAAGGATGAGGCTACAGGAGTGGGGAGAGAAGAACATTCCCGCCAGCCAGGGAGCTACCCACATGGCACAGCAGATCTCTCCTATCTCACCCGCTGCTCCCCTCAGCAGTGTATTTCTGTCTGTCTGCCTGTTCTGCTTCCCACTCTGTCTCTGGTGGATCCTCTCACCCTCCCATGCCTCTGGCTCATACCCCAGCTCTTGTATAAATAAATAAAAATCTTTAAAAAATTTTAAAAAGAACATTCACCGGGAAGGAAGGTGGTGCTGAGAGACAGGTGTCAGCAGAACACCTGCACAATTGCACATTAAATAAATAGTGATCTTGCCCCTGCTCCCCCATCACGCAAAGATGCTCTATATTGTCACCCAGTCAGTTTCTCACTTGACTGTAACTTGAGGGTGCAAAGGTGGCCTGTCATCACCATCTCATGGAGGGCAAGGTGTTTAGATTCAGAAGGCCAGTTAGAGCTAAGAAGGCCCACAGGTACAGTTGAAACCAAACTCTCTCGTCCCCCGTGCAGACCTTATCCCAAGTCTAGCCTGATCACTGATCACTACTGAGTCCTCCATGGATGGACAGCTTGCCAATTCACCGGGATTTCTTTACCACTGGAAAGTATAGTCCCTGGAAGTTTCTTCTTAAAAAAAGAAAAAAAAGAATAGAACTGGAGGGTCCTCTCAGGGGCTGTACCTACCTAGCAACTTGCTGAAGACCTCGTGGTACACAGGCAGCACAGAAGACACCCACTGTCTCTTCAGCTTCATCTTGAGCCCATGCAGTGTCTCCACCACCCAGGTGTCCTGAGCCTCAGGGGCTGTCTCCTTGGCTAGCTCCTCCTCCTCCTCCAAAGCTGCTGGCCACTCTCTCTTCTTCCTCCAGCCTGGAGACTGTGGCTGGGGGCTGGGATCCACCCAGGGGACTGAGTAAAGAAGCCAGTAGGAAATTTCTGTCTTTGGAATTCAAACATTGGTCACCAAGGCCCACTCCCACTCCACCTTCTCCTCCTCCCCCAAATCCAAGCCTCTCCCAGTCTCGCCATCACATAAACTACTGGCCTTGCCCCAAGCTGTCTTTCCATCTTTCTCTGCTGATTTGATCCCTTCATTTTGCCATTGTTTCATCCTGTTTAAATCCTCTTACTCATTAGGAGGAATTTCTCCCATTGGGGAGAGGAAAAAAGGAAACCTCCACTTGTTTCTACTCTTCCCTTTTCTCATCCTTGGATGTCAACTCCAAACCCTTATTCCTCGCTTCAAGGTTTTCCTTCCATGGGGATAGTCTTGTCCTGGATCCTCTATCTCCTGTAATCCCTGGCGTTCTGAATTGCTCCTTTCTTTCATACACAGTCACCTCCGGTGCTCCTTCCTGACTCTGTCAACTCTCTCAAATCTCTTCTCCCTCCAGCTCCCTCACCTGGCGGTCCTGGACTATCTTCCTCTATCACCATCTCCAGGAGGTACCCTGAGGAACTGGGGCTCTGTTCCTGAGACTGGGAACACGGTTGACAATTGGCCATGATTTTTCCCAAACTCTTTCTTCCCTTCCACGAAACCTAGACCCAGATCTGTCCAAACTCCTCTTCCAGATTTTGGCTGAATATAGCCTGTTATCCCTTCTCCAGGCAGGGGAGAAGCTAGAAGTAGGGGGCAAGCTCCAAGAAGATGCTGTTGTCCATCTCAGCCATCAAGCACCACGGAGTTTGGTCCTTCCAATCAGGGAGGTCGGAACTCTGTGATGTCATTGGTCATTCGAACCTAGCAACCAATTTGAAGAAAAACATTCATAACTGCCAGCCTGATGTGTGACTTCTCCAGGGAATCAGGGTGAACAGTATTGCCTTCTGACCCAACCTCTGACCACCCTCCAAAACTAGCCTCAAGGAATTCAAGTCGCTCTACCCCTCTCCAGAGGGTGCTGTGTTCTCTCCATTCTAAACTTGAAACATGCTGGATTCTCTCCCTCCTTCCCATTCCTAGTTCACAGCACAGTCTGGTAGGAAAGGAAGGAGAGTGATGAGGGAGTCTGGGGTAAGCGGAAATGCTAAGAACCAACTACAGATAGGTAGGTATGTTAAAACAACAACAACCAGGTACATTAACTTGTTACATTAAAAACACCCAATTTGGCAAAACTTTCCTACTCATTGTTTCCCAACAATATGTTCCAGATTCTGTACTCAGGATGGCACATGCCCTCTACCCTCAGGCCTCTTTTGAGAACCACAGACAACTGCACATGTGCGAACACACACTTCAATTTCAGGGAGTCTGTGGATTAAAGCCCAGGCACTTCATCCCCTCAATTTCAGTTAGGAACCTCTAGTCTACATATCAATTTTTTAAAAATATTTATTTATTTATGCGTACAAGAACTGGGGTACAGGGCAGAGGTGCAGAGGGTGAGAGAATTCACCAGAGACAGAGTGGGGAGCAGAACATGTGGACTAACTGAAATATACTGCTGAGCGGAGCAGCTGGTGAGTTAGGAGAGGTCTGCTGCACCATGTGGGTTGCTGCAGTGGCTGCAGACAGCTTCATAGGTTGTGTCTTAACCCCCTGCGCCACCAGGGAGGCCCATATATTTCAAACTTTTGAGCAAGTATAGCCCTCTTAACCCAGAAATTTCACTATCATTTGTGCATCCTATGAAAAACATAACACATGCACAAAAAAAATCTAAGTGGAAAGAAACATTTTTAAGACAGAAAATGTGTCTTCTGTGAAGTGTGGAGCACCTGGGAGAACAGGTGCAGAAAACACTTTTTCTCCACACACAACAATCAGGCAGTGCCCATCTGAAGATATATTTGAACATTGTCCAAAAGTGGGGCTTTCACCTCTCTTCCTCCTACAGATGCAGTTTCATATGCCAATGGCTGTAGTTATGCTGCCAAAACGCCAATGGAGTGAGACAGAAGTGCTTTGCAAATACCTCTGTGTGCAGAGGTATAGGGTCGCACCTCTTAGATGTATGTTACCACACCACACCCACCACCAAGGCACCCAGAGTCTTCTGCCATAGGCCACTGGGCCCCCTCCGCACATTGCTTTCCCCCCTCCATCCAGTAGCCTAAATTCTACAACCAGATTTCAAGGGTTTGTTTTGTACTCTCTGTGTATGTAACCACATCTTCATCCACTCATCTGTCTCAGGGTACTTAGATTGTTTCCATCACTTGGCTATTGTAAACAGTGTTACAGTGAACACAGGAGTGCAAATATCCCTTGGAATAGTGTGTTTGCGTTCTTGGGGTAGACACCTAGAAGTGGAATTGCTGGATCATATGGTAGATCTACTCTTAATATTTTGAGACACATCTATACTGTTTTCTATAGGGGCTGGGCCAATCTACATTTCCATCAACAATGTGGAGGGTTCTTTTTTCTCCACATCCTCACCAATACTTGTTTCTGGTCTTTTTGAGATGGGCCATTCTCATAGATGTGACATATTTTCTCATTGTGGTTTTTATTTGCATTTCCTTGATGTAAGTGATAATAAGCATGTTCCCCCGTGTCTGTTGGCTATCTGTATGTTTTCTTTCTGTTTCACTCTTCTGTTCATTTTTTGGTTGAGTTTGTTGTTGCTGTTGTTAATTTGAATGTGCTTTTTGTAGATCTTGGATATCATCCACTTGTCCAAATTTTCAACTCAAGCATGATCTAAGACTCTGTGAGGGAGGATGAATTAATTATTCAACTCATTCAGAAATTTTACACATCAAAAGCATTAGAAAACTTTACTGACTCATGTAGTTAAATTTTTTCTAGGCAATCTATGCACACATAGATTCTGAAGATGTTTGACCTATAAGGAAAGAACACACTTTTAAGCTCTGAAAGTACAACCTAGATCTAGATGCCAATATGCCAACATTTGGGCATCCCAACATTTGGTGAATTAACTAAAACCTGGAACAAAGGCAAGAGGGACTGAATTAACTTGAGTTGCTAGATATGCCTGGAACTTTGTAGAAGACATACTAGTCTACAATTCATGTGTCCATGACCAAGCTTTGATTATTTTCTAGAACTTGGTTTCCTCACTTTTAAAACAGGGATGACAGTGGTATCCAACTCACAAATTCTGTAGGTTATTGCATGGAAAGTGTGAGAAGACCCTCCAGAAAATATTACTATATTTCTATTGAGCTTTTTCCTTATTTGTGGTGTTTTTTTGCCAAAAATATTCACTCATTTTTTTAAGCTGTATAAGAATTTCTCTTTATGTTTCTCTTATTTTGGATGAAGTTAGGCAAACTATTTCTGTCAGTGAGTAAGGAATGGAAATCTTGAGTTTAATTTTCAGGGCAGAGTAATTCATTTCTGGCATGAGCTGAAGGGACCTGAATCCTGGCATGACAGGCGCCAGCATTCCTGATGGGCCGCTCTTTCAGCCCTAAGGGACATATCTACCTACATACCTATTGTGAATGCAGGGAGCTCAAGGACAGAGCCTTCCTATCCGTGAGCTACTGAGATTTCTAAATCATTTCCATCACTCTAGGAAATGATCCAAAGATGTTGGCATTTAGAATGCTAGCTTTTTTTTTAGTCTGCCCCAAATATTTTCCTGAGGTTGTCTAAAAGATATCTGCTTTAAAGAATGAATTGATATTTAAAAAGTATTATATGATGTAAACTGTCAAAGTGAGAAACATTAGCAGTATTCTCTCTTATATTGCTTAGAATCTATAATGGTGCTGCACCATAGAAAACAGCTTGGTATTGACTCAAAAAATTAAACATGGAATTACAGTGTGATCCAGCAATTCCTAGGTATATACCCAAAGGAATTGAAAACAGGTGTTCAAACAAATACTTGTATGCAAATATTAATAACAGTACTATTCAATATAACTAAAAGGTGGAAACAACCCAAAGACCCATCAGTAGATAAACAAATTGTGGTATACACACCCAATGGAATATTACTCAGTGCTGATACATGCTATAAGGTGAGGGCCTGCCAAAAACATGCTAAATGAAAGAGGTAAGACAACAAAAGTTATGTATTCATAATTCCATTTTTATGAAATATTCAGGACAGTTAAAACCATAGAAACAGAAAGCAGATTTGTGGTTTCCAGGAACTAGCAAGAAAAGGAAATGAGGAGTAATTACTTAATGGGAATGTTTATTTTTTTGAGTGATGAAAGTGTTTTGACTAGACAGGGAAGACAATTGCACGTAATAAATCTATAAATCTATTAATAAATCTATTAAATGCTGGGCCTCCCTGGTGGCACAGGTGGTTGAGCGCAGCTCTGCGAGGCTGTCTGCAGCCTCTGCAGTGAGGGTTCAGTCCTGGCCAGTTCGGGAGATACCCACATGGCGTGGTAGACCTCTCCTGTCTCGCCCGCTGCTCCACTCAGCAGTGTATTTCTGTCATTCTGCCTGTTCTGTTCCCCACTCTGTCTCTGGTGAATCCTCTCACCCTCCCTCGCCTCTGGCCTGTGGCCTGGTTCTTATATGCATGAGTAAATAAATCTTTTTAAAAAATAAATAAATAAGTAAATCTACTAAATGCCACTGAGTCTTCACTTTAAAATGATTATTTTTATGTTTGTGAAATTCATTCCAATAAAAAATACTTTCAAAACTGATGCCAAAGAATGAAGAATAAATATTACCATTGTTTCAGATTGAAAACAAATATATAGAAGAATTTAGTTTATATGAGGGGAGATGAGTATCATTTGTTTTATTGGTGCAATGATCTGGAGAGCAATTGGCAATGCCTGACAATTTTATTAAGTTCAGCAATAACAATCTCAGTCTTAGGAATTAAATTTTTGAATATTCTCAAAATAATATATCTCTTCCTCCTTGCTCTCTCTTTAGATAGATAGATACACAGAAAAATGGTGAGTATAACCATATAGCTATAATACATATGTGTATGTATCTATCTACCTACCTATCTAGTGATGGAGAGAGGACTTTTATTAATTTATTCCCTCTTAGCTCCAAATTCTCCCTTTTTGAGTTGGTTCTTGTAAATTTTTCTTCACTAACCACAATAATGTTAAACCTTGTTAATTGTAACAGGGAGGTCTCCAGGAAAGGCGGAGGCTCCAGGTTTCTTGCCCCACCCAAAAGAAAGGTGGAGCTGAGAGAGAGAAGAAGCTGCAGAGGAGGTTGAGGAAGGAAGGAAGCAGGATGGGAAGCCAGAAGGAGACCTGGAGGAAGCACATGGAACCGAGAGACACGTGAAGAAACTACACTTGCCTTTTGGTCGTGGACTGGTTGAAACAGATGTGGGTTAGAGACTCATGGAGAGGTAACAATGGCGGTTTTTGTCTTGATTTTGATTTTGCTCTTTTCCTTCCAGACTTGTGTGGTGGTTTCTGATCCTTTTCTGTGGGTCCCCACTGGAAGATGCTTTAGACTTGTGGCAGACTTTGAGGCCTTGCTCTGGGCCAATCCTGCTTGGGTGGACTTTTACCCACAAGGGTACAGGTAACTTTGGGTACTTGATTTAGAAACTATATTCTTTGCCTTTCCTGTATTGTTTCCTAATTGCATTAAAGTTCCCTCCCATTAAAGTCTCATATGTTTTGTGCTGATGTGGAGGATGGCAAAACCTATTTAGAGCAGGCAGGTTTGTGGGGACTGGTGTGCCCCTCTCCCTGTCCTGTAACAACCCTTTTTGAGTTGGGTCTTGTTAATTTTTCTTCACTAACCACAATAATGTTAAACCTTGTTAATAAAGGGCTCTAAAGGGACACAAAAGGCAGATGGGGTATGATTTCTTCTTAGTCCCTCTTTTTGTTAGATAAGGAAACCAAGAAACAGAGAGCTGGCCAAGTCAAAGGGCGATTATTGAGAGCAAGAGAAGCCTGGGTTTCCTGATGCGTCCCCATCTGCACCCAGTCTGGAAAGTCTTCCCAGCGTGATGCCTTTTCACTCCTTCCCAGAATCAGAAGGCTTGGAACAAGTACACATCTGGAAACCTTGATTCCAGGGTCCAGTTTTCCCCTTCCTTACCTGAATCTGTTGCCCCATCTTGGTTCCCGACTCAGTAATCTCATCCAGGTTTCTTCCAACTTCTGGAGAAGGACCTTCTCCACTACAGCATCCAACACACCTACTTTGGTGAACTGAGCTGGAGGAACACAGTAGAAAGTTCTGAGTCAGTTTTCTGTTGGAGGTCTTGAGCTTTTGGGGGGAAGGGATGCCCTGTTTTCTCAAGGAGGCACACAGTGGGGTCAGATGTTTCACCCACTATGTTGACCCTTGACAGGATCAGCTATCTTCTACCAATGACCTAGAATGAGGAGTCTCTAAGGACAGCTGAGAAAACTTAATCACAGAGGCTACTTAACTTGATAGACATCATGCAGACACCCTGGAAATACTGTCCACCCAACTTAACATTTATCCCCCAGGGAAAATGTGCTGCTGGATTGTATGGGGTTTGATCTTCAAGAGTACACCCCACCCAGTTCTCTGTTCACACTATTTTATCTTGTAATTTTGTTTTAAAAATCTTTTTGGATCTGTATGTAAGTTGCATAAATGGAGTTATCACTTACATTTTCTTGTGAAATTATGTATTTAAGCTAAAATGCATCGTGCTCTTGAACATTGTTATTTGCATTGAGTGGATTAAGAAAAAAAAAAAGGTTTGCATTTTCCTTATTGTCAAAAGTGAAAGACACCTTTTCTCCTCTCCCTTTTTTAGAGCATTTCCTCAAGAAAAATTGTAATATAAGTAAACCCCTCTGCCTTTATCATATGTACCTAAATCTCTTTAAAAGCTAAATAAGTCTCAGGTCGTCATTACTGATGGAAGACAAAAATAGAAAAAACTAAAGGAGGCACCACGAGACCAGAAACCAGGCTCATACAAGGAGGTGGGGGCAGAATAGAGTAACATAACCATGGACAGAGTTGCAGAAACTAGTATCCCGAGGCCTGGTCGGTTGATACTGGTATCCACTAGTATCCCTAGGCATGGTCTAAAGATATGGAGATTGGGCCTCCCTGGTGGCGCAAGGGGTTAAGCACCACACTATGAAGCAATCCACAGCCTCTGCTGCATGAGTTCAATCCCCAGCCAGAGAGAAACCCACATGGCAATGCAGACCTCTCCTGTCTTGCCCATGGCTCCCCTCGGCAGTGTATTTCAGTCAGTCAGCCTGGTCTATTTCCCGCTCTGTCTCTGATGAATCCTCTTAGCCCCCACATCTCTGGCCTGTACCCCAGCTCTTACATGCATAAATAAATAAATCTTTAAAAAAAAATAAAGATATGGAGATTGAGCCCAACAGACCCCAAAGGTAAAGATATGGAAATTCAGCCCATTGTAGAATCTCCAGTCACTTTCAAATTCGAAATAATTATCCAAATTTAGCAACCAAAACTCCAAAACAACATTACAATCCAGGCCTGTTTTTCCTAAGTACCTGACAACCGACTCTTTGAAATGTAAATCTTAGTGCAGTTAATGTTCCTTTGTATCACCAAAGGGAATTTAGGCTAGGCACCTTGCTCTGAGGTTGTAATTCTCTGCTTTCCTAAAGATGCATAGGAAAAATATTTCTTTTTCCTTCAGATAAAGGCAATTAACTATCAGATGGCCTCCCAGATTACCAGGCAATTTAGGATGAACTATGGAAGAATATATATTCACCAAATGATGCGATCATGTCCTTCCACATGAGACAAGCGATCACTTATCTTGAGAACATGTACGGATGGATCTAATGATTGTATCCACCAGGTCATAATAAAAGATGGCGCTCATCTCTATTCTCACCAGTGGTTCGTGTGACTTGCAACACAGTCTGGTTTAATGGTTAATTCAACAATACTGTTTTATTTCTACGGTTGTGGAGAGCATTTTCTGGGTTTGCAGATTTTATTTTTAATCCCCACCCCAGCTTTTAAGAAACAATTGACCAATAATAGGGTTATTTTATTTCACGAAAAATAGTGATTAATCATTGTGCCTGTGACCCATCTTTGAAAAATGTCATTTCAAACTAATATAAACAGAAGCCATTTTGAGAGGTAAGATCCCAGGTATGTGTTTCCTCCTTCGGTTTGTATGTGCTTTCTGATTTTTCTAACAGATTTTGCGCATTCGTTGTCCGATCTAGAGGAGCTAAGATTGCTAGTTTTTTTTTCTTCCTCGGGGAAACTCCATGCCCGTGGATGCTATTTTATGTCGTGGTTGGGCATTTATTGTACCCCGGTATTTTAGAGCAAGGCCCAGTGCTTCAGGGAACATGATAGACCCTTTCCTTGCCCAGTCCTGGCTTTAGGGGCGCTTCAGCTGGAACCCGAAAGATCTCCAGAGCAAAGGACCAGACATACGGACTCACGGTTCTCTTCACCCTAACTGGACTCAAGACTAACAGGAAATCGCGTCCCGGCCAATCCCATCGCTCAGCGCCTCTTAACAGCCACAGGTGGCGGACACAGACGTTTTAGACCTTCCCTGATATGCGCCGCGTAGACTCATGGGAAATAGAGTCCTGGTATTTGTCAAACTACAGCGGCGCCCTCACCCGGAGCAGCCTTCCGTTGTCCTCCTGCGCATGTGCACCTCGGGCGGCGTGCGTGTTCGCGCACGCGCACTGCCTCTGCGCCGCTCCGCTTCCTGTCGGTGTCCAGGTCACCATTCGCCCTCGTTCCCAGACGCTGGCCTCCGGCGAGCGAGGATCCCAGGGTCTGCGGAGCTGCTGGACGTGCGGCCGGACTGGAACCAACGGGCGCAAGACCGTGCGGGCTAGGGCTCACTTGGGCCAGTCGGAGGCTCGAGCGGGGACCCCCGAACGCGAGCCCTGGAACCCGCGCGCTGGGCCAGAGGGGCCGCACGGAGTGGCGGCGGAGCCTGATCGAGGCGCGCGGCCCGGTGAGGTCCCCTGGAGGCAGATTTGGGCCCCAGAGGGACCTTCGCCTGAAGTGAGTTTGTCCCGTAGGCCCAGAGCCGACTCCTCGGGAATTGGGGAGGATTGGGGAGGTGGAGAGGCGGTGATTCTGCAGCAGCAACGAGCGGGGAGAGCTGCGGCTTCCCGGGAGCCTTGGTGCAGAGGCGACTAGTTCTGGGAAGGTAGGTCTTGAATTTGTTGTGCAGGAGGCAGTTCGGGATCTTCCCGCCGGAAATGTGCAGGGCTGGGGGTGGGGGGCTTGTCCCGCGCCGAGGATGTGGGAGTGTGCGACAGGGAGGGTTTGACCGCTTTCCCTCAGATCCGAGGGATCGGATTGCGCCACGGAGGCCGATCGCCCCAGAATGCCCTCCCTTGGGACCTGTGAATCAAAGGTTTCTTGGTGGCTTAGGGGTCACCAGCCTCCACCTCGGACATTCTGGCCACTTCCTCCACACCCGGCACCCCTTTCTCCTCTTGGCCTTTCCAGATTGTCAAAGTGGCTCCATCAGCCCCTTTGTTGTCTGATCTAAATGTTCTGCCTTTGCGGGCTCACACAATGTAGTGTAGGGTAAGTCTGCAATGGTTATCGCCTGCTCTCTGGGTTGACAGAGGGAGAGATTGAGCCTGAGAGGGGAAGTGACTTAGCCAATGTCACCAGGTGTGTACGTGGAATTGCTAACAGGACGCAGACTCCCGGGCCAGCGTTCTCTCCGTTGTATTATAATTACATTAAGTTTCTTAATTGAAGATACTTTTGAGGAGCACACTCAAGGTGGTACAAGTAATTTGAAGACTGAGCCATGCCTGAGTGTATCTCTTACTCAGAGCATCCTGTGTATTTTCTGATCTTAAGTAGTTAAAAGAATTAGCAAGAAGATAGGTAACAGAGTTCCTTTTTTTATCTTAAAATTTAATGGTGACAGATTATATCAGTAGGATTCGATATTCTTTCACTAATGACATAATGTATCCGTTCAGTCAACACTCAGTCATATGAGAATTAGAAATTTATGGGTGGGTGTTTCCTACTTATTCCAGTTCTTTTTGACTGTTTAAAGGGACAGCCTCTCATATGGTGTCTTTCATAGAATTTTCTGGGTAGGTTCTTATGCAGGAGACTACTTCCTTCACAAAGCTGGTCCACTCAACCTCATGCTTGCATTTCCTTCCCCAGGTCTGCCTCCACTTCCACAGTCCTTCACATTTTTCCAAGAGCATCAAAAAATGAATAAATCCCTGGTGAGTTTCTCTGCTTTCTTATATAACACATCTTAGGAGGTGAACAACAGTTTAAATATTGAGTGGAAAGTAGAAATTGATAAAAGATGTGGTCAGACAAAACATAGAGCAGCAGATGAGCACAAGCATTGCTGTTATGTTCATAAATATGGGTTGCATGATCTTTCAGAGCCAAAGTATGCTTCTGTCTTTGATGTTCTTCACAAAAAAAAGACAAATACTCTGTTACATTGTTGTCTCATGGGCAATTGTTTCTACTTCTCCATCAGGGATGAAATGAGGAGCAGCCGGAGGAATGGCTTTTGTCATCCTTTAGGAAGGATTCCCTGAACATTTCTCTCTGCTAGTCTATTTGGGTTGTACAACAGACTGTGCATATTTTATCCTAAGGCTTGGTTCTGCGCCTGCTCCTCCCCTGAGCCTGACCCAGTACAAATTACATGTAATCTGAGGGGTTGGCCTGGCAGAGAAGTGCCTGGCTTTGTGCCACTCGAGGTCTTTCCTATCTGCAGAATCTTCTGTTGGATTCTGTGACAGACCTTTCCTTCTTTTCTCCAACTTTGATTATTCCTTCTGCCTCTATATGTGCTGTTCTTCCACCCTTGGCTCTTTTATATCTGATATCTCCTGTCCATGCCTTGAACTGACTGCTGTCCTTCTCCCATGTAAACCAGATACCTCTATCAGTCACCTGCCATTGTCTCCATGGAGTTTGTCTAGAGTACATCTCAAGTTCAATAGAGCCAACAGATCCAAAAGTAATAGTTTGCAACCCCCCATCTATACCTTCTGCTCTTCTTCCTAGTGGTTCACTGTTCTACCACTCAGCCTGCCACCCTGACCAGAAAAATGGGATTCAGTCTAAACAACTCCATCCTGTTATGCCATTCAGTTACTAGGTTTGTTTCTATTCCTTCCCCTTCATCCTGTCCTTGCTACCTTTATAATAGCTGATGTCTTCCTCCCGGACTGTAACAGAAACTTCCTTTCTAGGCTATGATTTCTTTGCTCTACTATTTCACATGAACTTTCCACATTGAGTGTTTTTCTTAAAATGTTAATTACACCATGTGGCCTCCATGTGGAAAGTTCCTGGAGTGACTAGAAAAATGAGATTCTCGTGACATTGAAATGAGGATTTGGTTTTGGTGTTTTAAATTTGATCTCTTGCAATTGCAAATACAGATAGCAAGAAGGCAGATGTGTATATCTGGGGTCAGGGGCTGAGCCTGGGCTGGATGTCTGCATGTGGATGCTGTGAAAGCACAAGATCAGCTGGGGCTCATCCATGTGATGAATGGCTGAGAAGGGAGTGAGCGGGGCTACAGTAAGGCAAGAGAGAACCTGGAGGGCGAAGTTCAGAAGCCAAGGGAATGAAGTTTTAAGGAGAGGGTGACCAAATAACTGTGATCTTGGGTCCCAGTAGGGCTGTTGCTGTTCTTCAGCTGTTGTTAGGTTCTCAGCAGTGCTTGTGAAATAGATCTCTGACACACAGAAGCAGCTTGTGAGATAGATCTCTGACACACGGAAGCAGCTGTAACACAGCACAGCCCATTTGGTAAAGTCCTCTTGGGTCTTTTTTATTTCCAATCCTCTGAGGGATACTTTCCTTCTGTTTTCACTAATGGAATCCAGGGCTTTTAGCCTTCTCAGCCCTGTCATGAAGGAATCTCAAAGGCATGGGGAATGTGAAATGCACCCTCCAGAGCAGTGAGTGAGCTGGCATTGTGTGTAGTCAACCTGGCTTTAGGGGTGTTCATGGAGACATTCACAGGTGTATTCTCATTGCCAGCATTCTGACTTGTGTGAAAATATGTGACCCAAATCTGAGTTCTCTATTACAAAGCTGTCTCAGAATATGACCTGTACTGGGTGATCTTTTAAGACATACATCTTGGATTGTTCCCTTGTCTTTTGAAACCAACCTAAAATCCCTAAATATCTGTAACTCTGATTGGTTACAGACTGTTATCTAGATTTCTGAAACCCACATACTTAAAATTTTAAATGTTTGCAAAGTGGGTGTTTTAAGCTAAAGGAAGAACAATGCAATCTCTCCCTCTTTTATACATAAAAGTGAACTTGAGCAAGTTACTTAAACCCCATCACTAAAAGGAAACATTCATGATAATGCCATTTTCAAGTAGCAATACTGAATGTATTTTATATGCATTACAAATAACAAACTAATTTTTATTGTACTTTTTTTTTAATAAGGCAAAGTTACAAGCAATTATAAAGTACCCACAAATGGCACATTGTGTGAAATTACAAGTCTAAAACCAGAAGTTAGAATAAGATGCGCATTATTCTGTGTCTGCATTAAAATTAGACTCCATCAGAATCTGGTCCCCTGCTCTCTTGCATTTGGTAATGACTTTCAATACATAGAACCCTAACTGACAGATCAACTTGCCTTTATGGACTCCAAAACACAGCTTCCCTTCAGCCAGCGTCCCTCTTGAAGTAAGCATTCACTCACTGATTCTGAAACATGAGCTTTCTCCTAGGCTCTGGGATTCCAAACCAAGTGAAATATTCTTTTTTAGGGAAATCCCTCAGACTAGTGGAAAAGACATAGATAAAAACAAATACATTACATAAAAGTTTGGAAGTTTGAATGAGATTATACACTTATTTCTGCGTATGTTGTTGTAAAGATAGTGTACCTGAAATAGGTTTTTTTTTATTTTAAAGATTTGTTTATTTATACATATAAGAGCTGGGGTGCAGGCCAGAGATGCAGGGGGAGTTGAGAGGATTCACCAGAGACAGAGTGGGGAACAGAACAGGCAGACTGACTAAAATACACTGCTGAAGGGAGCAGCGGGTGAGACAGGAGAGGTCTGCTGCTCTTTGGCCGGTGGGGGATCAAACTGCAGAGACTGCATATTGCTTCATAGTGCGGTGCTTAACCCCGTGTTTAACACAAGAAAGATTTGGGTTTAAAATGGAGATTTTGTTAATTTGCATTTATTGTGGTCATGGATGTGGTGGTATCATTTTATTAACTTACTGTGTTTCAATTTATAATACACTCTTAACTTGTATGCGTTTCTTTCCTGGAATGTTCCTGAATCCTGAATTGATGATGTCTTTTTCACATTTCTCCTCCTCTTTTGAGTGATTTGTCCTGGTTTTACCCATTGTATAATCAATGTGTTGATAAATACCAAAAGTAGTAGATTCAACTTGGCAGATAAACTAAAAAGAGACAAAACTTGAATAAGTGAAAGTAGGCTTACTTTTCTAAAAAGTGACGCAGAAGTTATTGGTCAGCACTCAAGAGTGATGCAGTGTGGTCTTCCTTTGTCAGGGTGGCCATCTGGGGCTAGTGATGTCTGAATGAAATTTGGGCATAGCTTCCAGGGCTACTGCTGCCCTTGAGAGCTGCCTGGGTAGGATTAGTAGGAGGTGGATGGGTCCTCTTCTTCCACCACAGTTCCATCAGTAATTGGGCCCTCTGCTTTCCCAGGCCCTCAGAGGCTGGTCCCTGGACATCGCTGCACTAAGGGGTCAAGTGACCAGCATCTCAGAGAATCCTGCCAGCAGGCCCCATCCTGTGGTTATTTAGTGTTCTACATATGAAAAAAACAAAAACCATAATAGAGTTTTCAGTCTATGTCAGGGGTTTGTCATTATCTCAAATGACCCGAGGATGGTATGGCCTTTTCCTTCCATAGCACTACTTCTCCACGTTTTGTTCAAATCATCTGAACCTTTCTGATTGTTAGCATACCAACACTGTTTTACAGTCCTTTCTTGGAAATTACATAAACCTTTAGTTGTTTAAACTTGACTACTATATCTTCTGGTTACTTTCTGCTCTATTGTGGAAAGAATGATAAGATACACAGTAAACAAGGATAATAATAGATTATCATTGAGAAGTACGTATTCATGTCCAAAGAATTAAGTGCTTTTCTGTAGAGTTGCTCATTTACCAAATTGTATTATGGGATAGGTGCCGTTACAGCTTTGGTTTGGAGGTAATGATAGTAAAGGAAACAGTGACAATGACTGGTATAAGTATTTCTGAGTGGAATGCCCTATTCAAAGACACATTAAAAAATAGGGTTTGGGGCATTTTCTAGATCTGTTTGTTTCTTCCCCTCTTTGGAAATATGCTCCTCTTCTTCTAGAATGCTAAATGGGAAGAAAAAGGGCTTCACAGTTCCCCAGCTGAGATTTAGGGGTAATTGAAACATGCCATTATTGACATTTCACATACCAGCCATATTCAGACCTGCTGTGGACTTACCCCTGCAGAAAAGTGCAAAACTGGGTTGTATGTTTCCTGGCTTGCTTGCTACTTTGGTAGTAGTGGCAAATGTCACAGGTTGGCTCCTTCTGTAAGCTGTAAGGTTTGTTCAGAACCAGCAGTTGTTTCAGCCATGTTGAGTTTGAAATCTGGAACATGTGTCTGGCGTTTAGGGTAATAGTCTGGACTGGTGATACAAATTAGGGAAATGTTGACATGTAGGTGGTAATTAGAGCCATGAGGCTAGATGGGATCACCATCAAAACAGTGAGTACAGAGAGTAAAGGACCATAGACACTAACCTTAGATGACTGGGAGGAGAGGAGCCAGCAAAGGAGACTGAGAAGGAGCAACTGGGAGGAGGTAAAATGAGAACCAGCATTGTAAATGTTCAGAAGCAAAATGAAGGAGCAATTGCATCCTGGTTTCCATGAGTGTCCCTCAGGCCTGTGCTTCTGGGGGCCAGGGACTATATCTGCTGGATTAGTGTCCCCAGTAGCTAGAATTATTTCAGGTTCACAGTGTACACACAGTATTTTCTTTTTTTGGTGTAAGCTGAATGAACTCATTTCTGATGTTTATTTTCCCACAATCTGCAATAAAAAAGGTTACAGTGTTTATAGTTAACTTTACCAATGAGCTTCATAAGCTCTTGTCCGTGTAATCTCCATATCACCCAATTCCACTAATGGTGCCATTACAGGGGCCAGTGTCATTCAAGGATGTGGCTGTGGACTTCACCCAGGAGGAATGGCAGCAGCTGGATCCTGAGCAGAGGACAATATATAGGGATGTGATGCTGGAGAACTACAACCATCTAGTTTCCGTGGGTGAGGAAAGCTTGCTTTTTCACCTGATAAAATACATGGGATTTCTCTTAGATTTACTGACTTAAACTTTGGGACAAGTGTGAGTAATCTGTTTGGGGCACCAGGCAGGGCATATGTCTTTATCTCCCCAGTGAAAAGTTCTAATCTGATACAACACAGATGGGTGCTTCTGTGGTATAGCTTGTAAGGCAGCACTTTCTTCATACAACACAGATCTGGAATCCCAACAGCCAAGTTCAAGTTCTCTTTCATTTTTTATTAACAGGGTGTCACATTATCAAACCGGAAGTTATCATCAAGCTGGAGCAAGGAGAAGAGCCATGGATAGTAGAAGGAAAATTCCTACTTCAGAATTATCCAGGTGTGTTAGCAGAGGCAGTGAGGAGACTGGTAACTTGGAAGTGTTTTTCCAGGAAATTTTTAATGGTCCCAAACCTTTAGAAGTGACTGAAGAAAAATTACTTGTATGTATTAATACATGTGTCTCAAAGACTTCTTCCTTCTCCAGAAAAACTTGTTTGTAGAGCTTCCCATGCTTACCTCTACTCAGAACCAAAATCCAGTCACTTCTCTCTCTTGAACCTTGGCCTTTTGTGCTCTTTTTAGCCTTCTGAGTAACCCATTATCATAGATTCTTTTGGTTTCTAGGCATTCCTTATTATCAAGTAGCTTAAGTGACTCTTGTGTTCTTACTTTTTTTTTCTTATGTTTTTAATGTGAAATGCCTCAGACTTGTTTTTATCACCAGTTTTACTTTTCCCTTCTCTTTCTTTTGAGGTCAGATTCCTAACCCCATCTTATGCCTAAACCAGTAAATTCAGTTCACCTCTCCTGTCCTGCACACTGGTGCTGGTCACTCTGAGATCCTGCCTTCTTAAGTTGGGTGTCACAATCTCTGAGTCTCTTTCCCAAATGCTCATTCATCTTGTTGCTTGTTTACTGTTATGTTCCCAGTGCCTTGAATGATGTCTCATCATAAAAGGTACTCAGTAATTGTGATGTACAGAATGAGTGCGATTCATTTATCCTCCTCCCCACACTAGGAGTGTTTCTAAAGGATCTGCTTCTACCTTTGGAGTTTCTTTGTTTTCTTAGTTGTTCTGGTGACTTTAGGGTTTTTGTTTGTTCTGTTTTATGTTGCATTGCCACCCTATCTTCTAGTCCAGTATGTTCTGCAGTAGCATATAGAACTCCTTCATTCTTGTTGTGTCTGGAAATTACCATGAGCTCACACAAAATGAAATTACTAATTACCTGTCCTAGCTCCCTTTAGTTAGTGAGTTATACTGTTTTCCCCTTTGGAGTGACCCCTTTGGAATCACTAAAAATGTCTGCTTCTAACTAAGTATTACTGATCACTCCATGATTATGTGAAATGTTTTCATTTAGCCTCCATATGTTCTCGGCTTCCTCAGTCTCAGTGTAAACAAGTATACTCTTGTCATTCTTGGATTTATGCAAGATGTGTTCACCTGAAGTTTCCAATCTTACCACTAGCCTCACTGGATAAGCCTGTGTTAATTCCCTGTTACTTCCTAAAGGGAATTTTAGTTCTTTGTCCTTTACAAATCACCACGTATTGATCCTGTATTTGTTGGAAACATTTTCTCGTTTCTCAAAACTCTTTCTAAACTCTTTTTGTCCCATATTCCTAAATAAATGTGTTGTATTCATGTGATTATTGTCCCTATAGCTTTACATTTCATTGAGGTCTGCTTTACATCCCCAGATTACACATTCTTTAAATCTGAGCTCAAATTTTCAACCCCTCCTTAAAGTTTCCAACTTTCACTGTATTCCACTCTTCCTTTTTCAACTTTGGCTCCACCTAGTGTTGATGCTTTAAAAAAAGTTAGGTCTGGTCAAAGAATCTCTTCCCTAACAGTATATAGTTTTCATTTTAGCTTTTTTCCTCCCCTGATTTACATTTCTATAAAGAAAAGGGCATGTTCTCCTTCCAAGCCATGATGTATATCATATAGTAATAGATTGTTTCTATATTTAGGAACATGGGGACATAAATATAAACATATATATGTATATATAGAAACATACTTTTGATTATCTGAGGAGCCAGGTGAAAGCATTTTCTAAACAATCCATTCAGAAATAATATATAGGTAATTATATTTCTAAATGTGCATGCCTCAGTTACATGTTCTGTAAATAATAAAAAGATACCCATATGATTGGGCCTCCCTGGTGGCGCAGTGGTTGAGTGCTGGGTTGCGAAGCTGCCCGCAGCCTCTGCGGCGCCGGTTCAATCCCCGGCTGCTCCCCGGCCCCGGAGGAGGGTCCCACAAGGCACACAGACCTCTCCTGCCGCCCGCTGCTCCCCTCAGCAGTCTGCTTCGCTCTTTCTGCCTGCTCTGCACCCCACTCTGGCTCTGGTGAATTCTCTCACCCTCCCATGCTTTTGACTGTACCCAGTGCTTGTATAAATAAATAAAAATAAATCTTTAAAAAAAAAAAAAAGATACCCATATGATTTAGATTAAGAACAACTCAGAGGAAATACAAAACTAATATTCTGTAAGAGATAGGTTCTGGTTAAGAAAAGAGAACAGAGATACATAGAATAATTTAAAGCTTAGCATTTCACATGGAATGTGAAAATGTCTCTTTGTACCAAAATGATTGTATGGAAAGTAAATATTTTCAGCTTTAAGGGGAAATGGAGTTTATTGAGGAGAGAAAGAATATTGGAAAATCATCTTGCTTTTTAAAGCATGGACATCCTCTCTCTCCCTATCCCCCCCCGCCAAAAGACTTTGAGTAGATCAAGGTGGGAAAGTCAAATAGTAAAACAATAAGAGCAGAAACTTATGGTTGAAAATGAACTGAGGCATTGTTGAGTACCACAGCAGGCTTAGAATAAGGCAACAAGGGCTTAGATTGTACTCTCTCCCAAAATGATATGAAATGATGTGGTGGAAAGTGCTTGTCAACTTCCTCTAAAATAAATCCCTACTTGGCTATATCTCATTACTGTTCAACAGATAAGTTGGTTTTCTGGATCAGGAATTTTGGGAAACTGGTATAATCCTAGTTTGGAATCATACTGTAAATGCTGGTGATGAAAAAATATTCTTTATCAGACTTCTTTGCCTCCCCCATAGACTCCTTACCCACCCTCCCCCCAAACATTTTATCTGTTGATATTTTGGCATTGGACTCAGGAAAGTTGTAGGTTTTGGAGGAGAAGGTTGATAGGGTTTCATTGAATGTGGATGATAGCAAATATAATAGTCAAATTCATCCAAAAATTGGTGAGATAATAAAAATTAAAATTACCATTTTAGGAGAAGTTTGAGGAATCTGATTTTTTTTTTTAAGATTTATTTATTTATTTATTTATTTATGCATGCATGCATGCATGCATGCACTGGGTACAGTCAGAAGCACGGGAGGGTGAGAGAATTCACCAGAGCCAGAGCGGGGAGCAGAGCAGGCAGAAGGACCGAAGTACACTACTGAAGGGAGCAGCGGGCAGCAGGAGAGGTCTGTGCGCCATGTGGGACCCTCCTCCGGTGGCCAGGGAGCAGCCGGGGATCGAACCGGCGCTGCAGAGGCTGCAGGCAGCTTCGCAACCCAGCGCTCAACTGCTGCGCCACCGGGGAGGCCCGTAATCTGATTTTTTTTAATAATTTTTTTTTTTAAATTTTTAAGCAATATTTGCTTCCCCCCACACCCTGAGGAATCTGATTTTTAACATTTTAAATGATATGAAACATTCAGAGTTAAGTGACAGTGTTATGTCAATGACAAGACTGGTTTAAGGAAACTGTCCGTAGATTGAAAATGGGAAAAATTAAACTTTTGAACATGTCTATTGTGCTAAGTGCTGTTTGGAGCACTTTAATTTACCTAAGTTAAACAGCAACCCAGTGGGTATATAATCCCCATTTTATCAGTGGATGAACCTGTCACAGAGGACAGTTAATAACTTGCCCTGGGTCTTCTAGCCAAAGCTCATACTATATCATCCAAATAGGAACAAATAGGATTTCACAGTCAGAATGAGTTCAGTTTAAATAAGTGTCATATTTAAGAAATCTGAAACTTTTGGAACAATGGAGTGTACCTTGACATATTTTATACTTCCTACTAGAAATATATGTTCCTGGGACTCTACTTCCAAGTGAAACAGAAACAGAGTTAGAAACCTGGTAACAGGACCGTTACTATAACCAAAAGGAGATTTAGGTGTAAGTTAGGTGTGTGAAATCTGAAAAAAAGGCAAAATACTTTGGGAGGATTTGGACTAGTCAAAATGCTACATAAAAAACTCAGTATAAGGTGACAGTGCCTTAGATTTACTGAGTCTTTCGTAACATGACCACACATCCTCCATTCCCTCTTGGGTACGTATTCTGCCCCGCCTTGTAAAGCAGCAATCCTTGTCCCTATGTCAGTTTACCCCATTTGCTGTGAGTCCTTTCGTATCTGCCTTGTTAGTCTTAATTCCAATTTCCTGAATCTTTTCATTTCTCTGTGTTTATATTTTATCTTCTATACCTAGTTTTGAACAAAATCCTGCAAAGCAGTAAAGATAAAAAATGCATGTGTTTTTGCCAATTTACTACTCCTCCTTACCTCATCCCTGGAAGAAAGAGAGAGAGAGAAAGAGTGTGTGTATGTGTGTTCCATACCAAAAGAATAAGGAAAAAGTACACTTGGAATTATTTTCATCTGCCCATGACCTTAGTATCTATGCCATAATGAAATTCTTGTGTGTAAATCTCATTCCACAATTTATATAAGATTTATAAAATTTGGTTAATTTTGCTTCTTTTTAGAAGTCTGGAAAGTTGATGCTCTGATAGAAAGAGTTCAGGAAAATGAAGACAAACATTCAAGGCAGACTGTATTTATCAACAACAAAACCCTGACTGAAGAGAGAGGTAATGTTCTTGGTAAAACTTTGAATGTGGAAACAAATCCTGTTCCTTCAAAACATATATTCTATAAATGTGACTCGTGTGGAAAGAGTTTAAAATCTATTTCAGAATTTATTAGTAGCGATGGAAGCTATGCAAGAATGAAACCTGATGAATGTAGTGCATGTGGGAAATCACTTCGTCATATTAAGCTTGAGACAACTAATTCAGGAGATAAATCTTATGAATTTAATCAAAGTGGGGAAACTTATACTCTAAATGAAGAAAATATTTATCAGAACATTCATATTTTGGAGAAACCCTTTGAATATCTTGAATGCCAGAAAGCCTTTCAAAAGGATACAGGTTTTGTTAATCATGTGGAGGAGAAACCCTATAAGTGGAATGGTTCTGAAATAGCCTTTCTCCAGATGTCAAACCTCAGTGTGCACCAAACGGCTCATATGGAAATGAAGCCCTATGAATGCACCGCATGTGGGAAATCCTTCTGTAAAAAGTCAAAATTTATTATACACCAGAGGACTCATACAGGAGAAAAACCTTACGAATGTAATCAATGTGGGAAATCCTTCTGCCAGAAAGGAACCCTTACTGTGCATCAGAGAACACACACAGGGGAGAAGCCCTATGAATGTAATGAATGTGGAAAAACCTTCTACCAGAAGTTACACCTCATTCAACATCAGAGAACTCACTCAGGAGAGAAGCCCTATGAATGTAGTTACTGTGGAAAATCCTTTTGTCAGAAGACACACCTCACACAACACCAGAGAACACATTCAGGAGAGAGACCCTATGTTTGTCATGACTGCGGAAAAACTTTCTCCCAGAAATCAGCACTTAATGACCATCAAAAGATTCACACAGGCGTGAAACTCTATAAATGTAATGAGTGTGGGAAATGCTTCTGCCGTAAGTCTACTCTCACTACACATCAGAGGACACATACAGGAGAGAAACCCTATGAATGTAATGAATGTGGAAAATTTTTCTCTCGGTTATCATATCTCACTGTACACTATAGAACTCATTCAGGGGAGAAGCCCTATGAATGTAATGAGTGTGGGAAAACCTTCTACCTGAATTCAGCCCTAATGAGACATCAGAGAGTACACACAGGAGAGAAACCTTATGAATGTAACGAGTGTGGAAAATTATTCTCTCAGTTGTCATACCTCACTATCCATCATAGAACTCATTCAGGAGTAAAACCCTATGAATGTAATGAATGTGGAAAAACATTCTACCAGAACTCAGCTCTTTGTAGACATCGGAGAATACATAAAGGAGAGAAACCCTATGAATGTTATATATGTGGAAAATTCTTCTCTCAGATGTCATACCTCACTATACATCATAGAATTCATTCAGGAGAGAAACCCTATGAATGTAATGAATGTGGAAAGACCTTTTGCCAGAATTCAGCCCTTAATAGACATCAGAGAACACACACAGGAGAGAAAGCCTATGAATGTTATGAGTGTGGAAAGTTCTTCTCTCAGATGTCGTATCTCACTATACATCATCGAATTCATTCGGGAGAGAAACCTTTCGAATGTAATGAATGTGGTAAAGCCTTCTCTCGAATGTCATACCTCACTGTACATTATAGAACTCATTCAGGAGAGAAACCCTATGAATGTAATGAATGTGGGAAAAAATTCTACCACAAATCAGCCTTCAATAGCCATCAGAGAATTCATAGGAGAGGAAATATGAATGTACATGACGTAGAAAGACTTCTCTAAAATCAGACCTTGTAAAGAATAAGAAATCCTCCCTGAAGTCAAACCCCATCATACATAAGAGTTCCCCCAGGTGAATGTGGACAAACGATTGTGCATTAATCATATGTAATCTAAAAGTTCACAGGGTAGCAACCACAATTGTAACACAACCATGTGACTCTGGATACTGGGCTATACAGGAGTAAACATTTACTTACATTTAGAATATATGTGTGTTTCAGCATGGATTCAAACTGTTTTATATATCAGGGAATTCATATTAAGGGGCAAATCTCTCAAGGAATGTGGAAAATAAGATACTCCTTTGGACATTATTAATACTAAAATGTATTTGATGTGTCAAAACTTTTTGTAGGAAAAAAACAAGATCTCTGTTGCAAATAAACATACTCCTTGTTTAAATGGAAGCAGGACAACTAGTTAATACAGCAACATTAAATTCATTTATGAGTGGTTCCTGAGATTGTAGGACTTATGTATGGGGGGAGGGGTGGCTTGCTTTTTTTAGGATGATGCATTACAGGATTTGGATATTCATTCTGAATAGTATCTGAAAAGGTGTCCTTATTAGAATAATTTGTTAGACATAGTAAGATTATTCATTCTAAATAGCAACACCATGTTTGTTTCTTAATATACATTGTCATTGAATTAATGTTTGGTAGGTATAAAATACTTTGTATTTTCTTACCTGGCATTTATAAATGTATTTGATCATTGTTAGTGAACTAAATCTTCCATTAAAAAGCCAGTGTTTTTTAAATAGTGTTTTCAATTGTATCTGAATCAACAGGAGGTAGAAATCTTCACATAAAGTAGAAAAATTTGCATGGAAATTTTTGAATTGGTAATGATAGAAGTTTCTAGTTGTGAGAAACAGCTATAATACTCATTATACTTTATACAGTTAAAAGCATACTTAAAATACTTCCACTTTTGTCTTCTGTTATTATTTGTCCATTTAAGTATACTGAGCACACATACTATGTAACAAGAACTATCTGTATTTTTATTTGCTATGTTTTTAAGCATAGTGCTCCACTCCTTTCTATTCCTGAATGGAATAAGAATACATTCACATGGGTTTGTGGCAAATGCTCAGTGACCACCCTACTGTTTTCTGGCAGTTTGGGTGTCTTCCTACTCACAGGATGGGGTAAATCCTGATTGGTTTCAGCCATTAATGAAAATCCCTTTCTCACTGCCAGCAATTTGTTAAGAGTTACTACAGTACCCAATTTTAGACATTTAGACAAATACAGGGGATACTTGATGGTTTATATTCTGGATAAGGTGTCCTTAAAGATTCAAGCAGTGATGCAGTGAAGTGAAATCTTTGTTTTACATTTCCTTGTCTGTATGTGATCTGCCTGGTTATGCTTTTCAACAATGAATTATAATCTAAGTGTGACAGAGATGAAAGATAGGAAGAACCTGGGACCTGGATGATGTCATTGAATCACTGAGCCAACCAACCCTAGTCACTCCAGCTCTGGACTGTTTAATGTATGCGTAAATTTATTTTAACCCAGCAGATTAGGACTCTCTGTAAGTAATAACTGAAGATAGAAAGTTATAATTTTATAGAATGAAACAATTCAGGAGTGGACTCCAGGTAAATCATTTATTTTGTGGTGTTTATATAGAGGTTTTTTATTGCCTATAAATTTTTATGTAAGTAATTTGAGCATTAGATAATCAGGTTGAAATAAAAATATATGTTTCCTTAGATTGTTACATCATAGGCCTAAGAAATTAGCCTTTGGAACCTAACAATTGTCAGGTTTACCTGCCTTTTTATAATGCATGACATAAATTCTTAGGTTAATTTATATTATTCATGGATCACTGCTATGTTAGATGACAATGTATGATGTAAATATCTACTTTTGTTTGCTTTCCAGTGATTAGCCTCATGGCTTATATTAGTTGAGTACTTTACCACTGAGATGAAATGCTGTATATGTATTAAAACCATTTGTGGTTCCTGTTTTTGTTACTAAGCACTTTGCTCCCACATTCTCTAAAATGATTGTGAGTATGCTATGTAACAAATTAAAGTCTGGTAGAGTGTATACTTTTGTGTAGGAAGTATAAATTCATAGTATGTATGTCAAACTATTTCCAAAGGTTTCCCATACTAGTCTGTCATTATAGATTAAATATACAGTATGCATTTTGAAGTAAATTATTTGAAAAGTTTGAATGGTTTTAACACATTCTTTTTCTCTTATGGATTGCCTGCATATGAAAAGCTTATTAAAAAAAGTAAAATAAGAGCATAGAACATCTATTTGTACTAGCAAACAAGGAAGTGCTCAAGAACCAATAGGGAGTGACTTCACCAAAAATGGCAAGGGCTTGTCCCTCCAACACTAACAACTAATGGCTGGCAAAAGTTGACATCAACTTGCAGAACTCTAGAATCTAGTCCAAACCTTATAATAGACATGGAGTGGTTTGGTAAAGGAAGGCAGCACCCTTGCATTAAAAAAAGAGTTATTGCTTTAAGTGTGCACCTGCCATGGATGATAGCTTGTGCTCTGTGTACAGTTTGTCACTGGGAATGGTAGAGTTTATTCTTAAAGAATTGTAGGTGTGGGTTCTACCTGTTGGGCACTATCTGTAAAATTGTTACAAAGGCTTCCCTTTGATTCTTCAGTTCAACAGACAGAGGCCTGGGTGGCTTTTGCCAAAAGCATTCAAAAAACAAGTATTGACTGTAGCAGTCTGGGGCAAGGAATGACAAGGTGAGGATCCTGGAGAAGAAAGCACATGAAATAGAGATATGTGGAGGAATAAGGAGTTTTTAAGTTTCCATATTTATCAAAGTGAGGCACAGGCTCAGAAATGACTTGAGAAGTCCCAGTACTGTGACTTTGGGCTATTATTCAGGCTCCACGTAAGCGCACAGTGAAAGCTAAGGGAGAATTGGAATGAGTTTTGTGAAGCAATGAAGGCGTGACCAACAGCCAGTATGTGAGCGAAAGTTAGTATTTTTCTTCCACCCCCTCACCCCATCTTTCTTTTTTGGCACCAGTGATTTCATAGATAACTGGCGAAACACAGAACACATTACCTCTAAGCTAGTGGGACAAATTATTCAGCATCCACACACGACAAAAGAATAGACTTAAAAAAACAGTTTAGAAGATCAGTAAGAAATCAAAGAACCCCAAAACAAAAACCTTAGGACAGGAAACAGAATCTAATTTCGAGTTGCCCCAATGTATCTTAAATGTCCAGTTGCAAGCAAGAATTACTGACATAATCAAAATTATGACCCGCTCACACTCTCCAACAGAACCGGTAGAATTGTGTCGCTTTCCAGGTGAGGTGGCCCAGAAGCTCATGTGTCCTTGTCCTTGATGCTGTTAATGAGCAAACTGACCTTAGAGGCCTCATTGTGAGAAAACTGAGCAACCATGGATAGAAAAACTGAGGCCCCTGGAAACCACTCTGAGAAAGAGTGCCAGTTCTGGATTTTGTGATTGAAAGGGAACTTCTATTATGCGTGTTATGTTTGCAGTTGGGCTATCAGACCTACCATGGAGAAGGCATCAAACAAACACCTCCAACTTCTACACAGAAGTCCCCCCACCCATCACACTGGGACACTGGAAGCCCTCAGGTAAATGGTGAACAGGAATTTGGCCTCCACCACCACCCCTGCCATTCAGGATGAGGCTGGTAAGAAAAGTCAGAAAGGAGACAATAGCAGGGGAGAAAATGTAGCCATGAGGCCCTGGGAATGGCCACCATGGCAGTGATGCTGCTTTGGGCACAGCACTGTGGGGAGGAGAAGAGAAGTCACAGACTGAGCCCGACTCTGGTAACCAGGAAGTGGCCCCAGTCAGCTGGATTAAGAGTGATCTACTCAATGGGCCTTCCTAGTGGCGCATGCGGTTGAGCATAGCGCTGTGAAGCTGTCCACAACCTCTGCAGTGTGGGTTCGGTCCCCACTGGCTGCGGAGCAACCCACATGGTGGGGAAGACCTCTCTTGTCTCATCCGCTGCTCCCCTCAGTGGTGTATTTCATCATTCTGCCTGTTCTGTGCCCCACTCTGTCTCTGGTGGATCCTCTCACCCTCCCGTGCATCTGGCCTGTACCCCGGTTCTTGTATAAATAAAATAAATCTTTAAAAATAAAAAAAAAAGAGTGATCTACTCTTGGCAATTTTTTGAGACTAAATTTAAACACAATCATAATCCCAAGAGGGTTGGGAAAGGAGCCTGGTAAGCTCATTGTAAAGATCATTTTTTTTTTTTTTAATAGAGGCATGTTTTATTTATTTATTTGTTTGTTTGTTTGTTTATACATGCACTGGGTACAGTCAGAAGTGCGGGAGGGCGAGAGAATTCACCAGAGCCAGAGCGGGGAACAGAGCAGGCAGAAGGACCGAAGTACACTGCTGAGGGGAGCAGCGGGCGGCAGGAGAGGTCTGCGCGCCATGTGGGACCCTCCTCCGGTGGCCGGGGAGCAGCCGGGGATTGAACCGGCGCTGCAGAGGCCGCGGGCAGCTTCGCAACCCAGCGCTCAACCGCTGCGCCACCGGGGAGGCCCTGTAAAGATCATTTTTAAGAACTAATGAGGGAAAGGCCAAGAAAGTTTTGAAAAACAGAATGAAGGACTTGCTCTCTAGTATATGGAGTATTATGTAGGGTAAATAAAGATGCTTAGGCTTTTATGCCGCTGGCCTCTGTGGCTGTCACCTGTGGCCTTGAATGCAGGAGGTGCTTGCCTGATTGTGGCTACCTGGAGTATGTTGTGGGCATGCGTAAGCGGGCACATCTGGGCCAAAAGACCAGCTAGGAGGGCAGCATCACACAGAATGGTGTGCAGTGGGGAGCTGCCACGGGAGGATGAGCTATGGCTATGAGAGGAAGCCCAGAGAGAAGAGCTTTAGAGATTCGCAGTGGGCCTGAGTTGCTGTCTCCCTGCCGGCTTGCTTCCCCTGCATACTATTAAAAAACCTGTGGGGATGCCAAGGGCTCCAACATTCTCTTTCAAGCTGCTGAACCGACTGTGAACCTACCCAGCCTGGTATGGTTGCAGAACATATGACAAAGAAGAGCAAGTCAAGTGTGATCTCTACCACAATTATAAAGTAGTTAAGTAAAACAGAACAAACCCCAAAAAGAATCAGTACTTGCAGGCTGTGAGCCTGCAGTAAGAGGAAATCCAATCTAACAGTTTCTGCGCAGCTCTGGAGTCAAAGCACACACACACACCTGGTCAACCATCATCCACCAATACAAATAACCCCAGCCAGGACTCTCATTGACCTCTCAGGGTCAGTGCCCATCCCTGGGTGCATGAAGTGGGCCAAAGGGGTCTACTATGATTGGGAAACAAACCTACCCTGTGGTCACATTTTCTTTCTGGAAGGATAAGGGCTAAGCAGATAAAAGCAAAAACACTATATATGATGACAAAAGCAGTGCAGCTGAACCTTGAACACAGGTTTGGATTGTGTGGGACCACTTAAACACAGATAACTCCCCACTAGAGGAATTAACAGAAGACGATGGAGGTGAGTACTTCTAAACCAGTGCCAGGGGCCTCCCTGGTGGCACAAGGGGTCAATTTTCAGCACTATGAAGCAATCCACAGCCACTGCAGCATGAGTTTGATGCTATGGCAGGGAGCTGACCCACATGGTGCAGCAGACCTCTCCTGTCTCACCCACTGCTCCCCTCAGCAGTGTATTTCAGTAGATCCGCCTGTTCTGCTCCCCACTCTGTCTCTGATGGATCCTCTCACCCCGGGCACCGCTGGCCTATGATCCAGTTCCTGTATGCATAAATAAATAAAATAAATCTTTAAACCAGTGCCAGAAGATGCAGAAAAAGCAGTGCCAGAAAACAAATAGACACTAGACAACATCGCAGGATGGTCCAATTATGCAAAATACTTTTTTATATAACATGGACATTTCTATGATACAGAACTAAAGCAAAAGGTGGACAGAATTTTTTGAGAAATGCCAAAGTCAGACAGAAATTAAGACATTTCCATAAAGTTATACTGACTTTGCCCACCTCTTCTGCCTTCTATGCCACCCACAACAGTTAAGACCAACCCTGCATCTTCCTTCTCCTCCTAGTCTACTCAACGTGAAAACAAGGATGAAGGCCTTTATGGTGAGCCATTTCCAAATATAAATGTGTAACCAAGTTAATGTAATCTGTAAGTCAACAAGGCACTAGTTCAGTTGGGGTAGGGGGAGTCAAAAGTTATACTGAAATTTTTTTTAATGCACAGCGGTTAGCACTCCCAACCTCCTGTTGTTGAAGGGTCAATTATATTTCAAATCAGAGACCAAAAGACAGATTAAGTGGTGTAAAGAACTAGCAATTCACTAGGAAATCAAGAAATCAGATCCTTACATCAAGCCACAGCTTGTCAAGAAAAAAAGTGGAAAATGATCAGTCATTTAATTTTTAAAGGTTATTTTATATAAAGAGAAAGAATACTTAATCTTTAACAAAGTTCCAGATGGAAATTTCCTGTGCTTTCTCTCAAACAGGAAATAACATTTCATTAGGTGGAAATTTACAAGGTAAAAGAAAATGTAGGGCGGGAGGGGAAGGATTGGGGTCAGAATGGGGCGTTTGCAATTGTATGGGGGAATATAAAAATAAAATTTAATATTTAAAAAAAAAATAAATAAATAAATAAATAAAAGAAAATGTAGTCATTGAATAATTTTCTCAGAAGAAATCACTGTTTCCCCCAAATTCCTATACCTAACACTTCTGAATTACATATGTACCTCTGAATTACATATGTACAATGTTCAGATAATTTATAGCTCCAATTGAGAGGAAAATCTTAACTCCAACAGGCTTAATCAATAAGGAAAACTCATGACCTCAGGTGTTCCTGAAACAGCAGCTCTACAGCTGGTTAATTCCGCACCCTTGGCAATCACCCACCACAGTTCGGTAACCTCTCTACCCACCACCCTCACCTGGTACTGCCGACCCCAAGTCACAAAATGCAAACAATGGTGGTATCTAGATGGACAATGCCATATTCTGCTTCAGACTCCTAACAATGAGTTCCCTAAACATCCTACTGGCTCAGCCCCAAACAATCCCTAGTGAAAGAAAAACAAGCCACACCAAGGATGTCTGACAAGGAAGAATAGAGCAATCTGCCAACCCGATGCCAAGGTATAATCAGGTCAAGTGGGAAGCAAAAGTCAGGCTACAGTGTCTGCCACATGATCAAGCACCTGGGTGCTTTGTATCTCCATAGTTACCCCTTTAAACAGAGAAGGGAAGATGAGGGTATTTTCTAAACAGCACCATTGTTCTGTGTGATGAGCAATGCTTTTGCCACTATTTCTGAATATGAGTTTGTGCTGTTAACAGTATTGGTCTCAGCCTTTGCATACATTATGAATAGGTTTTCATTAAACCACCTACACCCAAGACAGTGGGACGCTTTCTAAAAAGACATTGTTCGGCTTCTTTATTGAAGAGCAAGTCAATAACAATGGGCATGTTGATGCCAACAGACCTAGTATGAATACGTAAAGTGGTATAATTTTCCAAACCTTAATTTAAAAAAAATTCAGAGTTCTTTTAAGAAAAATATAATAAACACCCATGTGCTTACCACTTGAATCCAATATTTGCTTCATCTACTTAGATGTGTTTTTTCCTGGAAATCACTTCAAATTTGCAGACATCACAATTAATCACGATATTCAGCATGCATATACAGAAACACACACTAACTTTCATTATCATGATCATCTCACTTTAAGAAATTAACACTAATTCCCTAAAATTATCTAATACCCATGTCATATTCAAACTCCTCCAAATGCCTCCAAAATTTCCATGGCTTTTTTGAGCCACAAGTCTTTGGATCTGATCAAGGTTCATGCAGAGCATTTGACTGTTTCTTTTAATCTCTTTGGATTGAAGTCACCCCCAAGCTTTTCTTTGACTTTGTGAGCAAACTAGGCCAGCAATCTTGTAGGCTACACAACATCCCAGATTTGTTACTTTTCACTGAAGCTGTTGCTCATTTCCTGTACTTACTGTAAGCTAAAAGGCTAAACATTTGGTTGGATTCATGTTAAATATTCTGGCAAGGATACTTCTCAATGCAACATAAGTTCTCCTTGGTGTATGTCATCAGGATGCACATAATGTCAATACTCTCACACTACATTTGATCACTTAATCAAAGCTGGACAGTCAGTCATTCCACTGGAAAAGTACATTTGTTTCTGTTTCAATAAGTAAAATACCTGTGGGAGATACTCTGGCATTAGACAAACCCAATTCCTCCACATCTAAATGATTTAGCATCCATTGCCAATCTTTGCCCAGAATATGCGCTGCAAATGAGCAATTTTTCAAAATCTGTCATTCCTTCTACACTAGTTGTCATTATTACTAAAAGAACAGAGTGAAAATTGAATTAATTCCCTCTAGCTACAAAGAATTTATGTAAGATTTGCCTTCAATAGTAAAAATGTTAGCTCTTTCCCCTTTTGGTATTGCTGTAACTCAAATTTTTATTCAAAATGTTATAGACAGTAATTGTTTCACTGTCAATTATTCAATTATCTCAGATGTGGTTAGTAAGAACCCATTCTAGCTAACTTCTGTGACCTTTAACACACCTGCCTTAATCCCTGAATGCTTCCTTAGTTTTGACCCAACAGGTCCGTGGCTCACCTTTGACACTTCAGGACCCAAACCTAAAATCAGTGACTTCTCCAAGGAGTCCTGGTTCTCATAGTGGGTGATTTGGAGACCAAATTTGTTCATCACTATGGGGATGCAATTGTGCTTAGGTCTTCTCAATGGACATAGCTAGGAAGTATATTAATTTTTTTAAATAATGAGTGATATTTCCATTTCCTATTTATCATTATAGGGAATTTTACATATGTTTTATTTCATAATCATCTCAGACTGGAAATTTTAGTTTCTACTAACTTTAACAATTATCCATTTGCTTCATCTTAATATACACAAAATAGATTCAAAGTAACACTAAAATTATTAACAACAAAATTAACTAGCAGCGTCTATAAGTTTTTACAGATCTTTTTGTTCTTAAATACATCTCATTAAGGATGTAAGTCATACTACAGTGTTCAAACATTTCTTGAATAATTTTCTCTGGTTAAACTACCAATTTGATATAAATTTAGTTTGTTTTCAATTTTAGAATGTGCTGTACTAAATATTAAATATGTAACTTACATTTGTTTAAGTCAAAATTTCATAAAAAGTTATAATCAAAGAAACCTGCTCCATTCCTAACTCCACTACCCTGTTCACGCCTGCCTTCTCAGGTATTAGTTTATAGTTTATGGTCTAGTGTGTCTCTTTGAAAAAATAATTATGCAAGTACATATACATATATTTTTCTTATTTCTTCTCAATTCTTACACAAAAGGTAACATACCATTTTCTTTACATTGCTTTTCTCAGAATGTCCTGGTACAGTACTTCAAATTTGTCAAACATGTCATTTACAATGTATTGAAATACAAAGAAACACTGGTGGCACTTAGTGAGAGAAATTTTTCATAATAATTATGATATGGGTATATATTTTCTACTGACAACTACTTTGATGCCCACTGAGTAAATCAAACATACACAACATCTGTGTTGCATACTAACATCCCTAAGCCTTGCTTACATCAAGGATTCTTCACACATCCGATTCTGTTAGCCTGCTACTGCAACTTGTGTTTTTCAAAATATTTTATATCCTAACAATGAGTAACATCAGCATTGGCTATATCTTATGTCACATTTTCAAATTTTGGGTATCAGTTTAATGAGTTCTAGTATTACATTAATTCTAGAGAAAAAAATGTATCCACATATCTCAAATTGACAGGTTTCCCCTCAGTATTCCTTTTATGTATAAAGTTTGACTTTTTCCTTAGAACTTTCACGCATATAACACATTTATATAATTTCCCTTCAATATTAATGCCAGTAGGTTGCAACTTTGTAAATGCTTTTATGTCTTTGTGGTATTCTTTATTCTCTGCCCCCTTGATTTATCTGAAGCACGCATTTAATAGGTGAATCCACAAGCTCTCCAACAGGAAGGCATGACACAGAAAGTTGTGCATATTCATCTCATTCATGGAGAGTCAGCCAACCCCCACCACATGTGTAATTTCTGATGCCAACAAGGGAGTCTTCACATTATTACATTCCTATGATTTCTTTCATGACAAAATTTGACTTCACACAGGAAGATTTTCCCTTTTTTTTTCCCCAATTAGGGTATCTCTCTTGCATGAATGACCTGATGTTTAGTAAGAGTTGACTTCTTACAAAAGGATTTTCCACATTCACTACATTCATAGGGTTTCTCTCCTGTGTGTGTCCGCTGATGTACTGTGAGGGTTGACTTCATACAGAAGGATTTCCCACACCTCTTACATTCATATGGCTTCTCACCTGTGTGTGTTCTCTGATGATTAATGAGGTTTGACTTCACATAAAAAGTTTTCCCACATTCGTTACATTCAAAGGGGTTCTTCCCTGTGTGAGTTCTCTGATGCACAGTGAGGTGTGACTTCATACAGAAAGACTTCTCACATTCATTACATTTATAAGGTTTTTCTTCGGTGTGAGTTCTCTGATGTATGGTTAAGGCGGACTTATAACAGAAAGATTTCCCACATTTATTACATTCATGGGGTTTTTCCCCAGTGTGTGTTCTCTGATGTTCAATGAGATGTGACTTCTGGAAGAAGGTTTTCTTGCACTCCTGACATTCATAAGGTTTCTCCCCTGTGTGAGTTCGCTGATGTTTAGTGAGGTGTGATTTCTGGAAGAAGGTTTTCCCACACTCTTTACATCCATAAGGTTTCTCCCCTGTGTGTATTCTCTGGTGTTGGCTGAGAGCGGACTTCATATAGAAGGATTTTCCACAGTCATTACATTTATAGGGCTTCTCCCCTGTGTGAGTTCTCTGGTGTACAGTCAAGGTTGACTTGTGGCGAAAGGTTTTCTGACATTCATTACATTCGTATGGTTTCTCTTCTGAATGTGTTCTCTTATGGTCTGTGAGATTCGACTTCATAGAAAAGGCTTTTCCACATTCACTACACACATGGGGTTTCTTCCCTGTGTGATTTCTCTGATGAATATTAAGAAGTGACTTGACATAGAAGGCCTTTTCACATTCATTACATTTAAAGGGCTTCTCTCCAGTGTGAGTTCTCTGGTGTATAATGAGAGTTGACTTCATATGGAAGGCTTTCCCACATTCATTGCATTCATGTGGTTTTTCCCCCGTGTGAGTTTTCTGATGTTTAGTAAGGGCTGACTTTTTGTAAAAGGACTTCTCGCATTCATTGCATCCATAGGGTTTCTCCCCTGTGTGAATCCTTTTATGTACAACAAGCATTGAATTCATAGAGAAGGACTTGCCACACTCATTACATTCATAGGGCTTCAAACCTGTGTGAATTTTCTGATGTTTTGTGAGATTTGACTTCACACAGAAGGTTTTTCCACATTCATTACAGTCATAGGGCTTTTTTCCTGTGTGAGATACCTGATGTATAATCAGGGCTGACTTATAGCAGAAGGATTTCTCACATTCAGTACATTTATGTGGTTTGTCTTCCGTATGCTTCCCTTGATGTACATGCAGGGCTGACTTATAGTAAAAGGATTTCCCACATTCATTACATTCATAGGGCTTCTCCCCTGTGTGAGTTCTCTGATGGTCAGCAAACTGTGACTTCTGGAAGAAAGTTTTTCCACATTCATTACATTTGAAAGGTTTCTCCCCTGTATGTGTTTTCTGATGTTTCGTTAGGTTTGATTTCACACAGAAGGATTTCCCACAATCCTTACATTCATATGGTTTCTCCCCTGTGTGAGTTCTTTGATGATGATTGAAGTTTGATTTTGCATAGAAGGATTTCCCACACTCATTACACTGATAGGGCTTCTCTCCTGTGTGGATTCTCTGATGAACTTTCAGGGCTGAGCTATGACGGAAAGCTTTCTTGCACTCATTACATACAAAGGGCCTCTTTTCTAACTGCGTGCTCTGCTGATCAGTAAGGGTTGACGTCACAGGGGCTTTACCACATTCCTTAGATGCACTGGGTTTATCACCTGTGTGTGTTCTTGGAGAGTCAAGTTGAGATTTATTACTTTCACATAGTTTCTCTCCTGCATGTGTACTCAGATGTTGAGTAAGGTGAGACTCCTGACCAAAAGATTTCTTGCAATGATTACATTGGAAGATTTTTCCTCCTGTTTGAGTTTTATTAGGTTGAGTGAGTTGTGACTTCTTGCTGAAATTATCCTCACTTTTATTAGATTCATGGGTTTTCTCATCTATATGAACTTTCTGATGATGACTAAGGGTTGACTTCTCATTAACCTCAGTGTTATTCTTCCCTGTATGAATTTCCTGGGAAACTTCTAGGGCTGACCTGTCACTGATATTTTCCCCATATTCCTTAGAATCACAGGATTTCTTTTCTGTTTGAGCCCTCCCAGGTGTGATGTCAGCTGCCTCATGAAGGAGGGTTTCTTCATATTCGTTACCTTTAAGAGGTGGTCTCGAAGTCTGAATTCTTTGTTGCTCGCTAAGGTCCTCGTCAAGACTCAGGGTTTTCCCATCTTGGTTACATTCATCAGATTTCTTTTCAGCATAATTATTTTCTTGTCTGTTTGGAAGAAGCAACCTCCCACATGCATTAATTTCATCAGAGTTCTTACTGGAATGATTTTTACCACTGACTAATTCTGAAACATTTTTCAAACTTAATCCACCTATGTTATCTTCACATGGTGTTTTTCTTGCAGAAACTGGGTTTGTGTCCAAATTAAATGTCTTTCTGAAAACCCGATCTGTCTTATCAGTAAATGTTTTTTTGTTGGTGAGTGAAACTCGCCACAAATGTTTATCTTGGTTTTCCTGGCTTCTCCCTCTGATGTCATCAAACTTCCTGACTTCTAGAAATAAGAAAAGTTAAGTATATTTTTGAAATGTTAACACATTTTCTTTGTACATTTGATTTTATCACTGATTCTCAATTTTCAGTCCCAAGTGCTTTGGGTAAAATTCCAAACATATTTCTTCATGGAACAGAAAAAAACAAAAATAGAAAATACCTGCTATAGAAGAAAAGGAAGAATAATACTAGTAATGAACATACATATATTTGCTATTTTTAAAATATGACCTTCAGAACTAAAAAAAATAAATAAAGGAAAACTAAGCACAAAGAATAGCTGAGTTGAAGAAAAAGCATGGCACAGAAACTACAGATAATGGGATGAACCCAACAAAAACCATAAGCAGAAAGTAGTGTAACAAGAATATTAGTGTATGTGGATATTCAAAAGAAACATCACAGGAAGTCTTAGGTGTGGGATAAAACAGACTATACAGCTGTAGCCCGCTATTTATGTCAACAGATAAAATAAGATTTATATTAGTTTTATCCTTAACTATGAGGTTGAGTGAGATGTGACTTCTTGCTGAAATTCACAAGAAATGTTTTTTAATGTTCATTCCTAATCACAAGTCACAAGACTCATGAAGATTTTTACTCTTGGTTAGCCTGCTTTTAAACTTTGGTTCTACCAGAAACACAGATATCCTCCAGAAAATGTATCTCTGTCTCTTCTCCTGCCAAACACATTTTTCAAATCATGCCTCTTAACCTCTACTTTCTCAAATATTTTAAAGTATTCACTACCTACACTTTTCCTTAATACACTTTTCCTCATCTTTGTCCAAATAGTACTTAATAACACTGAAATTCTAAATATATAACAATTTGCATACCTCTCCCAACTACAACTATGCTGCTGTCAGGTTTTAATGTCACTCCAGTTAGTACCCCTCATTTACCATTATACATCAGAATTTGCTGGAAACTTTTAGTCAAAAAATAGGGTGTAAACTATAAAGGCCTCATGTCAATCTATATACCCTGTGAATCACATCTACAAGAAGGTGATGTAGGCCTACTTAGGATGCTTCATACTTCGGAATGTTTTCTGAAAACACATCTCTATAAGTATTAATACATGAAAATAATCTATTAGATAGTACAATATCAAAGTAAGGAAGAGTAAAAAAGGTATCTTTCAGGTGGGGGAAAATAGGTAATAGCCAGATACTCTCAGGTGTCACATTATAAGGTCAACTTTGAGGTTAGCCACTAGGTGAAATGAGAATTCTAAGAAAGAAGAGCTTGATGTTGGCGAGAGTAATTAAGAAATCAAGAGGTGAAAATTTTAGTTCAAACAGGGAATCAGGTGAAAAAATGAGCACAAGCAGCATTAACTATATGGCAGACATAGTCCTAAAACTTTTCTTAAACATCTGCATAGGCAAGAAGAGGTGCAGACTGTGGGAAGAGGTGCAGATTCTGCATGGGAATATATAAGAGGAAAGATCAAATGGAATTTATCACGAATTTTTGAGCAACAACAAAAAGACATGAATATGGGCTGATTCATTTTGAGAGGTGTCTAAAGTAAGAGAGGGCAACCATAGGTTTATATAGGGCTATCAAAAACACAAAAGGATGCCTTGAGTTTACAATATATACTTAAGGGCCTCCCCTGGTGGCGCAGTGGTTGAGCGCTGGGCTGCAAAGCTGCCCGCAGCCTCTGCAGCGCCGGTTCGATCCCTGGCCGCCAGTGAGGGCCCCACATGGCGTGACAGACCTCTCCTGCCGCACCTGCTGCTCCCCTCAGCAGTGTATTTCTTCATCAGCCTGTCTGTTCTGTTCCCCACTCTGGCTCTGGTGAATTCTCTCACCCTCCCACGCTTCTGACTGTACCCAGTGCTTGTATAAATAAAGAAATCTTTAAAAAAAAAAAAAATATATATATATATATATATATATATATATACTTAAAATTAGGGATAAGCAAGGATTCAGAGATTAAGCTTTGGTTCTGATTTAGGTTATTGGAAAGTAAGAATAAATGCTACAGAAGACAGTTTTCAATGGAGAACTCTTAATTACTACAGCAACAGAGCTAATACTGACATCTGAGAGGGCAAATACCCCAACCATGTTCTTCACTTTCAAAAGTGCTCTGGTTATTTTGGGACTTTGTTTTGCATACAATTTTAAAAATTTTTTATTGAATAATTCTAAAATCTAAAGTCCTCCATATTTTAATTCTATTGGTTCTACTAAGTTGCACAAATGACTTCTTCATTTGAGCTTGCTAATTTTTTTTTTCATGTACTTCTGGTGTCATTATAATACATGGGAACCTGGAAAGCTGAACTAGCAAACTAGCAATCCCTTTTTTTTTTTTTTAAGATTTATTTTATTTTATTTTATTTTATTTTATTTTATTTATTTATTTATACAAGCACTGGGTACAGTCAGAAGCGCGGGAGGGTGAGAGAATTCACCAGAGCCAGAGCGGGGAGCAGAGCAGGCAGAAGGACCGAAGCACACCGCTGAAGGGAGCAGTGGGCGGCAGGAGAGGTCTGTGCGCCATGTGGGACTCTCCTCTGGTGGCTGGGGAGCAGCCGGGGATCGAACTGGCGTTGCAGAGGCTGCAAGCAGCTTCGCAACCCAGCACTCAACCGCTGCGCCACCGGGGAGGCCCGGAGCAATCCCTTTCTTAAGAAAAAGTTTTTCTCTCCTAGAAGACAAGGAGAGCTAAGAGTAACAATTAGGGAGGATTTAGCCAAATTTGCAAAGCCCTGACTTCATGTGGAAGATGCAGGTTGCACTTTCCCATCAGCCTAGCTATCATGGGGTAGAGTGAGCATCTGTCCTCTGGACAAATTCAATGTCATATCTGTTTGCTGCTCAATGAACCTGCTCTAGTTTCAGTTCACTATTAGGTTCCTAATTTGTTTTGATTTCCCTCACATTTCAGAAAATCCAGAAATGGGGCCTCCCTGGTGGCTCAAAGGGTTAAGACACAACCAATGAAGCTGTCCATAACCTCTGCAGCATAGCATGAGTTCGATCCCCAGCCGGCCAAGAAGCAACCCACATGGCGCAGCAGACCTCTCCTGACTTGCCCGCTTCTCCCCTCAGCAGTGTACTTCGGTCAATCTGCCTGTTCTGTTCCCCACTCTGTCTCTGGTGAATCCTCTCACCTACCACACCTCTGGCCTGTACCCTAGCTCTTGTATGCAAGGATAAATAAATCTTTAAAAAAAAGAAAGAAAGAAAATCGAGAAATATACTAAAGTTTTGTTATATTTAAGTAGATTCTACTCCTTCCAACTTCCTGCGGGAAGTAGAAATCCTCTATTCTTGTTTGAACCTACCAGCTTTCACCACACCATTCCCTAAAAACTTTTCTCGTTAAAATCACCAAAATCACCAAATTCAACACTTAATTCTGTCTTCATCGTAATCTCTCAGTATCATATAAAACAGTTGCTATTCCCCCTTTAACTAAAAAAGATGTTATTTAATGATAACTCATTAAAGTCAATATAAGTCAAATTTCAAAAGATACCAGACAAGAACAGTGAAAAATCTCCCTCCCAACCAATGTTTCCCAGTCATTCAGCTCCCCTTTCAGAAGACATCAATTACCTATCTGAGTTCCTTCTGGCTGTTTCAGGTTAAGTTTATTTGAGGTATGTAAGTGGTATGTGTATAGACTGACTTAAGAAAACTGGCATGGCATCTTCAGCCTGAGTCTTCCTGTCCAGGAAACATGACACAATTTCAAGTCTCTTAGACTCTTACAAGTGTTTTAAAACTTTAGAGAGAGGGCCTCCCTGGTGGCAGAGGGATTGAATCTCAGTGTTATCATGCTATTATTGCCCCTGCGGCCTGAGTTTGACCCCCAGACAAGGAGCTAACCCACATGGCTCAGCAGACCTCTCCTGTCTCCCTGCTGCTCCCCTCAGCAGTGTATTTCAGTAGATCTGCCTGTTCTGTTCCCTGCTCTGTCTCTGGTGAGACCTCTCACCCTCCTACACATCTGCCTATACCCCAGTTCTTATATACATGAATAAAAAAAAATCTTCAATCATTGGCTGTTCTAGGGATTACGATGTACATACTTAGCCACACACACTCTCCCCAATACCAAAAACATGAATGGCACATAGTAGAAATATCTGCAGAATGAATGAATGTCTGGTTGGAGAGAGTAACAAAAAGAAAACAGTCCATGAAAATGGAGGGAAAATGAACACTAGAGAAAAAGAAACCAAGAAAAATAGGTATAAGACAAGACAAGCAGAGATCAATACTAGGTGTAAGAATGGTCAGCTTCAAAAAAAAAAAAAGAATGGTCAGCTTCCCTAAAAGTTGGCAGAAAAGGAAAATATTCATATTTAAGGGTGATAGATGAAGGGCAATTCAGGTTATCTGAGCAAGTTGGTTTACTGTGCAGTTCCTTCCAAAGATCTGAAGGCCCTAAAGAAGTTACTGAGACACAGACCAAAGGGTCCAGTCGCTAAATAACACATCTGGGACCTTACTTCCAATGGCCTCTTTTTGTCACCTGGTATGACTAACTCACCAGGATTCCTCTGGCCTGGTACTTCTCTCTCTACAGGCCATAGCTCTTCTCCTTGCTCCAACCTGAAGATCAGCTTTGGCTTGGTGATGCAATACCCTGTGAGGAGACAGAGGATAAGGCTCTGACAAGCTGCATGGACGTCAAGGCTGTGAAGAATGAGGAAAGTGCAGTTTCAGGAACCACGTAATACAGGTGCCCACTTAACCATTTCATTAAGGAGGTAGGAACAATCATCTTTGATCCATAATATGTACACATGCAAACATTACTCTCCATGAAGGACCCATAAATTTGGGTAGCTAAGAACTAAAAAGAGAAATTCATTCTATGAGGCATTACACAGGAAAAACTCACCCACTGAGACCAGGTGGCCATAGTTCTCCAGTGTAACATCCCGGTACAGAGTCCGCTGAGTACTGGTCAGTTGTAGCCACTCACTCCGGCTAAAATTCACAGTCACGTCCTTGAATGTCACAGATCCCTGACCAGCACATTTCTATTCAAGCCAAAGAGATCAAAATTTGGATAAAGAGACACCATGGTAGGAAAACCCAAACAACATTAATTTATTAATTTAAAAAAATTGAAAATTTCCTAGCATGTATCTGGAAGATATCCTAGCTTACCAGGAATATTAAGTTAAATTAATCCTTTTTCTGCCTTTGAAGAACTTAAATACTAGTAATGAGACAAATCATATTTATGAACACCTATCCTGTAATTAGGTATTACGAGTACTATGCTAGAATCATTTCTAACAAGTGTTAAATAATGGTAGAAAATACAGTTCTATTCTGCGTGTCAGGTTGTGCTTCACTGAAAATTAGAGCTTCGTTAATGTGGTACCACCGCATAAGCACAGCCAAAGAGGCAGGAAAACACATAGCATTATGCTAGGAGAATAGAAGTTACAAGGTATGAGGAGATAAAGAAGTGCAAAAGTATTTGGGAATACATTATGGGGTAATTTTGGACTTATTTCTACAGTTATCTCAAAATCCTTCAACTACCCTAGCAATAAATAATATACACATGCCAATCCACACAATAATAAACTTAATTTATCTCTTTTTTTTTTTCCTGGTTAATAGTCAAATGCAGATAAGCTATTGTTACTGGGAAGAAAACACTGGAGCATCCTGTCCCCTCTATCAGTGGCAGGGTGACTGCTGAAACAACAGGGAGCTAGGTCTCCCTGGTAGCGCAGGGATTAAAGACAGTGCTATCAAGCTATCGCCAGCCACTACAGCACAAGTTCAATCCCAGGCCAGCTGGCCAGGGAGCTACCCACATGGCACAGCAGACCACTCCTGTCTCGCCAGCTGCTCCCCTCACAAGTATATTTCAGTAGATCTGCCTGTTCTGCTCCCCACTGTCTGGTAAATCCTCCCACCCACCCCCCACACCTCTGGCTTACACCCCACTTCTTGTATGCATAAATAAATAAATCTTTAAAAACAAAATAAAGCAAACCAACACGGAGCCAAGGAAGAGATGCAAGCAATCACCATTATAGCTATAAGTTTACATTAAAATCAAGAGAGATCTCAAATCAAATATCTAACTTTATAACTTGAGGAACTAGAAAAATTAATCCCAGATATAGTAGAAGGAAATAATTAAGATCAGAGATAAACAAAATAAAAAAAAAATAGGGAAATAAACCCCAAAGCTGATTTTTTCAGAATATCAATAAAATTCACAAACTTTTACCTAATTGGACAAAAAAAAAGAGAGCAAAAAGATACAAATTGCTAAAATTAGAAATGAAAATAAGGACATTACTACTCTGCTGAAATAAAATGACTGGGAGAAAATAATGGACATCTATAAACCAACAAATTGGATAACCTAGATAAATTGGACAAATTCCTAGAAATACAAACCTACCAAGATTAAATCACAAAGAGAAAAGAAAATCTGAATAGATCTATAACTTGTAAGGAAATTGAATCAGTAATCAAAAATCTCCTGACAAATAAAAGCCCCAAATCTGATGAATTTGCAAGTTCATGCTACAAAACACTTAAAGAAGAACAAATAACCAATCCATCTCAAACTTTTCCAAAAAATTAAAGAGGAGGGAATATTTCCAAATTTATTCTACAAAGCCAACATTAGCTTGATACCAAGGTTGTAAGACTTTGCAAGCAAAGGAAACTACAGTTATAAACTTATGCAATCCTGCAAAGCAAGCAAACTCAACAGACCAACATCTCTTATAAACCCTTATGCAAAAATCCTGAAAAAAACCAAGTTCAGCAGCATATTAAAAGGATTACATGTCATGACTAAGTGGGATTTGTTACCAGAATGCAAGAACAGTTCAAAATACAAAAATGACCAACATTATAACCACATTAATAGGGCCTCCCTGGTGGCGCAAGGGGTTAAGCACCACACTATGAAGCAATCCACAGCCTCTGCAGCACGAGTTTGATCCCCAGCCCGCCAAGGAGCAACCTACATGGCGCCGCAGACTTCTCCTGCCTCGCCAGCTGCTCCCCTCAGCAGTGTGTTTCGCTCAGTCTGCCTGTTCTGTTCCCCGCTCTGTCTCTGGTGGATCTTCTCACCACCACCCCCGCATCTCTGACCTGCACCCCAGATCTTGTATGCCTAAATAAATAAATATTTTTTTAAAATGAGAAATATTAGGAAACTAATATAATAAAAGCCAAGTAAGAAAAACCCACAGCAAATATCATACTCAATGGTTTCCTCTAAGATCAGGAATAACACAATGAAGCCCACTTCTGTCCAACACAGTATTAGGTATTCTAGCCCAAGCAATTATGCATTAAAAACAAATAAAGACAGGCATTCAAACTGGATGAATCAAAGTAAAATTGATTTCTTCTCAAATATGATTTTATATATAGAAAATCCTAAAGATTACATACACATACTGCTGGGGTCAACAAATAAATTCAGCACAGTAGCAACATATAAATTCAATACAAAAAACAGCTGCATTTTTATATACTAACAATTAACAATATGAAAAGGAAATCAAAACAATCTCATTTATAAGAGCATCAAAATGAACAATTTAGGAATTTAAAAAGGTGAAAGACTTGTACAATGAAAACTACAAAACACTGCTGAAAGAAATTAAAGATAACTAAATGGAAACATCTTGTGGTCATGCACTGGAAGATTTAATATTGTTAAAAGAAATCTACATATTCAAAGCAAGTCCTATAAAAATCCCAATCACATTTTTTACAGAAAATGAGATACCACTATTCCCTATTAGAATACCCCAAGTCCAGGGCCTTCCTGGTGGTGCAGGCGGTTGAGCGCAGCACAGCGCTGTGAAGCTGTCCGCAGCCTCTGCAGTGCCGGTTCAATCCCCACTGGCCTAGGAGCAACCCGCATGGCAAGCAGAGCTCTCCTTTCTCGCCGGCTGCTCCCCTCAGCAGTGTATTTCAGTCAGTCGGCCTGTTCTGTTCCTTCCTCTGTCTCTGGTGAATCCTCTCACCCTCCCACACATCTGGCCTGTACCCCAGCTCTTGCATAAATAAAAAATCTTAAAAAAAAAAAAAAGAATACCCCAAGTCCAGAACACCAACACCACCAAATGCTGACAAGGATGTGGGACAAGTGCTACCATTCATTGCTGATGTGAATGTAAAATGGCACAGCCACTTTGGAAGACAATTGTTACAAAACTAGATATACTCTTACCACATGATCCAGCAACCACATTCTCCTTGGTATTTACCTAGTGACATTAAAAACTCAGGTACACACAAAAACCTGCACACAGATGTTTATAGTAGCTTATTCACAACTGCCAAAACTTGGAAGCCACCAAAAAGCCCTTCAGTGAGTGAGTGGATAAACTGTGTTCCATTGAGACAATGGAATAGTATCTAGTGCTAAAAAGAAATGAGCTGTCAAACTGAAAAGACATGGAGGAATCTTAAATGCCTATCACTAAGGGAGGGAAAAAAGTCAATCTCAAAAGGATATATGCAATATGAAAATGAAATAGGGAATATGAAATACTCCCTGGAAAATGAAATAGGGAATAAAGAAATAACTCACCTGGGATTTGTTCATTTTTTGTTGTTATTGGAAGATCGTGGAGATCTGGAAAGACACACCTGGAAGAGGAAGAAAGAGGAGCAAAGGAATGAGAGCTGCTGGCCCTGCAGCTTCTCCATTCTTCTCCGAAACACTTACACACACCAGCTGGTAGCTGGAAAGAAAGACACATCCTAACACCTCTTTGTGGCTCCAACAAAATTTCATGGAGCTTAAACCTGCAATGTTCCCTACTGCTTTCATGATTTATAGCCCCCTCTGACTGATAAAGACATATCATTTAAAACAAAACTGAGGGCCTCCCCGGTGGCGCAGCGGTTGAGCGCTGGGTTGCGAAGCTGCCCCCAGCCTCTGCAGCGCCGGTTCGATCCCCAGCTGCTCCCCGGCCACCAGAGGAGGGTCCCACATGGCGCGCAGACCCCTCCTGCCGCCCGCTGCTCCCCTCAGCAGTGTACTTCGGTCCTTCTGCCTGCTCTGCTCCCCACTCTGGCTCTGGTGAATTCTCTCACCCTCCCGCGCTTCTGAATGTACCCAGTGCATGTATAAAACAAACAAACAAACAAACAAATAAATAAATAAAACATGCCTCTATTAAAAAAAAAAATTAAAAAAAAAACAAAAAAAAAAACTGAGGGGCCTCATTGCTGGTGCAAGGGGTTAAGACACAGCACTATGAAGCTATCCGCAGCCACCGCAGCACAAGTTTGATCCCTGGCCAGGATGCTGACCCACATGGGGCAGCAGACCTCCCATGTCTTGACCATGCTCCCCTCAGCAGTGTATTTCAGTTAGTCTGCCTCTTTTTCTCCCCACTCTGTCTCTGGTGAATCCTCTCACCTCCACCCCACACCTCTGGCCTGTACCCCAGTTCTTGTATGCATAAATAAATAAATCTTTTAAAAAAAAAACTGATTATCAAATAATGGTATCTCAAACAATGAAGACAGAATCCCTTCATTAAAACTGATGTTGAGGGGCCTCGCCGGTGGCGCAGCGGTTGAGCGCTGGGTTGCGAAGCTGCCCGCAGCCTCTGCAGCGCCGGTTCAATCCCCGGCTGCTCCCCGGCCACCGGAGGAGGGTCCCACATGGCGCACAGACCTCTCCTGCCGCCCGCTGCTCCCCTCAGCAGTGTACTTCAGTCCTTCTGCCTGCTCCGCTCCCCGCTCTGGCTCTGGTGAATTCTCTCACCCTCCCACGCTTCTGACTGTACCCAGTGCATGTATAAACAAAACAAACAAACAAATAATAAATAAATAAAACATGCCTCTATAAAAAAAATAAAAATAAAAAATAAAACTGATGTTGAAGGGGCCCTAATATTACCAATAATGTCAAACTTGAGTCAGAATATTCATAAATCAACCTTGAATCAGAGAATATTCATAAATCTCTGGAAAAGAGGCGGGTGCTTTAGACATAGGTCTTTTGAAAAACGGTTTCTTCTAATTTGAGTGCTGTTTCCCAAAAGGATCTTGTGGCAAGAAATTTGTTTCAGTGCGGACAGCACCAAATCAGGAGCCAGTGACAACCAGTTCTCTTCTCTTACTGACCTAGACAAGTCATTTTCCCTTTCGGGTTCTTTTTTTTTCCTTCTACCAAATGAGACAAAAACAGATCTCCCTGGGGCAGCCCTCCTGGACTACTGCTCTCGACCCTGTAAGATCAGGAAAGGCAGACCAGCAGCACGCCGCAGGCATGGATAGAAAGCGCCACAGCTTCTGGAGAGTTAGTGGGAAATGTGGGAGCAGAGGGTGCCATTAGGGACAGGGTTTGAAGATTAGTTCCTCAATGCGGAATAACACAGCACCCAAATTCCCCAGCACCCCGCCGATGAGGCCGCACTTTTCATGCAGTCCATCCCTTGCCACCGCTGGCAGCCCAGGTCCCTTCTCATCTGCAGAGTGACTCACAGCCACTGAATGCGGCGAAATCACTCAAGCCCTGAGCTCCTTTTCTGGGTTTCCTCTCGGAAGTTGCAATGGGTCAGAGCTCGGAGGGGGTACATCTGAAGTGAAGTGAGATTTCTGTTCCCGAAGCTAATTCACTAGCTGGCGCCTTGACCAGGGGGCCCAGACCCGCCTCCGTGAGCGCGCACAGCTGCCAGAAACCTCAGGACGCGCTCCTACGAATGCAAAGCAGGAGCTGAGGACAAAGGCCGCCGGCCACGGTCTGGCGCAGACGCGGGCACCTCCATCATGGCAGCCCCTGCCCTGGACAGCGCCGGGGAGAGGGCGGGGAGGCCCGCGGCTGACCGTGCAGAGACGTCCACAAGTCTAGAGAAACACTGGGGACGCCCGGGATTCAAACTGCCGCCGGCACCCACATTGCAGTCGCGAGCGCGGCGCGGGGAGGAAGCGCGCCAGGCGCCCGGAGGTGGCGGCGCGGGCTGAGGGGCGCGCAGGACCCGCAGCGGCGCGCGGCTTCTCTACTCAATTTACCTCCCGGTCAGATGAGGTCGTCGCTGGTCCCTGAGCCTCCGGTGGTTCTGAGGTCGGAGACCCCCGGCGCGCGCCCTCGCCCCCGAAACTCACTTCTGCGGCTTCACGCCCGGGCGCTCCGTCAGGACGCGCCCCCGCCGGAACCGGCGGTCCGGGCGGGCCGGGGTCTGCAGCGCCCGCCCTCTGCCCCGCGCCCTTTCCACAGCCTCGGGCCGCCCGAGAGGACCGCGGAGCGGACACCGCGTGCCCACTGCGCGCGCCACGCGCGACCGCGCCCAGGTAGGCCCGAGACCACCAGGACGCCCCTCGGCGGGGACGCGCGCCTGCGCACAACGCCCGCTGCCTCCTGGTGGCGCGCCACAGACCCCGGCCCGAGGCTCCGCCCAGGGGGGCAGGGTCTGGTCGGGGCCCGCCCCTCCCCAAGCCCACCCCGCCATCCCCCACCACCCCGACTCACACGCCAGTCCTCAACCCAACGTTCCTCCACCTTCCCTCAACCCGCTTCATCCAGTCTCTCCCATTACCACCCTGCCCCTCCAGCTCCAAGGCCCCTCCCCCTTGAAGCTCCTGCCCCCACAACCCCAAGGTCACCCCCATCCCGTCCATATCACCTCTGCTTCCCCACCTTCTCTCCACGCACCCATCCCACTTTTCTCACCCCAATCCCTCCCCTTCCATGCTCTTACCACCCCCAGGACTCACCCCCTCCTTGCGCCCCCCACCCACACACATCTCTGCCTCATCTCCCCAACATCCTCATAACCCCCTCCACTTCAGGTCCTCCCCACACACTCACTCCCACTGCACCCCCTCCAGCTGAGCATCCTTCTGGCAGGGAGATGAGAACATTCAGGAATGCAGATGAAAAAATTAACCCAATTAGCTCAGGCTGGCAAATTTTAAAAAAAAGATTAATGAAAAAGAAAGAAAGGAGAGGATATCAAAATTTAAGGCACAATACAAGAAAATTGAAAGTAAATCAAAACGCACACAAACGAAGTGAGGGAAGAGGAGAGGGCAGTGTTTCATTCTCTGGGAGATGAATGTGCTAAGCCTTTAAGCACGACTTGGTGACATTTTTACCGTAAAGAAAAAAGATGAATAGTGAGAAACCAGAGAACAGACCAAGGACAAAGGGTTTTTAACGCTTGGCCCAATGATAAGCTTTGGGGTTGATGGGAGACTAAAGTGTTCTATTTTTATGTTAGCTCAGTCACTGACCATTCTCAGATACAAATAAGGTTAAATCCCTCACTCTCACATTAAGATTAAACAATTTTAGGGCCTCCCCGGTGGCGCAGCGGTTGAGCGCTGGGTTGCGAAGCTGCCCGCAGCCTCTGCAGCCCCGGTACATGGCGCGCAGACCTCTCCTGCTGCCCGCTGCTCCCCTCAGCAGTGTACTTCGGTCCTTCTGCCTGCTCTGCTCCCCGCTCTGGCTCTGGTGAATTCTCTCACCCTCCCGCGCTTCTGACTGTGCCCAGTGCATGTATAAACAAAAAAAAAAAAAAAAAACAAATAAATAAAACATGCCTCTAAAAAAAAAAAAAGATTAAACAATTTTACCTGGATTCAATATTTTCAAATTCAAAAGCAAATTCTTAAAACATAAGTGAATTTTAGAATATAATTTTAGAATGTAAAAATTCATTGGCTAGAAAACATGACAATAAATGGGAAAACGTGGTGCAAGGGGTTAAGACGCAACCTATGAAGGCTATCTGCAGCCACTGCAACAAGAGTTTGAGCCCCAGCCAGGGAGCTACCCACATAGCACAGCAGACCTCTCCTGTCTTGCCCGCTGCTCCCCTCAGCAGTGTATTTCAGTGGATCTGCCTGTTCTGTTCCCCACTCTCTGGTGAATCCTCTCACTTCCCACCCCCGCACCGCTCGCCTGTACCCCAGTTCTTATATGCATAAATAAATAATTTTTTAAATAAATAAATAAACAGGGCCTCCCCGGTGGCACAGCGGTTGAGCGCTGGGTTGCAAAGCTGCCCGCAGCCTCTGCAGCGCCAGTTCGATCCCCGGCTGCTCCCCGGCCACGGAGGAGGGTCCCACATGGCGCGCAGACCTCTCCTGCTGCCCGCTGCTCCCCTCAGCAGTGTACCTCGGTCCTTCTGCCTGCTCTGCTCCCCACTCTGGCTCTGGTGAATTCTCTCACCCTCCCACGCTTCTGACTGTACCCAGTGCTTGTATAAATAATAAATAAATCCTTAAAGAAAAAAAAAAGATGATCACTAAGGAATCATTTTATAAATAAATAAATAAATAAATAAATAAATAAATAAACAAATGGAAAAACCATTAAGCTAAAAACTGATTTTATTTTAGAAAGTTGCACACTTCAATTTCAGATTAAAAATTGGAGCAGGGTTTAAGGTAAAAAAAATTAGAAGAAATCTTTATAATATACATGAGAAATGAAGTCTCTGTAACCTTAATTTATTAGCAACTCATAAATTATTGAAAAGGCCATTATAACCATGGTCACTTCTTTAAGATATAAGGGAAATCATAAATGACAAGATGTAAATGAACAATAATATGTGAGAAGTTCCTCATGACAAATAAGATATACAATGCTTAAAATATTTGTGGAAAATAAAATTTGAAAATAACATAATAGTAATATCCAGGGTAGGTACGGATTTAGAAAAATATTTATTTCCTTCATATATAACATGAGGGTAATGTCCATGATTTATTTTGAAATCAAAATTACAGTTTATACTATATAAGATTGGGTACCTTTTTAAATTGCAGATTTACTCCAAAGACTATAAAATACATGTTTATGGGCCTCCCTGGTGGCCCAAGTCGTTAAGCACCACACTGTGAAGCAATCTGAAGCCTCTGCAGCACAAGCTCAATCCCGAGCCAGCCAGGGAGCAACCCACATAGCGAAGCAGACCTCTTTCCTGTCTCGCCTGCCACTCCCCTCAGCAGTGTGTTTCAGTCAGTCTGCCTGTTCTCTTCCCCACTCTGTCTCTGGTGAGTCCTCTCACCCCCACCCCCACATCTCTGGACTTTGCCCCAGCTCTTGTATGCATAAATAAATAAATGGTTTTTTTTAAAGACTATAAGATACATGTTTAAAGAAAAAACCCACAAGCATGACAATTCAGAACCATGTAGACATGGTTGTATGGGTCATTCACAGAACTCTAATGACAAAGGAATTAACATCTGGACACTAGCTTGAAAGATACCTGTGTGCAGCAATGGCAAAGCAAGTCAGTTTTAATAATTTAAGATTCCTGACAATTTTTAAAAGTTGCTGTATTTCAATTATTGGGCTTACCATGAGATTATTCATATTTGTCAAACCCTCTTGATTCAAAGACCCATAGGAAAGCTTCCTCTAGAGCTACTGTGTTTGGATATGAATTTGCAGGAAAGGTCAAGAAGGTTACACAATTGCTAAGTGATTGCCTCTGAGGAAATAGGACTTTATCTGCAAACATTTTCCCCCCACAGGGAAAAGATGCTCATTCCTTGCTTGTGGAATTTGAAAATTCAAGGCAGTGCCACTTCATATTTGCAAAGATAATTCCAAGCAGGGAATTGTCTGACCCAACTTCAGTCTATGACTTTACAGTCCCAACATTGTATGGTGGAACACACTATTAAATCTCCAAATTTGTGAAACCTGGGCTCTGCAGACTCCAGGTGCCTTGCTATTTAGGTGTAGAGTCTGCCATGTGATATCATGTTGGCGGAAATATCACCAGATAAAATTCTGTGTATTTGCACAAGTATGTTCATAGAGACAAGAGTGTGTAAGAGGCGATTATGCAGAGGGGTTGGAGCTGCAACTCCAGACCCAGGAATGGGCTAAGTCCCAGCTTTCCAGTATACTGAACCAGGAGACCTTGGTGCAGTGCCTCAGTATCATCATCTGTAAAATGGCTCTGAACACACTTACTGGAGGCTTGTGAGGAGTTAATGTAGCCAAGCATTTGCAGAGTGCCTGGCAGAGCACTCCCCCTATGAGCCAGTGATTTTTAGTTGTTTTTAAGGGATTCACCGCAATGTATGTTGTATCTTGTGTGTGAATTTATGAGCACTGTAGGGGTCTGGGGGGAGAATACTGAAAGTTTTTTGAAATAAAGAAGGTAACAAATAAACCAAAGAGTAAGAAAATACCAAGTTTATTAACTATGTATTATATATATATGGTGCCAGCTTGGATACCCGCATGGATGGTGAGAGTCCTCTTCTGGGTTGCTGATGACTGACTTCTCATTGGGTTGTCCCAGGTCTCTGACCTCTTTTTTTTTTTTTTTTTAAAGATTTATTTATTAATTTATACAAGCACTGGGTACAGTCAGAAGTGCGGGAGGGTGAGAGAATTCACCAGAGCCAGAGCGGGAGCAGAGTAGGCAGAAGGACTGAAGTCTACATGGTTCTGAATTGTCATACTTGTGGGTTTTTTTCTTTAAACATGTATCTTATAGTCTTTTTTTTAAAGATTTATTTATTTATACATACAAGAGCTGGGGCAAAGGCCAGAGATGTGGGGGTGGGGGTGAGAGGACTCACCAGAGACAGAGTGGGGAACAGAACAGGCAGACTGACTGAAACACACTGCTGAGGGGAGCAACAGGCGGCAGGAGAGGTCAGCGCGCCATGTGGGACCCTCCACCGGTGGCCGGGGATGGAACTGGTGTTGTAGAGGCTGCGGGCTGCTTCACAACCCAACGCTCAACCACTGCGCCACCGGGGAGGCCCTCTCTGACCTCTTATAAGGGCATTGATCTCATTCCTGAGTGCTCCACACTCATGATCTAATTATGTCCCAAAACTGCCACCTCCAAATATCATCACATTGGGATTAGGGTTTCAACATATGAATATGGGGGATATATATATCTAATATACACCCTTAATATATATTAATATTATTGAATGGACTTCTAAAATTATATTACTTGATGGAATTCATGGTATCTGTATCCTTTCTGCAGCAATTTAGAAGGCCCTCTGTTCCAGATGGTATAGCTTTAAGAAGGTGGAGCCTCTTGACCAGTCTGCCTAGTATGTGAGTGACTGGGTGCAGAAGCCACACACACTAACCTGTATCATAGGTGTTACAAACAACAAAAATTAATGTTTGTGATGTTGAACTATGCAGAATCTGAGATTGGTCATTTGTCATCATTGTATTGAACTCTTCCCAGGGGTAATTCACAGCAACCCTTTCTTCTAGATATGTGTCCTATATATGTGAAGAAATTGAGGCTTTTAAAGGTTGTCATCTATAATGGTCTTAAAACCAGCATCAGAGTTAAGATTTGAACCAAGATCATTTTCTTCAGTCAGTTTTTAAATATAAAGCAAGGTTGACACCACTAACAAAAGTACCAGATATGGGATTTTTAAATATTTTATTCAAGTTTTTTCATTCTGTTAACATTGTCTAAGCTCTTGATTTCAGTGAAGTCCAGTATGAAGTTCAATTTATCTTTTTTTCCTCTGATGGATTTTTTTTTTTAACTATCCTAACATTCAGAAAAGTTTGTTTTCTCAGAAGCTTTATCATTTGAGGTTTTACATTTGGATCTATGTTCTGTATTGAACTAATTCTGGCACCTTGAGGGAGGTGTGGAGCAAAATAGTTCTGGATCAACATTCAAATAGGAGTTCTGAAGAAACAGAAATGATGGAGAAACATTATTTAAGATGTTCTGCCTAAGAATTTTCCAGATTTATGAAATATGTACATATACCAATTTAGAAAATAAAAGAGGTCTGAGCAGGAATTTTGAAAGTCCCCATTTTCCCATTAAACTGTTACCTTTTTTTTTTTGTAGTTATTTTAGATAATCTCGTCAATTTTAGACATTGGAAATATTTTCCCCTGACATCTCTAAGTTTTTGTACATAAGCCATTTTGAAGTAATCAAATTCACCTATCACTTGCCTTGCGGCTATAGTATTAAAGCTTTTAGTCCTTTCCTACCCTGAGGTCACAAAGACATTGCCTGTTTTCTTCTGCTGTTATGATTTGACCTTTACATTTAGGTCTTTAATGTGGCACCCACTTTTTTATTGGGAATCCAATATCATCACCCAGGTCCCCTAGTATCTTCTTCTGAGCAATTTGTCTTTCTCTCATTGATAGGGTAAGTTACCTCTTTTTAAACTGCTCTTATTCCACAGAAATTTATCAAGGCCCTCAAATTCAACTGAATTTTTAAAACTGAAATTACATTGACTTTATGAATTAATTTGGGGAGAATTGGTATCTTTGTAATAGTACATCATCCTTCCCAGGGACATATTAGGTTTGTTGGTTGAAGAAACACTATTGAAATTCATTGTGATCTATGAACACTTCTTTATGTTCCCACACACATCTTCTACATCAAAGGCAGAGCCTGATGGCTACATGTGATGTGAGTTTAGATGAAGTGTGTGCTTTAACACACTTTTGCACTGTTGTAATTTTTGCAACTGATATGTATCTTAGAATCAGAAAAATAATGAACAAGGATCATAAAGCTTTATTTAATAAATATAACCAAAAAATTCAAAATACTTTATTCCATATGTAGCCAATTAAGAAGAAAAAGAGTTAGAAGGAAATGTTTGAAGAGAAAGGGTCAGGCAAAAGGAAGCAAGTTGGGGGAATTCAAGCCAACAGAGAATGAGGAAAACAAAGCATGTGGAGATGAGGGGTGTTTGGGGCCTCGCGACTCTCGAAGTACCACCTTTCATGGGTCACATCTCACAGGTCGCTGGGAGCCTCCGTTCCTCCTTGGCAACAATGGGAGATGCTAAATTGATATCTATGGAATGAATCAGGACTCCAGAAATTCAGAAATCCTTTCAAAATCAGAAAAGCTCTCTACTTTCTTTTTTTTTCTATGACCATTAGGATTGGGTATCTCCCTCCCCTCCCCCCTATAAAAAAAAAAAACTATTGAAAATTTTTAATTAAATGTATAATTGTAAGCTCAGGGAATAATTTAACTTTTCTGAACAGACTTGAAGATATTCAAGGCCATTCATTTTTAACTAGGTCTTAACATCCATCTGCCACTCAAAGTTTTTTTTTTTAACTGAAATATTGGGTTCTTTTCTGACGCCTCCAAATCACACTTGAAAATAGTTCATTTCATATTTCACACCTTTCAAATCCATGAGGAAAGGATAGCTGGACTTGGGGATACCATGTGGTAAGAAGTAAGAACTCAATAAATCAGTTCAAAGGAAGGAATTGAGGCCCTGGGGTGGTGAGTTGGCCAAGTTGTTGGAGTAGGTGAGCCCTGGATAAACCCACATGGTGTTGGGGCCTCTGAGGCAAGGTCTGTGACTCAGGCACGGTATGGACCAGGAGGGGAGGTCTGCTCCTCTCCTCTGACCACAGGGAGGCTGTCCTGAGATAAATGTGTGTTACAAGGAGTACGTGGCAGTGTTGGGGGAGCCGCTGGGGACTCCCATAAGACTCAGTGGACACAGGTAGCATGGGCCAAAGCTCTTCTTGGGCAGACTCCTCACAGACCGATTTTAGTCTTAAAGAGAAACTGTTAAAAAGTGTTTGCAGAAACAAGACAGGCCCGAGGCCATGCATAGCTTCCCTGATGGGTAGAAGAGCAGCAACAACACAGAATCAAGTCAGAAAGCTCATTTCTCCACTCTTTATTAAAGCTAGGTCCTCTCTGGCAGCTCGGGGCTGGGGAGGAGCAGATGGGACCCAGGAGGAGCACCAAAGATATGCTCTTCTTGGCAGACCTGCCCTGGGAGGGGCAAGCATGGAACCAGACCCTTGCCTTGGAAAGCGAGGCCTGAGATGCTCAAACCTCCCCAGACACCTTGCCTTTGGCCCTGGTTCTCCTGTCTCGCAGGGAGAGGAGACACATTAGGAACAGAGAGGGCATCACCCTCCCTGGAACCCCTGCCTGCCTCACCTTACCATCCCACCCCACCTTCTCACCCAGCCAGGCTAATTCTTCCCATCACCGTCCAGGCCCTCCTCCCACCCATTGACTACAGTGCCTCCTATCCTGCCCCCAGCCCTGGCAGCCTGGGGGCCGGTTCTCAGGCCCCAGGGCCATGTCTACACTAAAACAGAAGGAACTAGGTCTAAAAGGGAATGCAGTTGCTTCAAAATCTGTTTTCTGGCCCCACTCACTGGTCCAAAAGGCATGGGGAGGGGGGTGTCTCCCATAAGCTGTGTCTCACCTGCCTGCTGGGTGGCTCCCAACAGCCTAGCCTAGAGGGTACAGTGCTCACCAGGCTAAGGGCCTTGCATAGTTGGGTGCTTGGGTTTGCTAGTCATTGAGCCCTAGGTACAGGGCTGCATCCCCAGGGGTGGATGTGCCTGTGCAGACTGCCCAGCCTGCAGGGCCCTTTGTGAAATAAGAATCGAAACAGAAACACTAATAACCACAGAAACAAAATTAGAGAGACCTGTGGAAATCACAGGACCCTAATTATGGGATGTGAGAAATGATCCTGCTACTAACCTGTCACTTCACGCTTGGTTAATTCTAAATGAGCGACAGGCTCAGAAGGCAGGGCTCCAGGGCCCACTGGCTCCAGGACAGGCAGCAGCCCAGGCAGTGGAAGGTGGGGCCCAGGCCTACTGGAGCGTGGGGCTCCCCATGGATCTCTGAGTATGCCACCTCCAGCTCCCAAGGTGAGTACCAAAAAGGCTGAGAAGCCCAGCAGGCTTAACTAGCGCCTGGCTGGCCTCGGTGCTAAAGCGGGGTAAGGAGAGAGCGGCTTAGGAGAATAAGGCTTCAAATTCCCTCAGGACCTCCCTATATCATCTACCCGGGCCACCAATTTGGTTTCCGACTTTTCCCCTCCGCCCAGATTCTTCAAGCCATACAGGAGATGGCGATAAATAATCCACAGTTGGACAATCGGAATAAAAGCTTTCCAGGCCGCGTCTCCCCCTGACTCGGGAGGCACGCGTCCCTCGGAAGCCCACGAGGCCTCCCTTAGCGACGTGCACAACATGCCTTAAAACTTCCCGGACAAACCCAGACGACCAGAGATGCTGAGGAGCTGGAAGTCGTCAGCCCACCTTGGATGTCAGCACCGACCCGCCGCGGCAGCCAACGGACGCGCTGAAGACCGGTTAAAACTCCTAAGCCACCAGGGCCACCCGATGCGGAATCCCAGTGAAATAAATAACATGCCTGCCACCCCGACCTCTTGGCGCACAGCACAGACCCAGGGGTGTCGCAGTCTGGCCAGTGGCTGCCCCTCGCCTTCCCCACGACGTTCTCCTCTCCCCAAGCGCACCCCCCTCCCCGCCGTCTACGAGCTCAGGGCCCGGTTTTATGGGGTCAGGCGGGAGGGAAGCCCGCGACTGGGGGTCGAAGGGCGGAGCGCCGGGGCTGCGCGGAAGGCACCACACCCAGGGCTGGAACCCCACGGCCCCCCAGGCTAGAGGAGCAAGGGGTCGGTGCGCAGCCACCGGCGCCCTAGGGAGCAGTCGGTGGCCCTTTGGGCTGCGCCTCCTTCGGCCTCCGGCCCTCACATGATGCTCTCCCGGAAGGCGCCCGAGGGCCCCGCGAACGCGGACGCGGGCTCTGAGCCGAAGCTCGTCCCGCCCGCAAACTCCAGCAGGGTGCTGCCGCGCTCCCCCGCGCCGCCCGCCGCCCCCGCCGGCAGCTTGGCGGGCGTCTCGGCCTTGGGCGCTGGGGCGGCCGCGGGGCCGGCCGCGCCCGCCGCGCCCCGGTGCGTCTTCATGTGCGTGAGCAGGTGCGAGCTCTGCGAGAAGCGGCGGCCGCAGTTGGCGCAGGCGTAGGGCCGCTCGCCCGTGTGCGTGCGCTGGTGCGTGACGAGCACCGAGCGCTGCGAGAAGCGCTTGCCGCACTCGGGGCACGGGAAGGGCCGCTCGCCCGTGTGGCCGCGCCGGTGCTTGGCCAGGTTGGAGCGCTGCGCGAAGCCGCGGCCGCAGTCGGTGCAGCGGAAGGGCTTCTCGCCCGTGTGCGTGCGCCGGTGCCGCTTGAAGTCCGAGCTGTGGCCGAAGCCCTTGCCGCAGTCGGGGCAGCGGTGCGGCTTCTCCTCGGCGTGCGCCCACTGGTGCCGCGTGAGCGCCGCGCTCTGCCCGAAGCGGCGGCCGCACTCCCCGCAGGCGTAGGGCCTCTCGCCGGTGTGCGCGCGCCCGTGCGCCGTCAGGTGCGCGCGGCGGCTGAAGCCCGCGCCGCACACGCCGCACACGAAGGGCTTTTCGCCCGTGTGCCCGCGCACGTGCGCCGCCAGGTGTGAGCCTCGGGCGAAGCGCGCGCCGCACTCGGGGCACGGGAAGGGCCGCTCGCCGGTGTGCGTGCGCCGGTGGCGCGCCAGGTGCGAGCCGTACACGAAGCTCTTGCCGCAGTCGGCGCAGCGGTGCGGCCGCTCTCCCGCGTGGTAGCGCTGGTGCTTGGCCAGCGCGGCCCGGCGCCCGAACGTCTTGCCGCAGTCGGAGCAGATCCACGGGCTCTCCTCCTCGGCCAGCGCGGCGGGGGCCGGCTCCGCCAGCAGCCCCCCGACCGCCGGCCCGAACGCGCGCAGGCCGCTGGCGGCGCCGCCGCCCCCGGGCCCGCCGCCGGCCCCGCCGCCGAAAGGGTCGCAGGCCAGCCCCGCGCCCTCCACCAGCGCGAGCCGGCTGCCCAGAGGCCCCGGCAGGGCGCGCCCGTCGCCCGGCAGCCGCTCTCCCAAGTCCGGGAGGCCCAGGATCTGGAAGCCGTCGGGATGGAGCCAAGACTTGGGGTGGATGGGGAAGTGGAAGCCGAGCGGATGCGCGGACGGGCCCTCGCCCTGGGCCAGGCCGTTGCCCAGCTCGAGGGGCCGCCGGTTCGGCTCGGGGTCCCCCTTGCTCCTGGGGTCGCCCGCCGCCGCCACCTCGCGCGCCTCGGGCTCGGCGGCCGCCTCAGCCTCGCCGTCCACCTCCCTGGTCTCCGGCCCCGCAGGCCCCTCGGGCCCAGCCGCGGCCTCCTCGGGCCCCGCAGCGGGCTCCGCGGCGTCGCCGGGCTCCCTGCGCGGGCCGGGGCCGTCGCCGCCGGGCTCCGCACAGCCGCCGCCGCGCCGATGCCGCTGGAAGTCGGCGCGCAGGCGGAAGGCCTGGCCGCAGTCCGGGCAGCAGTGGGGCCGGTCGGCGGTGTGCACCGCCTGGTGCCGCGCGAGCGCCGAGCTCTGGCTGAAGCTGCGGCCGCAGTGCGGGCAGGGGTAGGGGCGCTCGCCCGTGTGCGTGCGCTGGTGCGTGACCAGGTAGGAGCGGCGCCCGAAGCCCGCGCCGCAGAAGGCGCAGCGGTAGGGCCGCTCCCCGGTGTGAATGCGCCGGTGAGTGACCAGGTGCGACTTGTAGACGAAGCGCTTGCCGCAGTCCGGACACGGGAAGGGCTTCTCTCCGGTGTGTGTGCGCTGGTGGATGGCCAGGTGTGAGCGGTACACGAAACCCTTGCCGCACTCCTCACAACCAAAGGGCTTGACGGCCGCGTGGTAGCGCTGGTGCTTGGCCAGCCGGGACCGGTGCGGGAACACCTTGCCACACACGTCACACGTGGTCTCAGGCCTTCCGGCCGGGGCGGCCACCTCCGTTGGGAACGCCCAGGGCCCCAGCAGGTTCGCCCCAGGCTCCCGGCCAGGCAGGAAGGCCTTCACCTCACATCCTTCCGCCAAGGCCCCGAGGCCGCCCAGGTCCGGCTCCCAGCCTTCTGGAGTCTGCGCAGAGTCCGAGTCGTCAGGGCCCCAGGTCCCAGGTACATCTCCAACACCGTAGGCTGCGGACCATAGCCCCGGGGGTTCGTTCTCCTCCTCAGCCACCTCCGCCAGGAAGTCCTCATCGTCCTCCTCCTCCTGGTCCTCCAAGTCATCAGTCCAGAACCAGGCACCTGGGGGTGAAAGCGAAGACGGGGAGAGGTGAGAAGAGCCTGTGATGGGAGACCCTTCCTGGCTTCTGTCCCAGGTAACTGTGGCTTCCTCAGGGCCCTACGCAATCAGTGTAGAGCCCCGATCTGGTCTCCAACAGGGTGCCTCCCATTCCAAGGAAGTTAGTTGTCCACACCCCAGCCCCAAATGGTCTCCCTACAAACTGCAGAGTGAGGAAGTATACATGGGCCTTCTTAGGAAGGCCCAGGTTCCTTTCCTACTTGGATGTCCTCAAATGGCTCAACTAACCTCTCTTCCAGACCTCCTCACCCTACAGAGCATCCCTGGTTCCTCAGCAGTAGGAAAGATGGGAGTGGCCTGGCTGTTTCCCTAAAGCTTCTTGCCTCCTGAAGAACTCCATCGCAATGGCCTACTTCACCCAAGGCCAGCAAGGCTCCAGCGCCAGCCCAACCTGCCATCTGGCCACCGAGTACCTGCCTCTTCTCACTATCATTCATCCTCTGGGTTCACCAGCCTCAGGCTGGCCAGCAGGCAAGGTTTCCCTCCCAGTCCCGGGACAGGCTGCCCTGGTCTCCAAGGACATCTAGAAGACCAGCAGGCCTCCACTCTCTTCACTAGTTCCAACAGACACCAGCTACTGTGCAGGCAGGGCCCAGAGTTCCCTACTAAGGTCTCTACAGGTCAGCTGTTTTTGAGCTGCTGTGCATTTATGAATGGTCCCACATCAGTTAACACTGCATGAGGTACAAGCACCTTTCCATCACATAAAACCAAGGAACCCCAAATTCCTGTCATTCTGGCCTTTCCCCACCAAGCTGCACCCAACCTATCCTTCCAGTGCAGTATGTCAGAAGGAGTTAGGATGTTTGGTTTATATGACAGTGCTGACATGCCTGTCATCAGATGCACTATTGGGAAATAATGCTTCCAGAACGGCAGTAAGCCACGCAAGGATTAAGAAGGAAAATGCCTAGCCCACAGGTCCCAGGTCTCCCAGAGCACCTGTATGCCTAGTTTCTCACATGCATTTAGCTGATGTGTCCACCCACCATGCTGTACCCCAGCATCTGCAAGATTAAGCTCCCACCTCACTAGGTCAAAGGCTGAGTGAGCCTGGATCATTGAGTCTGCCTGAGGGAAGGTCAGAGCTGGAGGGCTGTCCACCCTACTCAACCCTCATTTTGTATTCTGTAAAGCCTACTAGATACAGTGACACGGTCACACAGAACACTGCACAGCGGTAGAGTGAAATAAAGCTAGACACAGAACTGCACAGGCAAGACAGCTGTAAAAAAAGACCACATAACTCGTAAAGGTATGCAAAGATGAGTTATTTTATTTTTTTGTATTAGGCAGTACTTTTCTATCGTTAGTAACACTATACTAATCATTCTGAGGGCCACGGGGTCTGTCACAGAGAGTGAAAAAGTCAACCCAACAAAGAAGCCAGGCCAGCCCACCAGGCCATGGTGGTAACGTGGCCACATGAAGTCCATGTGAGGTCCACGTGGGGAGCCTGCAGGCATGCTTTCCCTAGCTGTGTTCCCTGCTCTGGTGTGGATATGGAGCAGGAAGGAAAAAGGACTCACCAGGAGCAGGATCTTACCAAGCAACCACATGGAGCATTTTTCAGAGAGGGAAGGATATTGCATGCTAAGATGGCCAGGAGAAAGGCCTTGGTGAGAGGTAGAGAGAGCCAAGAGAGGCAAAGGGAGCAGGGACCAGTGACCCCAGAGGTGGCCAAGGAAGTGGAACAAAGAGTTGGAGCAGAGGAGGAGGCTCTAGGGGGGACCTAAGTGGGAGAACTTGCCAGAGTCATAAGTCATATGTGGCCCAACTAGTCAGTATGAGAGGGGCACACTGTGTTTTGCAAGACTACTTGCAAAAATACTGAAACCGCCAGGCTTGAATGGTTGGCACCTATCCTGCAGACCCAGTGGTTCCTCTCATGGGCTCAGTGGCACAGACTTGAAGGCAGGGGCAGCAGCCAGGGGCCTGAGGGATGGCTGTAGCAAACCGACTATCATCAGTATAAGAAGACCTTACATGGATGTATGCTGCCCAAGCTGACCCTGGCCTTTGCCACTCATCCCTACCCAGAAGGCTGGTAACACCCTAAGACTATGCCTGGTATGTCTGGATCCTTCACCTACTTAGATTCTGAAGATAGTCGGGTTTGGGGTAGGGTGAGGGAAGGGGGCCCCAGCATAGTGACTTGGCCCAGGAGAAGGCACAGGGGCACTGGCCCCACTAGCCAACCCCTCAGATAGCTGCCAAACCAGGTTCAGGAGCACATAGTGAGGACCACACTGGCTCAAGGCTGTAGAAGGCTCTACCCCAGGACCCTCAAGGTGCAGAGAATGGGGCACTTCAGACCATGTGAGAGAGACTGACTAGTGCAGGCCTGTGGCCCCTTCACCTCCCAGTGGCCTTTCCAATGTGTGCCCATAAAGGACACATGCCTCCCGCTCAGACCCTCTAAGAAAGTCACCGACATCCCAGTCTGATCTGGGAGCAGCAGTGACGCCCCCAGCAAGCCAGAGCCCTGCTCTGAAGCCCACCCATGGGAGCCCAGCGCTGCGATTTTATTTTCAAGGACATCTAGAAGCTCTGGAATGTGTCCAGGGATGTGGCTGACATGTGACGGCCAGTGCCCTTCACCAGGCTGGCCTCACTCCAGGCCAAAGCCAAACACACCAATGGCAAAGGCCTCCACTGACCGACTCACAGACACCTTGACAGACTAAGCATCCGACATCTTCAGGCTTCAAACTGTTTTGTTCAAATTCTTTATTTTTAGAGGTTCAGAGGTTCAGAGTTGGAGGAACAGAGCCAGAGCTACAGCTGAGGTCTTCAAAGAGATCTGCCACCCTGAACACTTTCTGTATGCATCTCTCCGAATTCTTCAGAAGGTCCAGAGCTGCCCACAGGCCTTCTCGGGAGAGGAGGGAGGCTGAGGAGATGCTTTGTTCATAGACGCCCAAATGTGTGGAGAAGCCAGGGGGCTGGCTCACATCTGGGGCCTGGAAGGCTCAAGTGCTCCCAGGACCACGTGCTTGGCTCCTGTTCCTGCCCCTCCAGCCAACAACTTGACAACTGGCCCTTTGGAGTCTCATCAGAGACTCCAAAGCAGAGATGGGATTATTTTTATAGACTCCTAAGAGGAACTTCAAGGTTCTGTAAGGACCCCTAGCTCTCGGGCCCCGACCAGTTGAACAACAAGGAGCCAACCCAAAAAGGCACCCCAGACCACCAGCACTAGGCCACAACTCTGAGGAGCTATGCTGGCAAAAACCTCACTCAATTCCATCTCATGCTTACCTGTGTAGACACCAGTGACAATGTCTCCTTCCTCAGGACGTGGACTGTCTGGGACCCAAGGTTCCTCCCCTTGTTCCAGCCGGAAGATTAGATCCGGTTTGGGGATTGGGTATCCTGCCCCAGAGAAACACAAAGGGTGGCTGCAGGGCTGCTCCTGCATGCCCCTCTTCCCAGCCACAGAGCTGCCACCACCCTCCTCGGGCCCCCACTCCTCTCCAGGCCATCTAGGACCAGCCCCCCACCTCCTTGTATCTGTCACAAGACTTCATCTTCCCTCCTTGCTAGAGTCTTGCCCTGACCTACCAGCTCTCCCGCCAAGCCCCTCCACTCACCTTCACCTGCAAGGACCCACCCCTCTCCTCCGGTGCCTCCCTCTACCTTGGATCGTACACAGCAGAGAGCAGGGCCTAGGATACGTCCACTCAGAAGCAAGGAGCATCTTGAGAAGGTGGGCTGACTCTACCACTCCCCTCACCATGACCCCAGGGCTCCAGAAGCCACCCTCCCAGACAGCTCAGCCCTGGGTAGCCATTGCACAGGACGCCTCTTGGGGACAAAGGCACCTCCTTACCCAAGGACACCAGGATCCCGTAGTTCTCTTGCATGACATCCTTGTAGAGATCCCGCTGGTCTGCGTCCAGCCTCTCCCACTCCTCCAGGGAGAAGTACACAGCCACGTCTTCAAAGGTGACGAGTCCCTGGAAAACAAAGAGCCCGATACCGCCCTAAGTTTCCCCAGGCTAGAGGCACGAGAGCCCCTACAAAGAGCAACAGAAGATTACTTCCACGAGAACTTACAACATAAAGCCCTGCAACCTAGAGCTCCCAGAAACATAGCCCAACACCCCACCATCAGCAGGCTCGGACCCCACTCCCATTCAGAGCAGAAACTCAGGCTCAGCTGGGACAGGACAGAGCCAGGACTCACGCAACAGTCAGGATACAATGAAGCCCAAGCCCCCTGGCCGTGTTCCAAGGCCACCTTCTCCCCTACTTCACAGCCTGGGTCAAGCCAACAGTGACATCAGCAGTGTGAGGGCCCACGCCTGGTGGACAAGTGACACCAAATAAACTGGATGGGGGCACTAGTGCCCGACTAGACAGAGGTTAGGCTCTCTAGGGAATCTTGGGGAGAACCAGGCCTCTAAAGGAAGTGTATACAGTACAGGTGAGGGGATGGAAGTCAACAAGACCAGGAAATCCCAATGGCTGGGAAGAGTCAGGTCCCAGGAGACTGGAACCTCATCCCATGGGCTGCTTCCTGAAGCCCGGTCCTGCTGGGAGTCTCCTGAGGACCACAGTGCTACGGCCCTGCCCATGGTGGTCTCTAGGACAGCAGGTGCCAAGTGCCCCTGGGGAGACCCTGCCCTGGTTCAATGAGCTCCAAATGAGGGGGCAGCTCACCTGAGACCCAGCTGTCAGGGAATCCTGCTCCTCCTCCTCCTCTTCCTCCTCCTCCCCCTCCTCCTCCTCCTCCAGGTCCTCATCCCTAGGCACGGCTGGAACCCGGGTGGCCTGCAGGGCTGAGGGGAAAGATTAGGGGCCAGCTGCCTTTAGCACTGGGCCTCACCGTCCCAACCGACTTCTGTCCATCCATCAAGCAGGGTCAGGAGCTCCTGGCTACATCCTCACTTCAAAACCTGGGCCCTGACGCTCCAGCTCCACCCTAGGGGGCCCAGGAGGTCTCCCCCACCTGCCCCCTGTGCCTCCTTTACTTCCTCCCCCAAGGCGGGCTCCTTTTTTCTTACCCTTTTCCTGAAGAACAGGGAACTTGGCATCACCACCACGGCTAAGGTGCTCCTGGGTCCCCAACGGAGGCTCCTTCTGCTCTGCCACCACTTCCTCCACAGCCTCCTCCTCCAACTCTACCTCCACCTGCTCCATCTGCCCTGCCTGTCCCCCCTCCTTATCGGCCTCCGGCTCCGCCTCCACCTCATCCTCCTCTTCCACTGGCATCTCCTCTTCCTCCTCCTGCTCCGCCCCCTTTTTTTCTTCCTCCTCCTCCTGATCAGGATGACATTCCAGCCCGTCCTCTGCCCTCTCCAGCTGGGCAGCTGGGGAGCCTGGAATCGTATGAAGCGCGGCCATCTTCTCTAAAAGCCTCAGGGCAGCCTGAAACGAGAGGCAAGGTGATAAGTAGCCCAGACCTCACACCAGCCCATTGAGGGCAGCCAGATTCATGGTCCCATTATTATTGTCAGGGCATTAGAACTGTCATGATCTCATGTGGCAAACCAAGATCTTCTGTACCCAGAAAAGCTGTTCAAAGAGCCCTCTCTGTGACCCCCCTTATGTGGTCTCAGCACTTTCTCACCAGCATCTATTCACCTGGGATGAACTGCCATTCTTTCTTAGAATAAATCAGGAATTTGCCCCAGGTCACGTCTGGGAACCATGAGAAGCATCAAGTTCAGTCAAGGGGGGTGGGGGCGGTCTGTGTTTAGCTGAAAGGGGTAAATCTACACGCAAGGATCAGACCACCTAATAGATAGGAGGTGCTCACCCAGCTCTCAACACATGGGAACTCTGCCAACAGGCAACGCTGGAGGAAGTCCAGGCACAGGCATGCTGTGGGCCCGAGCAAAGCTGCACAGGGCAGGGTGGAGGGGCAGGGGAGGGCAGAGGCGAGTCAGGCAGCTCATCCACCATCCACCACGGCCTGGGAAGGCTCTCTGGGAAGCAATCAAGCAAGACTCCTTCCTGCGAGGAAAGAAAAAGTCCTGAGAATGCTTCTCTCTTACCTTTCCCTATACCAAGGACATTTGGAAAAAACTCAGTGGTTCATGGAGATTTACTTCTCAGTAGACCAGTAAAGGGAATAGCAATTGCCCTGTGACATCTCTTCAAGCTTGGGATAAAAGACTCCTGAGGGCTGAACTGTCAAAGCCCAGTGTCTTGCTAGGTCCTGCTTGCACACTGGTGTCATACACCGCTCAGCCCAGGTGCTCAGGGGAGACACAGTCACACAGCCCAGAGCCTGGCCATGAACCCAAGCCTCTGAGCTTAGCTATGAACCCAAGCAGGATGGGAGACCAAGGGCCCTGGGGCCACGCCCCCCTCCCGGCTACACATGCTTCTTTAGCCCCACTGGAATCTCAAGGACAGGACAGAGTCACAGTTTGTTCAGGCTGGTTTCTGGGGCTCCTTTTTGAGTGTAAATCTATGAAAGTCAGAGCTAGCACCTGCCACTTCAGTGTCTCAGACCCAAACAGGCAATTTCCAAAGTGAGCCAGTCCCATTGTAAACAGCACCTCCAGAATCCTGGGATGAAGGCAAGAATCCCAGGAGGATCCTGAAATGGGTAATTGGGCCTACCCCTGTTCATTGAGCTCTACCAGCAGATAGCACCTGCCACAGAACCCAAAATAGGACAGGAGCACCCTGCATAAAGATGCCCAGCAGCAGGAGAACAGTTGAGACCACTGAGCAGGTAGGAGAAAACTGCTTGGTGATCAGTTCCTACTTCCCAGTCACCAGGCAGTGTACACTCATTTTCTGAACTACTGTGGCTGCTGCTGTACTAGCCAGGTGACTTGGAGCATTCGTGCAGCTGCTCCAGAGGGCCCAAGGCCAAAAGCCACCTCTGTTCTATGCCACACGCTGCTCCCGGCTGGCTCCAGCCCCATTCCACATTCATAATCACTGGACCCAAAGGCAAGGGGGAAGAACCATGCTACGAGTGTCTCCAATGTCTAGGCTCTCCCAGACATCCTTGACCTCCTTGACCTCCCTGGCTCTATGGGCATGGTAGGTGCCTGAGGTATAGAAACTCACGGGCTAGGTGTCACCTCCAGGAAGATGCAACCCTGCCAAGCACTCGGGCATGGAGACTGCTCAGAAGCGGTTTCCCAACCACCACCCACCTCAGGCCCAGAGGAGGCTTTTCTCACCCAGGCCTCGGGCTGTAAATTCAGTCTGAGCACAGACAACATGTCAAGCCACCACCCAGAGCACACTCCCATAGGCGAGGCCACTGTATCTGAGGGTCCATACACAAAAGAAAACTCCGTGGCTTTGGAGTAAAGTGGCCCCATGCTGGTCTCACCTCAGGACCTTCACACATGCCATTCCTCCAGTTCTCTTCCCTCCTTCTACTGCGATCCTCCAAGGCAGCCCTCTGAGTCCCTGTTACACACAGCTCCCTGGACTGTATACTCACAGCACCCATATTTTTATGCATTTACTGAACTGTCTGCTTACGGTCTGTCTTCCGGAGTGCACAGTCAGTTCCGGGAAGGCAGGAGCTCCCTTCGCTCATCTCTGAATACCCCGTGCCACACACATAGTAAACACACAAATACTTATTGAAGAAGTGACCTGACATGAGACCTCTTAAATGTTCAATGTTTTGGTCCTACTGTCATGTTCCAAAACAGAGAGACCACCACAAACCACCCCAGAAGAACTGGAGAGTACCTGTCTCCAAAGAGGATGCAGCCCAAAGTCCCTTCTCCCAAGTTCATCTGTTGGAGACAAGTGAAGGGGAAAGTTCAGCACCCCTGGAAGCTGACGTTTACCCTGCAGTCAGGATAGCACCTAGCATAGCCAGACACCCATGTACCCTGGTCCAGAATCCAGAACAGTTCTGAAAAAGGGACCTCGGTAGCTCAGGTGCTAGGTTCTTCCTGCTGCCCCATGCCTGGTGTCTGAGCATGCTCCCCCAGACCCACACGATTTCCTCTTTCCAACCTGTAAGTCAGAAACTCACTCTGCTCTTTTCTTTAGAATCAAATTCCAGGCCGGAAGCCACAGAGTAAGGTAAGCAGACTCAACAATGTAGTAGACCCCTGGTTGATCCAGGTCTTTAATTCTCCTTGAGTCCTGCACCCCAACATCCAGTGCTACACACATTTAGAACTGGGGGTGGGGGTGGGAGGAGGAAGAACATGACACCTTCCACAGGGAGAAGGGAAGGAGGCCAGAAGGAAGAATTGGGTTTGAAGAGTTAGGAGCCTCTCCACAAATGTCCGAAGTCCAGGGAACCCACATAGAAAAGCAGGAGAAATGTGTGGGTACCTGTCTCTAACCTTTCATCTGGGTTGCCTTACTGATCACACTCCTGTTAGTCAGGCCTTTCTGATCTTCGTCTCCTCCAGGAAGCCTTCCTTTCTTAAGACTACCGCGATACTCACTGTCCACAGATTTCAGCTTCTCCGACTCTCCCAGGTTTGCTCCCAGTACAGTGGATCGTCGGGCCATCCTAGTTCTGGAGGGCAGGCCCTCACCATTGGAACCAACTCCCCAGACCCGCCTGTACTAGTTGAAACAAACCCCAGACCAAGGTCTCCCCACAGAGACACAGCTGGGGGCCTCATCCTCCTATTACCCGCACACCTCTCCTCCCCCCTACCCACATGGTCCCCAACCAAAGGCCAGCCCCTCTCCCATCTCTGCGGCCACAAGGGGCTGCCCAAACTCCATTCAACACCGGTAGTAGGAGACCTAGCAGAGCAGCTCGTGGGGCCTCCATTTGGAGATGCGGGAGGGCTCCGAGAAGGCCCCCAAGGTCACAAAGCAAGCTCTTAGGGGTGCCAGGCCAAACCGCCTCCATTCCTTCAGGGGGTTATCTGGCCTCCGCCTCCAGCAGAGGCCAAGGCAATGACAGCCCCTCCCGGATGGGTGTGTCCCTGGGGGCACCCGCGGCCCAACCCCCGCCCCTCGGCCCCGGCGGCGGCGGGCACCCCCCGAGTCGCGCTCGCTCTCCCCAGCCCGCCTGCTCCGCGCTGCCTGCCCGGGCCAGCCCCGGGGATCAGCGCTCGCCCCAACGCGCAGGCCGCTGTGGGGGTCCGCGGGGCGCGCCGGGCGTGGGCGCGGCCGCCGGAGGCTCGGCCAGCGCCCGGCTCCCGCTCCGCCGGCCCCCGGCCCGGCCCCGCCGGCCCCGCCAGCCCCGCCGCGCGCGGCCTCCCCGTGGCCTCCGCGCCGGCGCCGAGGGGCGGCCGACCCCGGCCCCAGCCCGCCCAGCCCGGCCCGCCCGCACCTGCCGCCCGCCGGCCCAGGCGACCCACTCACCGCGCGCGCCGGGCGGGCCGAGCCGCGGGCCTCTCGCTGCGGCCGGGCGAGGCCGGGGCCTGCGCGCCCCGCGCTACACAAAGTGACGGCCCCGGAGCTGCGCGGCGGCGGCGCGTGGGCACCGGAAGTGCCGCTGCCGGCCCCGCCCCACGCGCCCCGGGGGGCACTTCCGGTCACGGGGCGCGCGCGCGGGGGGCGCGGAGCCGGCGAGGGGCGCCCCTGCTCGGGGGGCCCTTGGGCCGCGGCTCTCGGCGCCGACCCGCGCGCCCCTCGTGCCCCTGCGTGCCCCGGACCCGCCTCTGGAGATCCCGATGCCACCCCCGGACTTCGGCTCCATCCCCGAAGCCCCGGCGGCCCCAGCCCTCCCGGGAGACCCCCCGCGGCTGCCGAGCCCGTCCAGCCCCACCCCGGAAGCCCCAGCCCCGCCCCGCCCTGCCCGGGCCCGGCCCCGGCCCCCTGTCCCCGCGCTCGGGAACCCCGACTCCCCCTGGAGACCCCAGGCCCGACCCCGCCCCCGAAGACCGGACCGCGCTCCACCCCGGGAGCGCCCCGGAGAGCCGGGGACTCCCAGCACGTCCCAGAGCGGCCCGGCGATTCGGACGCAGCCGGAGGGCCAGACCCGCGCGAGGCCCACCCTGCAGGGCCTTGGGGCCCTTGTCAGGCCACGCGTGGGTGGAAGTAGGTAATGACCCCGTGGGCTGACAACTGAATGAAGCGCAGCTAGAGCCTGCGGGACAGACTTGGCCCGGAGGGCCATGTGATCAGTACCTCGGGGAGGCCTCCCTCCGAAGGGAAGGATTGGCCAAGCAGCGGAAGGCTGGAGTGGTGGGTGGCCTGGGCAACTGTAGGAAGGCGAGGTGGGGGGACTCAGGGACCCGCAGGCCTCCTCAAGACCTGTCTGCCTACACCCGCAATAGAGGAATCTGATGGTGAGTCCTTGCACCCACAGAGGTGGGGACCCCTTTCCAGCCTGACTGCAGCCCAAGGAACCTTATGGTCCCGTACCTTCCCCAGTGCCCACCCTGTGTACCACTCACATTTTTCTTGGTGTCTTGGCCTTGGGCACTAAAGACTTGGGCTAGGGGTCCATGGCTGGGCCAAGGGCAGGTTCACAGCCTCTCCCCTCTAGACACAGCCCTGGCTGGTGAACCTCGCAGGTCCACGGAGGACTCAAGCCTCTGTCCTGCGGAGGGCTGCAGCCACTCACCTCCCAGGTCTTGCCTTCCCCAGCCGGAAGCATCGCCCTCCAGCTGATTGATGCCTCACAGTGGTTGTGTTTGGCTCCTGGTGTTTTTACATGTTTTGAAATTAATAGGTAATGTAAAAATGGAAAGTCTCTTGTAAAAAATCAGAAGTTCTGCTAACAGAGCCCATGGTTTGAAGGACATTGGTGGCAGGCTCTGAGGTAACCAGCACCTGTGGATGAGACTCAGCACCACCCCTTTCTCCAGACCCACTTCCACATGCACCACCTCTCCAGGCCTGTGGCTCTCCAGGCTTTCGAACCCTGGACCCCTATTTAGACCCATCCCAACCCTCCCTCCCGGATGGTGCCAGTGAAAGGCTCTGAATGTAGGATAACTAATAAAGAACATGAGTAGAGATGGGATCACCCAATGGGAGCTATGATGGGGGGAGGGGGTGAACCAATCCTGTCACTCCTCCCCTGCTCCATCCCACCAGTGCTGTGCACTGGCCAAATTCACCAGCAGTGTAGAGGGCAAGGAAGCCCAGTAGATGCGGTTGGAGTGTGTGTGTGTGTGTGTGTGTGTGTGTGTGTGTGTGTGTGTGTGTGTGAGGGGGCCGTGGGGTGTGTACAGAGCCAGGCAAAGAGTATACAGGGGTGGGATTAAAACTAAACCAACAGCTCCACCCTGCTCTGGAAGTTTCCACCAGTTCAAACGGGGGCCATGTCACCCCAGCACTTCCTCAGACCTCCTCTTGATCTTGCCCCACCTGATTCCTAACCCAACACCAGATTTCTTCTCCTCCTCTGCAGAGATTTTTTTTTAAAGATTTATGTGTTTATTTTTGCATAGAAGAACTGGGGTGTAGTGTAGGTCAGAGGTGCAGAGGCTGAGAGGATTCACCAGAGACAGAGTGGGGAGCAGAACAGATAGATTTACTAAAATATACTGCTGAGGGGAGGAGCGGGCCAGGCAGGATAGGTCTGCTGCTCCATGTGGGGTCAGCTCCCTGGGTGGGATCAAATGCAATGGTAGTGCTGAGACTTAACCCCTAGGCCACCATGGAAGCCCCTCTGCAGAGATTTTCAAAGATGGGGCTGGGGAGGAGGAGGGAGAGGATCTGAGGGAGGGAGGGAGGAGCACAGGGGACTGAGGTGATGGTGCACGGGTGCACTGGGGAGGGAAACTCTACGGGGACTACACCTGAGGGGGTGAGGGGAAGCAAATATTGTTTAAAAATGAACAATGATGTCAAAAAATAAAATTAATTAAAAAAAAAAAAAAAGGTGGGGCAGCTACCAGAATTCCTACCCAACAGACGGTGTTTTCCCTGACTGGATGTCCCTCTGACGCCCTCCAGAGGCTGAGAAGAAAGGCTACCACCACTCAGCCCCTCACTTCCCTCCCCTGTCGGAGGGTCTTAGTCTTCTCCCCAGCCACACCTTCCCAGAGCCTCTCCTTCATTCTGCCTGGTTACAGGGTCCCCAAAGCTAGCCCCACTCAGAACACTGTCATGCAGAGGACCCACAGCCCACCATATTCTGCATATTTCAGATCAAAGTTAGGCTTGCAACCTCTCCCCCCAGGCACCCCCTCCCCAACACCACACCTGCACCTTCAGGAGCAAGGTGTGCTGGGCGGGCTGCCCACTCTTCTGTGAGATTTAAACCTAAGCCACTTGATAGGAACCTTGGTATCTGTGTTCATTTTACAGTCAAATAGTTATAATTCCCACGCATGTGATCCCCACCTCACCCTATTTGTTCCAGGCCTGCTTTCCTCTGAACCCCAATTGCATGTGACCCTACCAACCACCCCAGACCTGTTCCATAGAACACCCTCCCCAGGCCCAACACAAGGATGGTGCCGGGCTGTCCCAGATAGGTCTCTCCTGTCCTGAAGTCACTCACCCCTGGACTCTTAGAGTCAGAGCTGCCCAGGGTCAGGGCCCCAGGCCCTGAGAGGCTCAACCCTGGGAAGGGAGAGGCCAAGTAGGCCTCTCTTCATAGGACTGGGTCCCAACCTTGACCGTCCTCCACACCCTGTCTCCCCACCACGGCATCCTGTGAAACTCTCATGCAGCCATGGTCCTGAAGGTTCCATGTGGGCCCATGCTTGCGTTTCATGCATCTCAGGGTCCCAGCCAAGTCTGGCCATAGGCCCTCTCTGAACACCCCTCCCTGTGGGTTCTCAAGTCCCCAGCAGCACCCCTCACTCCCCTGCTCACCAAGGCCAGCAGCCTCACCTCTGCTTTCCTTTCCTTCTCCGTGGGAATTCTTGGTGTCCATGGTGTTTGATTTGCATTCTGCCCAAGTCCACACACACACACACACATGACAGATGAATGCTCACCCCTAGATCCCCTCACCAGGGTATCAAGTTTGTGGGGAGGGCGGGGGATACGGAAGTCTTCACACAGGAGCCCCAGGTTCTAAGAAGTGTGTGTGTAGGAGGACGTGAGAACCAGTGGGGGCTGCAGAAGGACCACAGAGCGAGGTGTGAAAGGGTCCTGATGGAGGATCCCAGGCCTGGGGGTGGATGGTGAGGGGTTAATCAAGATGGGGACTCACAAGAGCAATATCAGAAAGACCCGAGGCATCACTGCATCCTCAGGACAGCCTGTGGTGACCCAACTCTGCCAAGGTGCTGGCCCCACCCACAGGAGATGCCATTAGGGACCTCAGAGCTCACCCACGGGCTCTCAGATCACAGAATTACAGTCCTGCCCAGCAGCAAGAGTCCTCTGCCAAGCAGAGACAGGATGTCAGTGCTCCATGTTGTGGATGATTGGAAATCGAGAAGAGATTGGATGCCATTTTTTGACATGGACTAGGATCTAGAAGTGCCCAAGTCTTGCCAGTCACCTGCCTTCATGAGAGGAACCTGGTGGGCTGGACACACAGGGACATCAGGGAGGAGACCCTGTCCTGCTCAAGGCCTTCTGCCAACCCAAGGTGGCCTGGGGAGAGAGGGAGGGCTGTTGGACCTGTGTCAAGCCTGGCCCATCTCCACCCAACTACTTAAGAGTTGGAAGGAGAGAGGGTTAGCAGTGTGTCCTGGGGGCAGGGCCTGCCAGGGCCTGTGCACCACATGAGAATAGGAAGCAGCAGGAACAAGAAAAACAGATACCTAAGCTGGACTTTGATGCTTGGCCCAGCCAACTACTGACCTGTTAGTCTGAAACTCTTACCCTCCAGAGCCCTGGGAAGGGGCTGCGAGAGGTGGGCTCAGGCCGGGGAAGCAGCAGCCCCTCCCAGCTACAGGACAGCTTGAGCTCCTCCTGCACCATGCTACCTGGGCTGGTGGGCGAGGGGTTGGGGTATAGGCACAGGAGTGAGGGGCACAGGGCCTCCATGCTCAGAGGAGGGCAAGTCCAGAAGTGCCAACTGTGAGGTGCAGCCAGAGACATGGGCCAGGATCTGAGGGAAGCTGAGGGGGTCCCTAAACCTTAAAGGACAGGTGGCACTTCAACCAAGCCTGAAAGATGGCCAGAGACTGGGATAGGGAGCGCCTGGACTGAGTGAGGAGCTGAGGAGCAGCAAGAGGCTGGGGTCATCCTTGACTGGAGCCTCACATCTCGGTGGGGGCCCCATGGTGGCATCAGGCAGGGGTGGCTCAGGATTAACTAGGTAGAAAATAACAAGGCTTCAAGGTGACAAAGCATCTTACTCCACCGGAGCTGCTGTGACAGAGAAACATAGATCAGACAGCTTAAGTAACAAACATTTCTCAACGTTCCAAGGCTGGGAAGTCCAAGATCAAAGTGAGGGCAGATCAGTGTCTGGTTAGGACCTGCTTTCTGGTTCACAGATGTGATCTCCTTGCTGTGTGCTCACATGGTAGAGGGCG